CCAAAAAAACAAACAAACATGACAGTGGTACCCCTTACGTTTTTTTTTTCGGGTGAAAAATTAAGTATCCCCAATCTTCTCAAAACTCTGGATTCTGATAGAGGGCCATGAGACTTAGACCTGAGTGCAACAATGGAGGCTCTAGACCCTTCCAGAGCTGAGATATCGAAACTCAAAATTTCGACCAGAAAAAAAAAACGACAGTGGTACCCCTTACGTTTTTTTTTTTTTGGGCAAAAAATTAAGTTTCCCCAATCTTCTCAAAACTCTGGATTCTGATAGAGGGCCATGAGACTTAGACCTGAGTGCAACAATGGAGGCTCTAGACCCTTCCAGAGCTGAGATATCGAAACTCAAAATTTCGACCAGAAAAAAAAACGACAGTGTTACCCCTTACGTTTTTTTTTTGGGCGAAAAATTAAGTTTCTCCAATCTTCTCAAAACTCTGGATTCTGATAGAGGGCCATGAGACTTAGACCTGAGTGCAACAATGGAGGCTCTAGACCCTTCCAGAGCTGAGATATCGAAACTCAAAATTTCGACCAGAAAAAAAACGACAGTGTTACCCCTTACGTTTTTTTTTTTTTGGCGAAAAATTAAGTTTCCCCAATCTTCTCAAAACTCTGGATTCTGATAGAGGGCCATGAGACTTAGACCTGAGTGCAACAATGCAGGCTCTAGACCCTCCCAGAGCTGAGATATCGAAACTCAAAATTTCGACCAGAAAAAAAAACGACAGTATTACCCCTTACGTTTTTTTTTTTTTTTGGCGAAAAATTAAGTTTCCCCAATCTTCTCAAAACTCTGGATTCTGATAGAGGGCCATGAGACTTAGACCTGAGTGCAACAATGGAGGCTCTAGACCCTTCCAGAGCTGAGATATCGAAACTCAAAATTTCGACCAGAAAAAAAAAAACGACAGTGTTACCCCTTACGTTTTTTTTTTGGGCGAAAAAATTAAGTTTCCCAATCTTCTCAAAACTCTGGATTCTGATAGAGGGCCATGAGACTTAGACCTGAGTGCAACAATGGAGGCTCTAGACCCTTCCAGAGCTGAGATATCGAAACTCAAAAATTCGACCCGAAAAAAAAACGACAGTGTTACCCCTTACGTTTTTTTTTTTTTTTGGCGAAAAATTAAGTTTCCCCAATCTTCTCAAAACTCTGGATTCTGATAGAGGGCCATGAGACTTAGACCTGAGTGCAAAAATGGAGGCTCTAGACTATTCCAGAGCTGAGATATTGAGATATTTTAATGGCATAAATGGTACGTGGGATCTCAATATCTCAGTTCTGGAAGGGTCTAGAGACTCAATTTTTGCACTGAGGTCTAAGTCTCATGGCCCTCTATCAGAATCCAGAGTTTCAAGAAGATCAGAGGAATTCAAAATTTCGACCCCCCAAAAAAAACGACAGTGGTACCCCTTTCGTTTTTTTTTTTTGGCGAAAAATTAAGTTTCTACAATCTTCTGAAAACTTTGGATTCTGATAGAGGGCCACGAGACTTAAACCTGAAAAATGGAGGCTCTAGACCCAGAGCTGAGATATCGAAACTCAAAATTCGCCCGGGTTTTTCGTTTTTTTTCGGGCGAAAAATTAAGGTTCTCCAATCTTCTCAAAACTCTGGATTCTGATAGAGGGCCATGAGACTTAGACCTGAGTGCAAAAATGGAGGCTCTAGACCCTTCCAGAGCTGAGATATCGAAACTCAAAAATTCGACCCGAAAAAAAAACGACAGTGGTACCCCTTTCGTTTTTTTTTTTTTTGGGTGAAAAATTTAAGTTTCTCCAATCTTCTCAAAACTTTGGATTCTGATAGAGGGCCATGAGACTTAGACCTGAGTGCAAAAATGGAGGCTCTAGACCCTTCCAGAGCTGAGATATCGAAACTCAAAAATTCGACCCGAAAAAAAAAACGACAGTGGTACCCCTTTTGTTTTTGTTTTTTGGGCGAAAAATTAATTTTCTCCAATCTTCTCAAAACTTTGGATTCTGATAGAGGGCCATGAGACTTAGACCTGAGTGCAAAAATGGAGGCTCTAGACCCTTCCAGAGCTGAGATATCGAAACTCAAAAATTCGACCCGAAAAAAAAACGACAGTGGTACCCCTTTCGTTTTTTTTTGGGCGAAAAATTAATTTTCTCCAATCTTCTCAAAACTTTGGATTCTGATAGAGGGCCATGAGACTTAGACCTGAGTGCAAAAATGGAGGCTCTAGACCCTTCCAGAGCTGAGATATCGAAACTCAAAAATTCGACCCGAAAAAAAAAACGACAGTGGTACCCCTTACGTTTTTTTTTTGGGCGAAAAATTAATTTTCTCCAATCTTCTCAAAACTCTGGATTCTCATAGAGGGCCATGAGACTTAGACCTGAGTGCAAAAATGGAGGCTCTAGACCCTTCCAGAGCTGAGATATCGAAACTCAAAAATTCGACCCGAAAATAAACGACAGTGGTACCCCTTTCGGGGTTTTTTTGGGCGAAAAATTAAGTGTCTCCAATCTTCCAAAAACTCTGGATTCTGATAGAGGGCCATGAGACTTAGACCTGAGTGCAAAAATGGAGTCTCTAGACTCTCCCAGAGCTGAGATATTGAGATATTTATAATGGCATAAATGCTATGTGGGATCTCAATATCTCAGCTCTGGAAGGGTCTAGAGACTCCATTTTTGCACTGAGGTCTAAGTCTCATGGCCCTCTATCAGAATCCAGAGTTTCAAGAAGATCAGAGGAATTAAAATTTCGACCCCCCCCAAAAAAAACGACAGTGGTACCCCTTTCGTTTTTTTTTTTTTGGTGAGAAAATTTTTTATATTTTATACCCTACTAATGTGACCAACAGTGTTATTCTTATAACAATATTTTTTTTATTAAGAAACCCCAAAATCGTCATCTCTTGATTATGTTGTTAATTTCTTTATTTTATACCCAAAAAGTTTCTCCTTTAAGTTTACCTTTTTCTTCATGAATGTACCTCGTTTCATCCCTCAGACTTATAACAACAACATTTTTTTATGTATTATGAAGAGCTATAATGAAGATATTTAGCCTTTTTTATTGTTCTTTTGTTCCTGTGTATAAATATAATTTTATGTCATATTATGATGTACACAAACCAATGATCTTTATATTTTCTGTTTTGTCATTATGATTGTTACATACAACTATAGTATCTTTCCATGATCTTGCATGTAATAAGTTTAAATTATATGAGCAACAGGTGCACTAACACTTCATAACATCAGTAACTCGACAACACAACCTATACAACAGTTTTCCTATGCATTTGTAATGTCTGCACAAAGGAGACGGGCAGCTACTCGAAGATCTCTTTTGGAGAAAACTGTTGATTTTATACTCGAAAAATGCATCACTCCTTAAAAACTAATATTACCTTAGAATGAATTGCATTGTTATCCCACCCCAAAACTTAAAAAAGTTAGATAATTAAGTATTGGTCAGCATTTAATATTATTATTTTGTTTATGTACTAAAAATATAATTTAATAAAACAAACAAAATGTGATTTGTTTTGTCATATGACAGTTATGCATGAATTCATTTATATTGCTAAATGCAGTGAAACATCTCGATTGTCAGTCAATCGATGAATTAACGGATACATTAATTAAATTTTACAGTATATAATGACAATAGCTGTTTCGTAGTGACGTAGAGAGGTCATTGGCATATTGACCGCGCCCAGTTACTGCGCGCGCAGATGGAAGTGTAAACTTGAAGTCTACACATTCAAATACTCCAGCTGAATAGCGTCATGTCGAGAAGACGCTGTGTTCTACAATGCAAAGATAGTTCAGCCACTTGTTTCCATTGTCCAGGGACGAGCATGTGAAGAATCAGTGGTCAGAGTTCATTTTTGCAACGATACCACAACAGTATAGCCCGAACCTTGTGTTTTGTTCTCATCATTTTAATGACGAATCATTCAAAAACAAATGAATTCAAATGACGATTCGCAAGCCGGTTGTTCCCGAAGGAGGACTCAGTATCCAGTGTATATGGATCAGGTTCGTCCTCCTCCGAATCACAATTTGTAAGTAATATTAATAATGTTTGCTGTTATGTTTTCTGTAGCATGCACAATATAGTTATATTGTGTTGTGTGTGTTGTGTATACTCCGTGCAGCATCTAAGCAGGGTAAAGTTAGTTTTGTTTTTGATATTCACCAGAAACTGGAAAATGGCAATTACCTCCTAAACGACTAAGCCAAAAGTTATTTAAACCCCATTGCCGCTAAAAAGTCAAGGCTAACAACGTTTCACAAACTTAATTTTCCGTATTTTCGCACTATATAATAAGCACTGCCCCTCAAAAGCCGCCACAATGTGAGTTTCGCGGGGAAAGCTCGCTCTTGACGGAGACGCGAGTAAGGGACCGTGTGGAAAGTGCACTTTTTCTGACTCGTTTCTTCATACACTGTATACAATTTTCAACAATTGACAAGCTATAATCCATTAATTGTGATGGGCGATCCATTTCCGACAATCTCTACCTACGGTTTACCAATAACAACTGACTGGGTCATTTGACCAATCGCTGCAGATTCGCGTCACTCAAAGGAGGTGTTTGGGAAAATGAATCGTTGAACGAATCATTTGGGAGTCGTTGAGCAAATCAGGTAAAAATAAATGCATATTATAAGACAAAGTGTTTTTTTATCCTTGGATGCACGTTAAACTGTTTTTGGAAATATAAGGGTTATTGGGCTGATGACACTACATATACAATAAAAGAGTGTGCACAGCATCAGGGATAAAAGTTAAAAAGAAGTGGGCCCAGTACGGAGCCCTGAGGTACTCAACTAATAATAGGAGCTGATGATGAGATAGAAATGTACACTAAAAACGGCCTAGTGCCAAACAAACACAACAGTCTTACTGGCCAACCTAAACTTGGTTTTCGGACCTGATGCTTTTCGTAACAGCCTCTCCCCGAGGAAGTACCTTGTGTGAAAGACACTATCATTCTGATGTTTGATTTTTTTTTTTTTTAATAAATCATCAAACTGAACACTGACGATTCAGTGAAAAGAACATGCGGTATTTCAAAACCTAAATATCACTTTATGTTCACCCAAAAAATATATTCCCACTTTGTTTCAAACCTGAATACACAAATGAGAAGATCACTGTGAAGTTCAAACAATTTGTGCCTTGTTTTCCAAGTAACACGATATCTTCATGAGAGGATCAAACTTAAACGTGTGATCCTTATAAAGGAGATTTGACGTCACATAGGAAAAAGGAGACATTCAGTCAATAATGACTTACATTTTTGTGAAATTTAATTTGAAAGATTTGGACTATAGTTCAGTGATCCAACCAGGAGGTATTGCTGTGAAGCTTTACCATTGTAATCGCTTCATATACAGTATGTGAGTACAATTCTTGACTCAAATGGTGACCATGTCCAGTTCTGTGGCTTTGACCAGGTGGACTTTGGCTGGTTAGTTGGTTGGGATCTTCAACGGTTGAAGAGACACTGTCCACTCCGTGCATAGATTCAGAGGAAAACACTTGGGTCGGTAATGTCAACACATTTGGATCTTGCCGGGAATTTCCCAAGACAAGGTTTGCGAACTAAATGAGATCCAAATGCATAAGCGTAAAGCAATCGGTCCACATAAGCCAACAGACACTCCCGTTTAAAGGCACAATTACCCCATTGATTCATTTCTTCTACATGATTTAGCTTTGTCGGGCTCATTCTGAGTTCTTTACTATACTACTGAGACGTAGAACATTTCGTCGGTGAGGTCCTCCTCACGTTTGCTGCTCGTGTCCGTCTCCTCATCGCTGTAGTCACGAACATTGCTCTGACACAAGCCCATCTCTTCTGGCTCCGGCCCGTGGCCTAGCGTGACGCTCAGTAAGTTGCTAGCAGCACTTTCCATCTCATCGATTGTCATTTCACAAGCATCGGCAATCTCGTGTTTCGTCACAGTCACAAACTTAGGATCCTTCGCATATTTGCCCAATCCCCCCGATATCATCACCTGCAACAAAAGGGTATCGAGTCAGCGCGTCAAGTTATGATAAGAGTTTGTCACTTGTCACTACATACAAAGCCCAAGGTCTACAGAGGATCATGACATTAAAAATAAGAAAACTAATCACAATCAGCAAAACAAGCAACAGACAAAATAATGGACATTAAGTCTATAAAGTTTTATAAAGCTTTACTTGCAGTCCAGTCTAGAGCGGTATAGTGTAAAAATTATACAGTGTGTCAATGTTTTACACACTTATATATGATGTATAGCCCAAATATTAATGTATTTGCTCCCATATGTCCTAAAAGGGTGATTTCTATCATAAGAGGCACAATTTCAACCACCGTTTTCAAGCTAGAATTTTACTGTTAACGTTAAATATGAATATTTTTCTTACACAAACGCATTGCTTCGCTTCAGAAGGCCTTTATTAAGGTGTGTGGAGAACTTTTATCATGGAGTGATGCACTTTTATGATGGACAGATGAACTTTTATCATGGATAGATGCACTTTTATGATGGACAGATGCACTTTTATGATGGATAGATGAACTTTTATCATGGATAGATGCACTTTTATGATGGACAGATGCACTTTTATGATGGACAGGTGCACTTTTATGATGGATAGATGAACTTTTATGATGGATAGATGAACTTTTATCATGGATAGACACTTTTATGATGGACAGATGCACTTTTATGATGGACAGATGCACTTTTATGATGGATAGGTGCACTTTTATGATGGATAGATGCACTTTTATGATGGACAGGTGCACTTTTATGATGGACAGGTGCACTTTTATGATGGATAGATGCACTTTTATGATGGACAGGTGCACTTTTATGATGGACAGGTGCACTTTTATCATGGATAGATGAACTTTTATGATGGACAGATGCACTTTTATGATGGATAAATGCACTTTTATCATGGATAGACGCACTTTTATGATGGACAGATGCACTTTTATGATGGACAGATGCACTTGTATGATGGACAGGTGCACTTTTATGATGGATAGATGCACTTTTATCATGAATAGACGCACTTTTATGATGGACAGATGCACTTTTATGATGGACAGATGCACTTTTATGATGGACAGATGCACTTTTATGATGGATAGATGCACTTTTATGATGGACAGATGCACTTTTATGATGGACAGATGCACTTTTATGATGGACAGATCCACTTTTATGACGGATAGATGCACTTTTATGATGGATAGATGCACTTTTATGATGGACAGATGCACTTTTATGATGGATAGATGCACTTTTATGATGGACAGATCCACTTTTATGACGGATAGATGCACTTTTATGATGGATAGATGCACTTTTATGATGGATAGATGCACTTTTATGATGGATAGATGCAGTTTTATGATGGACAGGTGCACTTTTATCATGGATAGATGAACTTTTATGATGGACAGATGCACTTTTATGATGGATAAATGCACTTTTATCATGGATAGACGCACTTTTATGATGGATAAATGCACTTTTATCATGGATAGACGCACTTTTATCGATTGATTGATTAATATGTTTGATTTTTGAATATAACTCCGATTGTATTCGTCTGAAAGAAGAAAGTCATTTACACCTAGTAAATGACTTTCTTGAGGGTGATTAAATCATGGGCTAAAACTTCTCCTTTAAGACAAACAGGACCAACCCCCCCGTGTAATGTGGTCTCTCACCGCTTCCACCAGGCTGTGAGCGCTGCTGCGCTGCTGCAGGTGATGGCCACTCAACCGAGGGGGGACCTTCAGGAGGGAGGGGGTGGGGGGACGCGTGGACCAATCAGAGCCGTGCTGGGAATTCCAGAAGCCCCTGTGAACCAATCCGGGAGTGCTGCTGGCACTGGGCGTGGCCTGAGGCAGGGGCGTGTAGGGAGGGGGCGTGGCCGGGGGCGTGACCCACGAGCGGATGGAGCGGGTCGGAGAGAGTCGCGCTCGACTCGATTCTTGTCCGGTCGCCGTCTTCACCTGTGGAACCGCGAGGATAAAGATCAAATAAATAAATAAATAATTAAGAAGCTGTGAGATGTTGGGTGACCAACACTTGAGAGCAAACTTCCAATATCAACACTGTTTGGGTTTACACACAAACACATCAATTGCACACATCTGTTATGAAAATAAAGTATAGGTAACACTTTACAATAAGGTTAATGTATTAACTAACATGAACTTACCATGAGCAATACATTTGTTGCTGTATTTGTTAATGTTAGTTAATACAATTACAGCTGTTCATTGTTTGTTCATGTAAGTTCACAGTGCATTAACTAAAGCTAACAAATACAACTTTTGATTTTATAGTCTATTAGTAAATGTTGAAATTAACATTAATCAAAGATTTATAAATGCTGTAGAAGTGCAGTTCATTATTAGTTCATGTTAACTAATGAACCTTATTGTAAAGTGTTACCAAAGTATGTAAATGTTTAAATTCATAGATGTGAGTTTTGTTTGTATTTCAGTGAGAAAAAAAAACATGATATGACATACTATATGCTATGCTATATGATATGCTATGCTATGATATATGATATGATATTTGAGAGCAGTAATGTCATGTCTGGTTATGCGACGATCACCTGATGCTGTGGCGGTAGACCTGTGGGATGCAGGGGAATCTCATCTTGACTGTCTTGTTTGCGCAGACACTCGAAATTGAAAGCGGTCTTGTGAGAGGCTGTATGAAAGAATTCACAAACATCAATATTTGTGTATTTATTACTGAATGAATGTTCAGTAAAATAAGAAAGATTGCAGCTGTTGCGAGAAGTCTTTGCCCTGAACGTTGTTCAAAACATTCCTGTAGTATGTATACCGTTACATCTTAACACAACTATAAGGCCACACTGAGTATTCTTGCATACTTGTGGTTTCAGTTGATCCTACATTTTAGTAAAAATTAAATTTTAATACAATATAAGTTATTGGTGAATCATGATTTGTTCATGAAAACATTTGTACACATGCTTCTTAAATTAGACACTTTGTGACAGTATTTTTGAACTGGAATTACTGGCAATTACTGTATTTTTTGTGTACATGAAAAAGCTTCAAAGTTTCTTATAATTATCAATTTCTCCGTTAAGTGTGTTCTTAAGGTGCTGCTTGCATGGCGGTCAAAAATGTACAATTTTTCTGGGTTTTTTTCAGTGAAATTAAAGGGGCTATATGTAGTTTTCAGCGGCCTCTAGCGGTGATGTTTCAGATTGCAACCAATATGTTTACCAGCGAGTTCTTTACGTTTTTTTGCTTTTTTAATCATTATGTGGAGGCAGTGTCGTCACTGTTGAGTCAGTGTCAGTAGACGAGGGAGCGCACATGCAGGTTTTTAGAAGATTATATGGAATTTAATTATATTTCTGAAATAGTTATCCATTTTATGACATGTTAACCACTTTTTGAGCTAAGACCTGAAAATGAAATTTACCATTTAAACTGTCATAAATCTTGAATACTTTGGAACAACAGACTGAAGTTTGGTCTCTAAAAATACTATTTTACATTTTTATATGAAATATATAAACCTAAAAAAGCTGTGTTCCAAATATGAAGCTAATATCTCAAAGTAGCTTTCAGGAATATTTTGTTTGGGCAGGAAATTAGTTTCCCATTCATTTTTGACCACAAGAAAAAGCATTTTGAAAGCGACACTATTAAAAGAGTGTTATTCATTTTCTTCTAATATCTCACATTGTCGTTTTGATGACCTCTGAGACTGCTGGGATATGAGCTGCTCATCATCGTCACACACACATTCACACACATCCAGTTGTCGAACCGCAGCACAGTCACTCAAAGTGTCCTGGAAGTCTTTGTATGACCTGGCAAGACAATCAAAGAGAAGATGAAGACAATTTGCTATTATTGATGCACACATTCTGAGGAGTTTAAGCCATACCTGTCTCTAGCCAGCATGAAGTCCTCCTCGTGAAGATCGTCTCCGCTGTAATACTCTGTGACTGAGTTTCTGTCTTCATCGCTGATGTCAGCATGACTGGGGTTTTGCACGTGGATAGTGGGATACCCAACAGCACTAGAGCAAGGCCTGCGAGACACCGGACCATCCAATCATTAGTGAAACACACCATATACAGTAGTGGGACCAACACATTTTCCAACTCCCCTAGAGTTAAACAATCGAGTTTTACCATTTTCGAATCCATTCATCCTTGTTTCCACCGACAGAATGGAAAATAAAAAAGGTAATTGCGACTTTTTATATCACAATTCTGACGTTATTTCTCAGATAATATAAAGTAAGAATTGCAATATAAAGTCAGAATTATGAGATATAAAGTCAGAATTGCGAAATATAAAGTCAGAATTATGAGATATAAAGTCAGAATTGCAAGATATAAAGTCAGATTGTGTGATATAAAGTCAGAATTGCGAGATATAAAGTCAGAATTGTGAGATATAAAGTCAGAATTGTGATATAAAGTCAGAATTGCGAGATATAAAGTCAGAATTGTGAGATATAAAGTCAGAATTGTGAGATATAAAGTCAGAATTGATTGATATAAAGTCAGAATTATGAGATATAAAAGTCAGAATTGCGTGGATTCTGAAGAGAATTCTAACTTTATATCTCGCAATTGACTTTATATCTCATAATTCTGACTTTATAACACAATTCTGACTTTATATCTCACAATTCTGACTTTATATCTCGCAATTCTGACTTTATATCACACAATTCTGACTTTATATCTTGCAATTCTGACTTTATAATTCGCAATTCTGACTTTATATTTCGCAATTCTGACTTTATATCTCATAATTCTGACTTTATAACACAATTCTGACTTTATAACACAATTCTGACTTTATATCTCACAATTCTGACTTTATATCTCGCAATTCTGACTTTATATCACACAATTCTGACTTTATATCTTGCAATTCTGACTTTATAATTCGCAATTCTGACTTTACATTTCGCAATTCTGACTTTATATATCACAATTCTGACATTATTCTTGCAATTGTGACTTTATAATTCGCAATTCTGACTTTATATTTCGCAATTCTGACTTTATATCTCATAATTCTGACTTTATAACACAATTCTGACTTTATAACACAATTCTGACTTTATATCTCACAATTCTGACTTTATATCTCACAATTCTGACTTTATATCACACAATTCTGACTTTATATCTTGCAATTCTGACTTTATAATTCGCAATTCTGACTTTATATTTCGCAATTCTGACTTTGTTTCTCGCAATTCTGACTTTATATCTCACAATTCTGACTTTATATATCACAATTCTGACTTTATATCTTGCAATTCTGACTTTATAATTCGCAATTCTGACTTTATATTTCGCAATTCTGACTTTATATCTCATAATCTGACTTTATAACACAATTCTGACTTTATAACACAATTCTGACTTTATATCTCACAATTCTGACTTTATATCTCACAATTCTGACTTTATATCTTGCAATTCTGACTTTAATAATTCGCAATTCTGACTTTATATTTCGCAATTCTGACTTTGTTTCTCGCAATTCTGACTTTATATCTCACAATTCTGACTTTATATATCACAATTCTGACTTTATATCACAATTCTGACTTTATATCTCGCAATTCTGACTTTGTTTCTCGCAATTCTGACTTTATAATTCGCAATTCTGACTTTATATATCACAATTCTGACTTTATTTCACAATTCTGACTTTATATCTCGCAATTCTGACTTTGTTTCTCGCAATTCTGACTTTATAATTCGCAATTCTGACTTTATATCTCACAATTCTGACTTTATATCTCACAATTCTGACTTTATATCTTGCAATTCTGACTTTATAATTCGCAATTCTGACTTTATATTTCGCAATTCTGACTTTGTTTCTCGCAATTCTGACTTTATATCTCACAATTCTGACTTTATATATCACAATTCTGACTTTATATCACAATTCTGACTTTATATCTCGCAATTCTGACTTTGTTTCTCGCAATTCTGACTTTATAATTCGCAATTCTGACTTTATATATACACAATTCTGACTTTATTTCACAATTCTGACTTTATATCTCGCAATTCTGACTTGTTTCTCGCAATTCTGACTTTATAATTCGCAATTCTGACTTTATATCACACAATTCTGACTTTATATCTTGCAATTCTGACTTTATAATTCGCAATTCTGACTTTATATTTCGCAATTCTGACTTTATATCTCATAATTCTGACTTTATAACACAATTCTGACTTTATAACACAATTCTGACTTTATATCTCACAATTCTGACTTTTATCTCGCAATTCTGACTTTATATCACACAATTCTGACTTTATATCTTGCAATTCTGACTTTATAATTCGCAATTCTGACTTTACATTTCGCAATTCTGACTTTGTTTCTCGCAATTCTGACTTTATATCTCACAATTCTGACTTTATATATCACAATTCTGACTTTAATATCTTGCAATTCTGACTTTATAATTCGCAATTCTGACTTTATATTTCGCAATTCTGACTTTATATCTCATAATTCTGACTTTATAACACAATTCTGACTTTATAACACAATTCTGACTTTATATCTCACAATTCTGACTTTATATCTCACAATTCTGACTTTATATCACACAATTCTGACTTTATATCTTGCAATTCTGACTTTATAATTCGCAATTCTGACTTTATATTTCGCAATTCTGACTTTGTTTCTCGCAATTCTGACTTTATATCTCACAATTCTGACTTTATATATCACAATTCTGACTTTATATCTTGCAATTCTGACTTTATAATTCGCAATTCTGACTTTATATTTCGCAATTCTGACTTTATATCTCATAATTCTGACTTTATAACACAATTCTGACTTTATAACACAATTCTGACTTTATAACACAATTCTGACTTTATATCTCACAATTCTGACTTTATATCTCACAATTCTGACTTTATATCTTGCAATTCTGACTTTATAATTCGCAATTCTGACTTTATATTTCGCAATTCTGACTTTGTTTCTCGCAATTCTGACTTTATATCTCACAATTCTGACTTTATATATCACAATTCTGACTTTATATCACAATTCTGACTTTATATCTCGCAATTCTGACTTTGTTTCTCGCAATTCTGACTTTATAATTCGCAATTCTGACTTTATATATCACAATTCTGACTTTATTTCACAATTCTGACTTTATATCTCGCAATTCTGACTTTGTTTCTCGCAATTCTGACTTTATAATTCGCAATTCTGACTTTATATCTCACAATTCTGACTTTATATCACAATTCTGACTTTATATCTCACAATTCTGACTTTATATCACAATTCTGACTTTATAATTCGCAATTCTGACTTTATATCACACAATTCTGACTTTATATCTCGCAATTCTGACTTTATAATTCGCAATTCTGACTTTATATCTCGCAATTCTGACTTTATAATTCGCAATTCTGACTTTACATCTCGCAATTCTGACTTTATATCACACAATTCTGACTTTATATCTCGCAATTCTTACTTTGTTTCTCGCAATTCTGACTTTATAATTCGCAATTCTGACTTTACATCTCGCAATTCTGACTTTATATCACGCAATTCTGACTTTATATCTTGCAATTCTGACTTTGTTTTCTCGCAATTCTGACTTCATAATTCGCAATTCTGACTTTATATCTCGCAATTCTGACTTTATATCTCGCATTCTGACTTTATATCTCTCAATTCTGACTTTATAACACACAATTTTGACTTTATAATTTGCAATTCTGACTTTAAATCATGCAATTCTGACTTTATATCACAATTCTGAATTTATATCACAATTCTGTCTATATAATTCGCAATTCTGACTTTAAATCACGCAATTCTGACTTTATAACATGCAATTGTGAGATAAAAAGTCGCAATTATTATTATTTTTTTTTATTCAGTGGCGGAAACAAGCTTCTACAGATTAGACCGTTAGCATCTCTCTCAAAAAAAAAATGATCAAAGAGTTAAAATATTTTTCCTATTCAAAACTTGCCTCTTCTGTAGTTACATCGTGAACAAAGACAGACAGAAAATAAAAAGTTTTTTTTAGGACAATATGGCTAGGAACTACACTCTCATTCCTGCGTAATAATCAAGGAACTGTGTGAGCGGGCAATATTTAGCTCAAGAATAAAGTTATTGTTGTAGTTTCCATTCCATTGCAAAAATCATTAGTTATTAACTTAGGATTTGCTTACAGGACACCGTTTTAACTAAAAAACTGAAATATTTTAATGTGTTCCGACCGTTCATTTGAAGACAACTGAGTTGGGTAAGCCCAAAGTTTGTTTGTTTTTGTTTTCCTGTGGTCATGTGACCTCTCACCTTTTGGAGTGGGTCCTGAGCTGTGTTTCTCCATCACCCCTGAGGTTGAGGTATGAGCTGAGAGAGGACACCAGGCCCCTGGAGGGCCGACTGTGCCAGCCGTTGGTGAAGACGGGGCCCGCCGGCACGCTGGCACTGTTGATATTAGAGTTGGATGATCTGGTGTCTGACTGGCAGTAAAGAGGGAGCGGGAGCTGCAAAGGACGCTGGGTAACGCTGGTGCTGTACTGATCTCCACTCGCATGATTGACCAGACTCCCAATCACGGCTCCATTCCTCTGCGGATACACACAACAGGTTCAGGATGTTTCAGTTTCAGTTATTTAGTGACGTCTTGGGCATCTTACCCCATATGTACACATATTTTGATGCTTTTATGTTGTTTTTGAAAAAGATATATATTTGATCAGTTCCCACATTCATTCCTTGGGATCAAACCCGAGACGTTTGGTTTGTGAGCGCAATGCTCTACTAGTTAACAGAGCTGTATAATTTTGGTTAAATTGAGAATCATCTTTCTTTTTTTCTTTTTTTACAGAAATCACAATTCTAATCAGACAACTAAACAAAACAACATGTCATTCACTAGAGGTTCTGACAAAATGCTAATTTAAAATGTTAAATCATTTTGAATTAATTATTTTAAAAACGGTTGAATAAATGATCCAATGACAAAAACACTGATTAATCCAGTAATGAAACAAGTGAATGCATCTCTTGAATGATTCAATGACACACATTAAGTCACTTGTCGCCATTATAAATGTCTTCAGTGTATCTTTTGATCAATTTAATTGATCCTTGATGAATAAAAGTATAGATATCTTTTTTCTTTTGCTCAAAAAAATAAATAAAAATTCTTACTGAACTTTTGAACAGTATTGTTTAATGTTACAAAAGCTTTCTATTTCAGATAAATGCCGTTCTTTTGAATTTCTGAGTGATTCTCTGAATCAAGTCCCCCAAACTTGCTTCAAAGAGTTTTAATTGAAGGAAATCAAAAAATGCATTTTAATGCTGTCAATTAATAGAACCAGGTGCATTTGCATTATAATGCAACACAATTGCTTTTGGGGAAAAAAAAAATTAAAGATAATGGATTGCCTACGTAGTAGACATCAAGCATGTTTGCATGTCCTCACTAACCATCATTACATTTTCATTGAATATCAAACAAATAAAAAGTGCAATTAATACCAAAATGTTGCTGCTGCTAATATAATCATGTGTTGGTCTAGTGTATTGTCGTTTACTGTTGTGAAATGGAAAATCAATTATCGCTAATCGAGAATCGTTAATAATCGAAAATCGACTGTAATCGAATCGGGACTTCAATAATCGTAATCGAATCGGGAAATCAGACAGATTAACCACCCCTAGTACAATTGTTTTTTGATTGCAAAGTTCTGCAAACACAGATCTGGTGTGATTTTGTCAAAGTTAACAGACACTGGAAAATCGTTGTCAATTAGGAATGAGATTTCATGGGTGTTTGAATCGGTTTCGTCATCTTTTAATGGTTAACCGTGCAGCTGTATTATTTAAGTGAGATGTGCAGTGATCGCTTTACCCCGTATATCTCTTCCTCCTCGTGAAGGTTCCTGACGTCCACGAGTCCTTCGTCCTGGAGATCACATGATATGGCTCGACGGATCTCAGGCCCGATATCATGCAGCGTGCGCAGACCAGCCTGCAGAAGAGACATATTTCACATTATCATCATTCAGGACCAGTTTTTACAGTATTTCCATGTCTGTCTGTGGGCAGCGTTTAATTTAAGCACTTTTTACTTCCCACTTATCAGCCTTTTTTATTGTTAAGCATAATTGCAATTAGTTTTTTAAAGTTCAAGTTCAAAAATTTGAACTTTAAAAAGCTAATATTTTTACATTTTTAAATATTTCTACAATTTTTCCCACTTATCAGCCTTTTTTTATTGTTAAGCATAATTGCAATTAGCTTTTAATGAATGCTTGTTTCTGCCATGAAGTAATAAATAATAAAAGATAAGAAATAATAAAAAAGGTAATTACGATCTCGCAATTTGGACTTTATAACTCACATTTCCAAGCTTATAACTCACAGTGAGTTAAATTGAACACACAACATCCTCTGCTACTAAGAAATCTCAGTAGGCAATATTAGTACAGCAGGATCTAGTGTTTTTATTCACACACACACAACTTCCGTACACCAGGTTTGAAGTATGTTCAAGTGTGAGTTCACCTGTAGAGCGGTTGTGGAGTTCAACGGCGGCTGGCCTCCCACAAGCCCTTGCTCTTTACGCTTCCTGAATTTCCTGAAGTAATCTTGTATCAGGAAAGTGGCGTAAAACTTCCCAACAGTGATCTCATCATCTAAACACACATACACACACAGCCAATAACTAACTCATTTCATTACAGACAACTCTATTGTAGGCTATGTATAGCTACATTACATTTAATATTCAACAATATTATTGATCTGTTATTATTGATACTAATCGATTCTCATTTTTAAGAACCGATATCGATTGTTAAATCTCAAGAATCTATTAGTCATCCTGTTTCATTTGAATGAATGGGACGTTGTCTCGCGGCTGCGCGCATCCAAAAAAATCGCAATAATCTTTGTCCTTTGTTACTATTGATATGAGACAAAGTCTCAATTGTCAAATTACGTCTATTTTCTTTAGAAATTCAAAAACATAAATAGTGTTTTGGCGCTGTGGCGTGAGATCGCTCTGGAGAAGCAGCAGCGCTGATCTCTCTTCCGGCTTAATAATACCAGTCACAGCGCCAAATAAACATGAATGAGCATCTGAAAGTGTGTTAAAGATAGAGTACAACTTATCCAAATCCGTATCATGTCACATTGATTCACTCAATCAGCGTTTCAACCGTGGAAAGACGTCAGTTAAACAGCTTGTAATCAATGTATCGTCATATTTACCTCAGAAAACCCACATGAACTCGTTAGTCAGCTGAAAAAATAACTCTAGAGAGGAGCATTTTGCTAAATATATACACCATATTACATATGCATTATAATCTTAATGTTCTTCAATATTTAATGCATATTTGAATAAATCTGGCAAGTTTTTATGACGGCCACCATTTAAATGTTTATATTTCATATAATCTTCTTAGTATAAAAATAAATAAAAGTGTAATTTAAGTTTGTATAGCTACAAAACAGTTTATTATTACCTTCATATTAGGCTAATGAAGCCTATAGGCTACAACTGACTCCCATAGTTTACAGCATTAGTTCAGAGATTTGATTTCCTTAAGAAAAATTGCCGTTTATTGTAACTGATATCCAAAATAATCGATATTGAATCGAATCGAATTGTGAAATTTGTATCAATACCCAGCCCTAGTGTGTATACACAGGTATGTGTGTGTGCGCCTGTGTGTGTGTGTGTGTGTGTACAGTATATGCGCACCTGTGTATGTGTGCGTGTATGAGTGTGTGTGTGTGTGTGTGACCTCCAGCAGGTGGCACCACTTGGTCCAGCAGTTTCATGCTTGTTTTCTTCCAGATCTTCTTGATGACGGCTCGTAACTCCTCGTTGGCTTGATCCAGATTGCCTGAGAGACACACACACACACACACACACACACACACACACACTTGTGAGGAAGACTCACACCAGCACAGACGTGTGGAAGTCTCCGTCACCAAAGCTTTACCTTCAGTCTTGATCTTCAGCGCAGTTCGGACCAGAGCGAACAGGGTGGCGTTGAACATGACCGTCCCGTCACTGTTCAGGGGCATATTCATGGCAACCAGCCTCTGGACACAGATGATTACGAGGAAGATATAATGTGTGTTTATATGTACACTTCCTCGAGATAACAGTATTATATATGACGGGCTCATCAATGGTCCAACCCGAATTTCACAGGATTTTTTGCTGATTTTTTTAGGCCTAAAATGCCTGAATTTGCAGACTTTGATGGAAAATGTTGGCGATCATGATGTATATGATTCGTGCTAGTGACAGAGGGAGTGTAATTATACGTTTAAGCATAATTACTGAATTTGTGCTAATCAGTGACACCCACATAGAAACTCATTATTTTGCTGATTCAAACAAGGAAATCAAATCTGGGTCAGTATTTCAAATGGAAAAATGTATGTATCTGTATATCGTGTGTGTGTGTGTGTGTGTGTGTTCGGCCACAAGAGTGCATCATCTGTCTGTCTTGTCTCTCCCATATAGAAATGTAATATATGTAAATATATGTAAATTACATATATAATGTCAGTGCCCATGTATGTCTGCTACCTATACGAGAATATATGCAAAATTCATATATATAAAACACATGTACAAATATAAAACATATTTTCAAAATATAGCAAAAATTTACCATTTTCATGTAAGTGCCATATATTTTCCCATATATGCACATAAATGTTAAATAAATACAAAACGCATATATGTATATATATATATATATGAAGAGTTCAGATGCAAAAGCCTCTAAATGCCATTTGAAATTTTCTTCTTTAATGATGATTTTTATCAAACTTGTATATTTAAGTTCAGTGATTTCACTTAAATAACAATTAATAGGTAATTATCATTGCCATTTAAGTGAAATCACTGAACTTAAAAATACAAGCTTGATAAAAATTATCATTCTAGAAGAAAATTTCATTTCAAATGGCACTTAGAGGCTTTTGCATCTGAACTCTTCACATATTCATATACATACATATACTGTATATATATATATATATATATATATATATATTTCGACACCAGATGATGAATAAGGGTCTTATCTAGCGAAATCATCACTCATTTAATAAATAAATAACAAAGTTTAAATTTTATAAGCACAAATTCACAAAACCTTAATTTCTTTTCGACTGAAGAAAGAAAGACATGGGGGCGAGTGAATTATCAGCAAAAGTTTTTTTTTTAAAGTGAACTACTCCTTTAATGGGAATATTTTATGTACTTGTCAAAATGACATGTAATCAGATGCCATGTAATCAATGTTAATAATAGAAATGTTGTAAGTGCTTGTCTGAATAGTTTAAAAAGATGATACCTAATGTCTGAATACCTCTAACACCAATATTTTCCTGAATACCTTGTAATTAAATGCCTATAGTTGGAGATTTTGTACTGTGTAAATACCAAATATAGTATGTTTAATACAATAATGCAGTGTTTTCTTTGTCCTTTTCTTACAATAATGCAGTGTTTTCTTTGTCCTTTTTGACAAATAAATCCACAAAGTATAACCAAATGCCACAGCTTTAAAAATGCATCAGTATCACAGGCATGTATGTTTACATACATTTATTAAATATGTGGGAAACAAATATATATGTCACATATTTATACTTAATGTTGTCCATATATGTGAGAAACCAATACTATACTGTAATATATGCAGATGTATGGTATCATATATGGATGAACTCAAATATTTTCTTCACATGTTTGGACACATAAATGTTCATATATGTTGCAGGCATATATTGTGTTCTCAGATAAGTCAAATATATGTATAGATGTATGTCATAATATAAGTAAATATATGGCCATATATTACATTTTTGTATGAGCTGAACCATATACAGTTTAATTAAGATTTGATCACAAGTGTGTGTGTGTTATGTGCAATACCTTGCAAGCCACTCTATGAGGACACAGTTTGCCAAAGCCCAGCGGCGGCTGAATCCTGCGCAGCAGCGTCACCACATCTAAATGTTTGATACGGCCCCTGATAAACACACACGCACACACACACACACACACACTGTATTTACTGTCAAACAAAACTTACAGAGTGAACTAGAAGTACAACGTGTTTTGCATATATACTTGGCCTCGGGATCATATTCCGACCAGATCCTCTTGAATTCGTCTAAATGATGCGGTCCAAGAATCGACCAATCACGCGTCAGGTAGTCAAAGTTGTCCATGATGACAGCGACAAACAAATTAATGATCTGGGAGGGGGGAACAGTAATAAAACTGAGCAATAGCCTACAATTTGTGTCAAATAACAAAATTAAAAACTGTAAGTGAGTAAGAAAACAGTTACAATAACAACACATTAGACACATTATTAGAAACTGAATATGCTTAAAGACGAGCCATTCGGCCCTTTTACAAGTCTTTATGTGTTCAGGCTCTACTAAAACAGGTTTTCCTGCTTGAATGTTGATTATTCTCCTCATATTCTCCATTGTTTGCGGCTCCTCTCTTCCCAGTCTGTCAGTAACGCTCTGTTTGCTTCCTGTCTCTATGAAGCCCCTCCTTCTGAAAGCACACTGTGCTCTGATTGGTCGGCTGGAGCAGTATGTTGTGATTGGTCGAGCGCTTCGAGTATGTTTGGGAAAGTCCCGCCCCTTCCCATAACCACCAGTTTAACACACTACTAACTAACTCAACCAGGCCCCGCCCCTTTATTCTGCGCATTAATTATTATAATGAGGAATATTGTGACGTGTTCGTTCCCGGAAGAAGCTCAAGGCTACAATGGAGGCGTTTCAGGAGTTCAGAAACACTGACACTCATATAGAGAAGCTCCAACTACAACATTACACACTGACCAAATACTAAACACATGTTAATATTTCGAGAATAATACCAGAAAAGCACAGAGCATGTAGAAGCTGATGAAGTAGAGGATGGCGAAGGAGCTGCCGCAGGTCTTCTCCTCTCCAGGGTTATAGTCGGACTCCGAGTCACACAGTTTCCCAGGCAAACACGCCAACATGATCTGCTGCCACGCTTCGCCCGTCGCACACCTGACACACACACACACACACACAATCACAGACCGTCCTGTGCTTGCACTATGGGAATTACAACAATTAATGGCACATTTATTTTTTCAGAGAGTCGATGGCAGCCACTGACTTTTTATAGTAGAAAAAAATACAACTGTCTGCTTACAAACATTCTGTAAAATATCGTTCACGTGTTCAATAGAAGAACTTGAACAATTTGAGGGTGAGTAAATGAAGACAACATTTTTGGGTGAACTGGCCCGTTAAGTCATTTTGCTTTTCCAGTGAATGCGTCTTGATTTAAACATGTTAAAATCTTTAAAACAAGAAAAAAATACTGAGAAGAACATGTTTTATAATTTGATAAACAAAAAAATTCTAGTTAATAGCCTACTATTTTACTTATTTTACAGTGCTTTGATAATGAGAGTGTACAGATTTTGTCATCCCAGTAAGTCTCATTAAATATTAATTAAAAGGAAGTCAAACATGTACACACACACACACACCTGAACAGCAGGAGCACAGCTTGTGGAAAGGTCTGGAAATTATTGTTACGATTAATGCTGGTTCCATCCACCATAGCGACCTTCCCGAACACCTAAAAGTGTAAAACAATGTGATTATTATAATTCATAATTCAGAGTGTTACTGCAATAAACCCACAGATGATTCACCTGCATCCCAATGACAGCGTAGATGAAGAACAGCATGGCGATGAGCAGAGCCACGTACGGAAGAGCCTGACACAGAGGAGGAACATGAATATATATCGCTCAATAAACAATACACACAACAGTGCTGCTAATTACAACGTTATAGTTTAATTTATGTGTTTTTAACCCTTGTGCTGCATTAGATTTTTAACACCGTTGAGTGCATTAAGGACCAAAAATGGCCACATATTAAACATTGCCTAAAATATTATATATTATTATTATTTTCCACTTTTACCAAGTTAAATCTTTTAACCAGCATCAGTCCTCATCATAACTACCAAAAATGTATTCAATTTCAGGATTTTAACCCTTTAATTACCAGTTTTGTTTGCGAAACCATCGATTTGTATAAGAGGAAAAAACACAAAAATTCAATTATTTTCAATAAACTAAATGCAAAGAGAAAACTTTAGATTTGGATCATCACAGTCCCACTTTGCAAAAAATCCCACTTAGCGCGTTAGAGACCAAAAATGGCCACCTATTAAACATTGCCTATTGCCTAAAATAAGGTGCATTTCCACCCATAGGGAATAAATATGTAGTGACGTCATCTGGTGGAATACACTATATAATGCAAATATAATGCTTTTGCTTCAAAATGAAAGGATGTTTGTGCAAAAATCATGTTTCATGTATTACTGATTTAAACAACGTTTTAATGGGCTTCAATGGGCCATTTTTGGTCTTTATGGTGCTGAGTGTTACTATTTGATCTACACAGTGTGTGTTATACATATTTTGCAAAATGGGATCACATTTTTTACATGTATCCAAAAAGTCACAATTTTGCCAAATTTCATACCATTTGCATTAAAACAGCCAAAATGGTCAAAGAAATTAAACTGCAAAAGACCAAAAATGTCCCTAATGCAGCATAAGGGTTAAAGAGCCCCTATCATGGATTTTTGAAAATGACTGCTCATATGGTGTGGAATATAGCTCTAAGGGAATGAAAACATCCTGCAAAGATTTATATCTGAAAGTGTTGTACGAATCATTTGGGAGTCATTGAGCAAATCAGTTAAAAATAAATGAATAGTATAAGACAAATAGTGTTTTTTATCCTTGCATGCACGTTAAACTGTTTTTGGGAACTCCTAAAACAAAAATAGGAACATTTCAAATGCTATGATAGGGGCTCTTTAAATCTTCATATGGACTGGTTACCTAACTATTAGTCTCAGATGCGAGTTACAATTGTTCTCAGCAGACAGAAGACGTGAGCTTAAGTAAGTGTGTATCTCTTCTTTTGAAGATTATTTGGTTCAGTGTTTTCTGTTTTCTCTGTGTTTAGTTCTTGTTTCTATAAGCTTCCATCATGTTCTCTATGCCTAGACGTTTCGTTGTTCATAAGTGGACAGCATTGCTGAGTATTTCCTCCTTGCAGTGAACCAAAGACAGTCTCAAAAACACGCTTTGGTGTTTCTGACGTCACAAACCACCTTGTAACCAATCAGATCAACGTGTGATCGACAACCAGTGAGTGAGTGAGTGGAGGCGGGGCTCATTTGCATATTTATAGAACCGCGTATACTAAATAAGGCAAGGGTGTCGAGTTACATTCATACATACATACAAGGCATTACGATTTTTCTTCTACAAATGCAGATCCAATAAGGTCAGCCGCATGTCTTTCGTAAATCCTGGAGTTTTTTAACGGCAAAAGAGGGCGCAAGCTGTTAGCAAGTTTTGCATCTCACGTAAATGTGATTTAAGGATTTTTAAATCAGGGATGGACCGATACTGGATATTGTGCTCATGTACTCGTAAAACTACCCCGAGTCCACTTTAAGGGGCCGTTCACATATTGCGTCTAAAACACATGGAAAGTGCAGCCACACAGTTTCCGTTAAACGTTTCTCCTTCTTTCCACACGCGCTTGCGCTGCTGTGGCGTCTGTCGTTGCTATAATGCTACCATGACCATGGGCGCGTCTGGAAAAACGAGCACACCTACATTTCAAAATTACGAATTTGCACGCGCAAATGTGAATGGCCCCAAATATTATATATTATGGCATGTAATATGGCAACGTAACATTAGCCTAACCTCTCGTCAGCTGAGCAGGGAGTTGGAGATATTTTAAAGCTACACTGTGCAACTCTTTTAGTTTATTCTTAGCTAAAAACACTTAGTTCTTTCAAAAATATGAGTGCTCATTAATGTATATTTACTTTGTTCAAGTAATAAAGTATTCTCGTGAGTGTAGGCTATAATATGCCATTGAAAACACATACGGGTAAGGGGTTCTAATGTCGGTCGCCATGTTGCCCCTCCATCTTGAAAGTACATTAGCCAAAGAGGGACGTACCCGTTAATTCAAGCGTTTACGTTTGAGTCAACACTCATGGACGAGGTCGAACTGGAAGCCATGTTAATCTTGGACTACATTGGCCACCGTAAGAGTTAACTTGGAAATTGGAATTGAGAGAAGCAGAAACTAATATTCACTGGATGGTCATATACCTTTTCACCACTAGATGGGGGTAAAAATCACACAGTGTAGCTTTAAGACAAGCGATGATGATAAAAGTACAGAAGAATGCAAACTACGCTCTGCTAAATTGAGAAATAGCTCCTTTAACACAAGCAATTTGAGTATACAAGTTGTATAGGCCTATTTACTTCGTTACGGTCAGAAAGTAAAAAACATCTGATGAAAATAAAACATAGTAAGACGTTTTAAAAGTACTCATATTGGTACTTGGTATTCGATAAGTACTTGTACTTGGTCTGAAAAAAAGTGTTATCAGTGCATCACTAGTTTAAATACTTGTACTGGAAAACGAGAGAATCAGTGTACAGTACCTGAAATGACTTGATGAAGGTCCACAAGAGCGTGCGAATGCCTTCTCCTCTGCTCAACAACTTCACTAAGCGCATGACACGAAACAGACGGAAGAAGGTGATGGAAATCCTCGCGCTGTCCTCCGTGTTCTGAGAAAAACACCTCAAGTTAATGAGCTCTAATGTGCTTCCGCTCTTTACTTCGACGTGTCTCTGTCACACATGGCAGTGAGTGAACAGGACCGTGATGTTGAGTGTTCTGCCTCATTCACTGGCGAGTTTCATGCAGAGTTTATTCATGCACTGCAGGCTTGGCATTCTCAGACAGCCCCATACACATGACAAAGATCTTGTCAAGACAACACACAGGGCATCTTACCCCTGACTATACTGCAGCTCCTGTGTGCTTCAACAGATGAAAGGGCTCGTATTAAATCTCATATTCAGTGCTTCTGAACACAGCAAACTCATGCTGAACTATTGAGCTTTCGCATGAAGAAATACATGAGGTACAGTTCTGTCATGACAACTCTCTAAATGTGTTTGGCATTGTGATGGATATGACTATGTTGTATGTTTGGTCTTGGCGGAATAGATCTGCTTTGCTACTTCTGCTGCTCTTATTGCTGCTACTGCTGTTAATGTTATTACTGTTGCTGTTATTTCTGCTGCTACAGAACAATTATATATATATATTAGTGCTGTCAAACGATTAAAATAGTTAATTGCGATTAATCGCATTAAAGTCATAATTAACTCGCGATTAATCGCATTAATGTCATAGTTAACTCGCGATTAATTGCATTAATGTCATAATTAACTCGCGATTAATCGCATTAAAGTTTTAGTTAACTCGCGATTAATTGCATTAATGTCATAATTAACTCGCGATTAATCGCATTAAAGTCATAATTAACTCGCGATTAATCGCATTAAAGTTTTAGTTAACTCACGATTAATTGCATTAATGTCATAATTAACTCGCGATTAATCGCATTAAAGTCATAGTTAACTCGCGATTAATCGCATTAATGGCATAGTTAACTCGCGATTAATTGCATTAATGTCATAATTAACTCGCGATTAATTGCATTAATGTCATAATTAACTCGTGATTAATCGCATTAAAGTCATAGTTAACTCGCGATTAATCGCATTAATGTCATAGCTAACTCGCGATTAATCGCATTAATGTCATAGTTAGCGCGCGATTAATCACATTAATGTCATAATTAACTCGCGATTAATCGCATTAAAGTCATAGTTAACTCGCGATTAATCACATTAATGTCAATTAACTCACGATTAATCGCATTAATGTCATAGTTAACTTGTGATTAATCGCATTAATGTCATAGTTAGCTCGCGATTAATCGCATCAGCCATAATTTACTCGCGATTAATTGCATTAAAGTCATAGTTAACTCGCGATTAATTGCATTAAAGTCAGTTAACTCACAATTAATCGCATTAAAGTCATAGTTAACTCGCGATTAATCGCATTAAAGTCATAGATAACTCACGATTAATCGCATTAATGTCATAGTTAACTCGCATATAATCGCACATTTTTATCTATTCTAAAAGTCTCTTGATTTCTTTTTCTCACATTATTTTTTCTCATTTTAACGCTCTTTTCAACATGGAAAAGTGGATCGGCTTGTTTTGTACAAATGTTTTTCATTGAAAACAACATTTCCATATATACTGTGTTCTATTTCACACTAACATTCTCACTTGGAGCAAATAATCTCTTAATGTAACGCTGTCCATCAAGAAAAGGGTGGAAGAAATACTGACGAGGTCCTGATATTGACGAGGAGGCGGAGAATTTTCATCAGCTGTGTGTGTGTGTGTTTCAGACTGGACGTACTGCGATGATGATCGCTCAGTTCATTACGACAAAACACACAGATCACTTTGGTCTGGTCAATGGAACCATTTGGCAACTTTTTAGTAAAGTAAACTTTCCATTCAGAATCTTATTGGCATCCATTTCGGCGTCTCGCACTCGTTGTCCACTCAAAACGTAACGTTAACCTACTATTTGGCCGGCTCACAAGCCCAAACGAGTGTGTGTTGTTTTGTTTACGGTCTAGCTAGCAACAAAACGTCCTCGCGCGGCGCAAGCCAATGAAATGAATGGGTTTCATAGCGCAGCGTAGTGAAAAAACACTACAAAGTTTGCTAGGCCAAAAAGACCGTTAATCGCGCGATAAAAAATTGACGCCGTTAAAATGGGTTTGCGTTAATGCCGTTAATAACGTGTTTAACTGACAGCCCTAATATATATATGTATGCACGACACACTGTTGTGAGCAAGTAATGCGGCTGCTGTACAATAGCCTACATGAATTACCCATAGCAAATCTATACAGGTGGAGCTGGGGAACGTGGAGGGTTTTTGAAAGTGCGCTGCAAATGCAGACCAAGTATTTGAAGGTTGTGCAGCAAGCTCATTGGCTACTGATTAGAGCCAGGCCAATATATCGGCAGGCCGATATTATCGGCTGATATTAGGCATTTTCCAAACTATCGGTGTCGGCAGTTATAATGGCAGATAAATGAATATTTCAAAAATAAAATAAAAACGGACGAAACACGCTTGAACCATGTCATGAGTGTTGGAGTTGTATAGTTTGTCCACTAGAGGGCGCTCTACACCATTCCTTTTGGCAACACTCGTCGAGTTGGTCACGAGACATACATTGCTTGAATAACAATTAAAAGAACATCCACATCAGTTCTCTAAACTCAAATAAGCATGACACAATTTGTGACTATCATGTCCAGTTTTGCTGTTAAATAAGCCGAGAGTGAAGCGGGATTAGCTAGTAATAATTACGTTACGTTGTTACAGTGTAGTTGACTGACTGTCCTTTTAACTTTAGACAATGTGACTGAAGTATTTCTTTAATACCACGTGACCGTTATAGCAATGAGACGTATCATCTGTTATATTGAAAATGTATGTTTTACAATTTGCAGAATGACGTAATCCGTTGCTAAATTATGGCTCATCATAGACTAGCTAACCACAAAGCTAGCTAACGCCACTATCGTCAGTCTGTTCTGTTGTGACAATAAAAGAAACAAGTTTCTTTTTAAAATGCATTATCATGTTATTTTAGTTAAAACTCATAAATAACTACAAATAACTAATGTTAGGGAAATCTGTTAATGTTTTGTTGCGCGTTTCTGAAAGAAAAAAAAAATATCGGCCGATATATCGGATTTTAAAACCAACAAATATTTGTATCGGTATCAGCCGGGCTCTAATACTGATGAATAACTGAACCAATCAGCTGTGCCCTAAAGAAAATCACGTGAGGACCTACAGTATCATTCTGCACCATCGAGAGTTTCATGACAGAACTTGGTATTCTACCCTCGGTGGGAACACTTACACTTTAAACATTGTAAAAAAAAATTATATGATTAATAAGTCCTAGCAACATATGTTTTTCAATTACTTTAACTGAGTGAGTTGAAATGATAACTCTTTTGCACACTAAACAGATCACATAATGTGACTACATCCTAAGTTATATCAGTAGTAAGATGGGAAAACACCGTTAATATCTGAACAGAAACAGACAGACAAGAGAGAACACAGAGCTGGGCCTGGATCACATGTTTACTTACATTGACCTCAGTGATCGCAATGTCAACGATGCTACCAACAACAATTAAGGCATCAAACGTGTTCCATGCATCGGCAAAATAGTGCTGCAGACACCCAGCGAAACAGAGGAAAAGAGATGGATGACAAAGGAACAGAAAAGAGGGAAGAAAAAGACAGAAGAAAAATCACAGTTTTGATGTTGCAGCCGCACACAGAAAGAGCAACACACGGCTTCTGTGTCTCATTCTGCTCCCCAACTCCCTATAATGCCAATCAGAGGATAGTGAACACTAATTCAGACACTAGCAAGGGCCTTGAGCCCAACAATGGGACACTGATGGTTGACTTGTTTCATTCATCCAGTGTTGGGTGTAACTAATTACTAAGTAATTAGTTACTGTAATTTAATTACTTGTCCCTTGAAAATGTACAGTAAGGGATTACTCTTAATTTATCTGTAATTTAATTAGTTACTTCTGATGTAATTGAGGTAAATACTGTGTATAGATCAATCCAATCTCACAGCGATTCGTATGCATTTTACGAGGCGTCTAAATATTACGACCACACTCGTACAAATTCGTACGAATTATTTTAAAATATGTATGGAAAAAGTGTGAAATGTCATGAGATCAGACATAAAACAATAGTGGGTTTAACATCAAAATGTAGCCTATTGTCTGATGCTAAAAAGTATGTTTTTATAATGTAACCTTCTCCACCTTGGTCTGTTAATAAAGGATAATTCATGCAATTTTATAGCATTTATTTGAAAGAATTAAAACAGATTCATGTCTATCCTTGTATTATTCAGCTGGATGAGATTGATATGGGATTTTGAAAGTAATTAGTAATTAAAAGTAATTAAAAACTTTTTCGAGAGAGTAATTAGTACAGTAATCTAATTACACTGTTGAAGAGGTAATTAGTAACTAGTAATTAATTACTTTTTAGAGTAACTTACCCAACACTGCATTCATCACACATCTTTATTGTACCGCAACTGTTTAAAGTCATGTATTGCCATCATGTCATTTCTAAATAAGACATGATGACATTTCCTGTATGGGATTGTATTGAGAAATCAATGCTTGCTGGTTATTTGCATTCATTCTGAGATTTTTTGGAGATGACCAGTGCACTAGGGAGCGGATTGAGACACATCCTACCACAACGACATCAGCTAGGCATTCTGGGTATTTATTTATAACAGTTTATTTGATTTTCATAATAATGTTTATGTCACTCACATATCACCCTAAAATCAATAGAAAACTAAAGTATACTATGCATTAAGAAAATGAAAACCTTTTCCATTGTGACATTCGCATGCCCTAATGTTCGGGACGCTTCACTTTTTGGACTTTTTTTGTGATTATGAGCAGAAGAAGTATAAATCATCATGTAAATGATCACATTCATGAGCACAGATTGTGCTTTGTAAATGTTACGATCACTCAAAATATGACAATGATTTATACTGGCTTCTGTTATAATACAAATCATTTTCAATTTCATCACAAAACTTTGTTAAACAGCAAAAGGCGCACGTTTATATATTTTATTAATGAGTGCAAATATTTGTCCGCATAATAACAATTTGATATCTTCTTATCTGACATATTTTGTTATTATTTTGTCGTAGCCCTCGAACTTTATAGCCCTTAATCCTGTAATTGTGCACAAATGTGGACACAGAGGACTCGGGTGTGATCCTAATTTGCATTTATTATAAATGTTGTATCACTGTCTTTGATAAAGTTTTGTCTATCAATTTATGGTGGTTTTTTTTTGTATTTTGGGGGTATTTTTGAATTTATTTACTTCAAAAAGTACCATATTTTCTTAGAAAATTATGCTTATTTTTATGTTATATTTAAAAAAAAAAATTTAACTACATCCAATAAATTCTTTGAGCTAAAACCTAAAGATGAAGTGACTTTGCTGTTATTTTGGCTTATTTTAGAATGCTCTAAATTACAGTTTTTCCCATTCATTTCTATGGGTGCCCATTTTTGACCCGAATAACGAGATTAAGGAGTTTTTTTTTTTCACCCAATTAACATTGTAGAATTGAGTCAAAAAAAATAAAATAATTGTGTGTTTAGGATGCAAACTTAGGAAAAGTAGCCAAGTCTTGTACTGCTCAGATCAAGGGAAGTATTTTTTAAAAATAAATCAAAACTATTTTGCCCACATTTGTCCAGAATACGGTTTTAGGGTTAAAGGCTTAAATTCTGTAACCATAAATGAGACTTTCATTTCATTTATTTCGGTTTGGTCATTTACACATCAATCAAATCATTAGAATCATTCGACTTCTTAAAGCATGCTCTGTGTCAGACATCTATAAACACAGCACACTGAAGGACAAGTGACCAGATAAACATACACAAACGCCAGCTAGCAGAGGTGAGGGTCAGACAGGCGAGAGGAGAGACGGGCGTCTACCTGACTCAGAACGATGTCTACTACGCTCCCAATCACCACCAGTGCATCAAACCCATTCCAGGGGTCCACACAATAACCCTGATTACACACACACACACACCAGCGGGGGGACAGGAGAGCAGAAGGGTTAACATCACGGGACAGGGCACAAGCTTTACACTGACACTACAGACACACATACCTTCGGCTGGAAGGCTACCAGTTTGAGGATCATTTCGACTGCGAAGACCCCCGTGAACACCATGTTCAAAATGTCCATCCCATAATTGAAAAGCTGTGATTGGCCATGATGCTGAGTGTAATACACAGAAAAGTCAAAATGAACATGATTTAATGTGATTGACTTCAGCACTTCAAATTCAATTTTAAAAAATAGATGGATCAAGCATTACTTTCGATATAAAAATAAAATTTGCTATTTAATCCCTAATCTAATTTTTTTTTTGCTTTTCTGTTGAAAACAGTAAGATTCCCGTTAGATTAAGTAATTTTCACAGGCAGGTGCTTATCTATAAACATAATTTTTCTCCAAACAAATGTATAATTTGGAATTACAGGTATATAACTTTTAAGCATAAACTTTTTTTTTTTCAAAAATGGGTTGATAGTGGCATCATTTTTGTCAAAGAGTTATTCAATGAAAATGGGCACCTGCATACCTATGCAGAGTTTCTTCAAAGATACAATATTCCAATAATACCAAAAGAATATTGTATAGTGTTTGATGCTATACCATCTGGTTTAAAGTGTCTGTTTAAAGGAAATGTGAATAACGAGACTGTGATGTTGCAATTAGTGGACTTTATTAGGAAGTTACTAACTGAATACAGCCCGATATCTTCTAAAACATACTGGTATTCTAAGGTTGATTGCATTGACTGGAAATATGCATGGTTGCTGCCAAAAAAATATTGCATAACAAATAAGGTGAGAGAAGTACATTTTAAAACACTTCATCTGGTGTACCCAGTAAAAACTCTTTTTCTAAGGTTTCGCACTGATGTAGATGTTAAATGTGATTTCTGTGGGACGGAGAAAGAAAATGTTGTCCACTTATTTTTTAATTGCATTTATAGCAAAATGTTTTGGGTGTTTTCTTTGTAAATGGTTAGGAATGAAATTTTTCATTTCTGAAAAAGATGTCTTTTTTTATTTTTTGGAACTATGTTTTTACTGAACTTTTCTTATACAGAAAAAAAAAAGTCTTTTTTTATTTTAATAGACAAAGTTTACCTCCAAATGTGGCCTTAATTGTTAACCTCTGTTTGATTATGGGGAAATATCATATACACAAACAAAAATGGGCTAAATGGAAACCACATTTTTTTTTATTTCAGATAGAAATGAAAAATTATTGTGAGTTACTTCTTGGGTTAAAAAAATAGTAAAGCAAAACGTACGAGGTCTTTACGTACGATTTACTTCATGATCTCATACCGGTTTCTTTTTTTTTGTTTCTTTATTGTATTATTATTTTAATTTATGTTGTATTTTTCTATTTACTGTAATGTATAACTATTTCAATAAAAGAGATTTAATGTGATTACAGTGCAATTTTGCAAACTGAGTCTATCACTAAAGGGCTAGTTCACCTCAAAGTGTAAACTCTGTCAGTAATATTGTTCAGCCCCGTAAGACTTTCGCTCATCTTCGGGACACACATTAAGATAGTCGCCTCTCTGAGAGCTGCTCTGCTCTGATTGGCCAGAGCGCAAACGCTCATTATCATATCTGAATCTCAGCTCTTGATCACAGTGATGCGAACAGTAACGATGGCGATGATCTCATCAAAGTGGATCTGCTTTGTCAGCAGAAAACAGCGTCTCCTCGATCCAAACTCTCAGATACACTAGTGTTTGAGGGCGGAGCTAAGAGATGCGGTTCAGCCAATCAACACCAGAGGCGGCCATTATGCAAATGTGTTACAAACCTACACAGACGCCTCAGATCTCTGATGAGGTTTGGGTCTCTCTCACCTGAACCGCCAGACACAGCGTGTTGAGGACGATGAGCACGAACATGACGTACTCGAAGCCTGTGGAGTTCACCACATACCAGAACTTATACTGGTAGGGGTTTTTGGGGATGTATCTCCTCAGCGGACGGGCTTTCAGAGCGTACTCCACACACTGCCGCTGTCAACACACACACACACAATCAGACTCATCTTTCCTTCATATACACACTGGACAGGGTTGCCAGGTCTGCGAAACAAAACTCACCCAGTCACACTATCCCAAATATCAAAACTCATAATATGCCATATTACTTGAAAATCAATCTCTACATAGTAATAGTCATCGACACAGTCTGTTTTCACAAAATGCTGGATCATTGTTATATAAAATGGGTAAAATATCTCAATAGAAGCATTTTAGATAAATTAAACGGTAACAGTTTACAATAATGTATTAACTAACATGAGGAATACATTTGTTACTGTGTTTGTTAATGTTAGCTAATAAAAATACAGATGTTCATTGTTAATTCATAGTGCATTAACTAATGTTAACAAGATTTTAATAAAGTATAATTTAGTAAATGTTGAAATTAACATTGAGAAAGAGGAATAAGTGCAGTTCATTATTAGCTAATGCTAACTAATGTAGTTAAGAGGTACCATTTCATTTTACACATTTACATCAATTGCAATCACAATAAACCTTTAACCCGCAGGGAAAAAAAGTGGTAACACTTTAAAATACGGGTGCACTAATATGCATTAATTCATGCTTAACTAATGCACAGATAATCATGAGTTAATGTATAACTAACCCATTAATTAATGATTACTGCATCAGCAACTAATAAAGAGTCTATATGATTAATAGATTTAGTAATGCATGAATTGCTATTAATTCAATGTGTCATTGTGTATTAATTCCTTAATAACATATTTTATTAACTAATAGTGTAAATTAATGTGTTAATTAGCCCAATTAGTCAAAGCTATGCACTTCAACTTCCAGTTGTCTGCTTTAATTAATCACTAGCTAATGATTTGCAAAGGTATCATTATGTTATGACTTTACTTGTTGGGGCACGTCATTATTAACTAGTCATTTAGTAATTGTAGTAATTTGCACATGAATTTGCACTAACAATGAAGTAATTAATCATGTATTAATGCATATTAATTTTTCCCTTTCATATTATCTGGAAGTTGAAATACATTCTGGTAATTAACATATTAATTAACACTATTAGTTAAAAAAATGAGTTATTATGGAATTAATCCACAATTACATATTTAATTAATAACAATTCATGTATGAACTAATACATTAACCTTACAGACTCTTAATTAGTTCCTAATGTGGTAATCATTAATGAATAGTTTAAATAATCATTAGTTACATATTTTATCATGAATTAATGCTTATTAGTGCACCCGTATTGTAAAGTGTTACCAAAAAAAGTCAACCTGCTCCAACTGTGTAAAGTGTCCCAGTTCTGCGGGACTTGGCAACCCTGACCTGGATCACGATATATAAGGATATCTGTGAGGACTTCAGACCTGGTTCTTGTCCAGCTCACAGTTCTTGTATTCTTTCTCGCCCTGCTCCTGAAACGTGACGATGACGAAACCCACAAAGATGTTCATCATGAAGAAGGCGATGATGATGATGTAGATGATGAAGAAGATGGAGATCTCCACACGGTAGTTGTAGATCGGGCCCATGTTTTCCTTGCTGGAGTCGATGGCCTTGTACAGCAGGCTGAAGGAGAGAGGACACACTCTTCATCATCAGCAGCATGGTTCAGTGTTTGGCTCCAGAACCCAGACTGTCATCAAAACACTGTTAAAGTCCTTACAATCAATCACTGAAAGCTTTACTTTAAAGGGATACTCCACTTTTTTTGGAAATAGGCTCATTTTACAACTCCCCCAGAGTTAAACGTTCTGATTTAAAAGAATATCAGTAAACAGACAGTTTCTGATCCCATTGACTTCCATAGTATTTTTTTTTCCCTACTATGGAAGTCAATGAGACCAGAAACTGTCTGGTTACTGATATTCTTCTAAATATCAGAAAATCGGCTGAATGGATTCGAAAACGGTAAAACTCAAACGTTTAACCCAGAGGGAGTTGTAAAATGAGCCTATTTCCCAAAAAAGTGGAGTATCCCTTTAACCATGAACACTTTAGCATATGTGTGTGTGCTGGTCTTACGCTGGCCAGCCTTCAAACGTTGAGACGGTGAAGAGAGCCATCATCGCCATCAGCACATTATCAAAGTTGAAGTCGCTGTTGAACCAGATCCTCTCACGCGTTTGTGGCAGAGCCGTCTCACCAATACTGTACACGATATATGTCCCTCTGGAAACACAAACACAGGGTCTGACACATCCATACACACACACACACATACTCTCACACACACACACCTGCATTCCTCTGGACTTGACTTTGCTTCATCACTACAGCGGTAGAACTTCCCCTGAGGACATAATAGAGCATTGCTTGATAAAGGAGTTTATTAATATGAAATCTCTCTCTAATGTGACAGTGTTTGCTGGAGCACCTTGAACAACTGCACACCGATGCAGGCGAACATGAACTGAAGAAGTGTGGTGACGATCATGATGTTCCCGATCGTCCGTATGGCCACAAACACACACTGAACCACGTGCTGAGAGAGAGAGAGAAGTGTTTATTTCTGCATTGTACAATTCAAATAGTAAGAAGTATTAATCTTATTTTTCATGACGCATTGAAAGTAATACGAGTTATGCATGGGTGTAGATTACACACTTTTTCATAGAGACAAGCTGAGGTTTTTGCGGGTGTGTGATGTAAAATGCAAAGACATTTCCATGGTAATCAGTCACTCATGCTTTAGCCTACGACACACTCAAAATGGCAAAAAAAACTCTTCACTCCTTTTTCACGAAAAAGTCAAGCAAGTTGTCATGTACTATTCGAATTGTGATGCACAATGATGAATAACTCCGCCTATTTCTCGTGTTGAATAATTAACAGCTAGGTTTTCTCCACCCGAACAAACATGCAATATTTTCAATCTTTTTTTTACTCGTAATGCATTTTATTTGTTATCAAAGCCCTTCAAACGAGAATAAACATGGTGAATGTTAATGCTAAATTTGTATTTTCATGCATTAACAGCAGGCAGCGTTGTAATGTGTGTAGGCCTACATGATGTTTATCATAATTTGGTAACATTTTACAATTAGGCCTAGATAAAACAGTTTGTAGACAAACTTTAAGATATCTTGAAAAAGTCTAACTAGAAGGTTTTCAACTGGAAAGTTTTAGTTTAGTAAGACAGACGTTGTTTCGGCTAGTAAGAAAATGTAATTTGCCTGAAGAAGAACTTTTATTAAAAGTAAATGTTCTTTTTAAATCAGCTTCAGTGTGATATTTAACCACACTCTTAGAAGAAAAGGTTCTATATAGAACCTTAAAAGGTTCTAAAGCGCTACGTATTTGGAACCCTTAAAATGCAATGCATGTGAATGACCACAAAATTCAAGATATGGGGGTTAAAAAATGTAATTAATCAATATCACACGGAGAGTGCCATTTCAGTTTTTATCCTCCAAAAATCTGCATGATTAAAATGTGATATTAAGTTACTACAACAGTTTAATAAACAATAATTTAATAACAACTACAAAATGTTGCAGAATAATAATGTAATATATGAATGCATAATAGCCTGCAATAAAGAACCTTTGTGCCAAAAGGGTTCTTTCTTGTCATTATTGAACCTTTTTTAGCATAAAATGTCCTTTGGAGTTGAGTAAAGAACCCTATGCTATATATATAGAACCCTTTTTTCTATCATGCTTTACACACTGATGATCAGATATCTAAATCAGAGCACAATATCATATGTTTGAGCTGTTGGGTTTCGGGTACTCAAAGTGTACCAGATTAATGAATTTATCTTTAAAATGTACTAAATGTTCTTTCGGGGGGCATGACCCCGGACACCCCTAGAGGTACCGAGATCCACCAACAAAAATACTGTGGTTAACACAGTAGACTATATGATGGTCTACGAAAAGTACACATTTTATTATCTTATTAAAATACATGATCAGGATTTGACCACCTTCGCCTCGTTTTAAGCCAGGAAAAACCCTGCATGTGCAATATAAAGTACTGGACAACTTTCTTTCTTTCTGTTTTATTGCTTTTAAAATAAATAGCATATTAAGCAAAAACCTGACACTTGGTATTACACTTGACATTCTGTCCCCCTCACTTTTGAGTTATGTAATCAGATTACTTGTTAAAGTAACTAGTAAAGTAATGTGTTACTTGTACATTTTGCTTGTAATGAGTCTATATAATATAGCAGTTTCACCTTTTAAGTTGAATTACTGAAATAAATGAAGTTGTGCACGATATGTTTGGCGTGTGTCCTGTAATGCGAGTTAGGTAATCAGATTACTTTTTAAAGTAACTAGTAAAGTAATGCGAGTTAGGTAATCAGATTACTTTTTAAAGTAACTAGTAAAGTAATGCGTGTTAGGTAATCAGATTACTTTTTAAAGTAACTAGTAAAGTAATGCGTGTTATGTAATCAGATTACTTTTTAAAGTATATAGTAAAGTAATGCGAGTTATGTGATCAGATTACTTTTTAAAGTAACTAGTAAAGTAATGCGAGTTAGGTAATCAGATTACTTTTTAAAGTAACTATTAAAGTAATGCGAGTTAGGTAATCAGATTACTTTTTAAAGTAACTAGTAAAGTAATGTGTGTAATGTAATCAGATTACTTTTTAAAGTAACTAGTAAAGTAATGCGAGTTAGGTAATCAGATTACTTTTTAAAGTAACTAGTGAAGTAATGCGAGTTATGTAATGTAATCAGATTACTATTTAAAGTAACTAGTAAAGTAATGCGAGTTATGTAATCAGATTAAGTTTTAAAGTAACTAGTAAAGTAATGCGAGTTATGTGATCAGATTACTATTTAAAGTAACTAGTAAAGTAAGGCGAGTTATGTGATCAGATTACTTTTTAAAGTAACTAGTAAAGTAATGCGAGTTAGGTAATCAGATTACTTTTTAAAGTAACTAGTAAAGTAATGCGTGTTAGGTAATCAGATTACTTTTTAAAGTAACTAGTAAAGTAATGCGTGTTATGTAATCAGATTACTTTTTAAAGTAACTAGTAAAGTAAGGCGAGTTATGTGATCAGATTACTTTTTAAAGTAACTAGTAAAGTAATGCGAGTTAGGTAATCAGATTACTTTTTAAAGTAACTAGTAAAGTAATGCGAGTTATGTAATCAGATTACTTTTTAAAGTAACTAGTAAAGTAATGTGTGTAATGTAATCAGATTACTTTTTAAAGTAACTAGTAAAGTAATGCGAGTTAGGTAATCAGATTACTTTTTAAAGTAACTAGTGAAGTAATGCGAGTTATGTAATGTAATCAGATTACTATTTAAAGTAACTAGTAAAGTAATGTGAGTTATGTAATGTAATCAGATTACTATTTAAAGTAACTAGTAAAGTAATGCGAGTTATGTAATCAGATTAAGTTTTAAAGTAACTAGTAAAGTAATGCGAGTTATGTGATCAGATTACTATTTAAAGTAACTTGTAAAGTAATGCGAGTTAGGTAATCAGATTACTATTTAAAGTAACTAGTAAAGTAATGCGAGTTATGTAATCAGATTACTTTTTAAAGTAACTAGTAAAGTAATGCGAGTTATGTGATCAGATTACTATTTAAAGTAACTAGTAAAGTAATGCGAGTTAGGTAATCAGATTACTATTTAAAGTAACTAGTAAAGTAATGCGAGTTATGTAATCAGATTACTTTTTAAAGTAACTAGTAATGCGTTACTTGTACATTTTTTCATTTTCATCTCACTTTGCATGTAATGAGTCTATAAAATATATTAGTTTCACCTTTTAAGTTGAATTACTGAAATAAATGAAGTTGTGCACGATATGTTTGGCGTGTGATCTGTAAGGGAAGGAGATAGACTGACTTTGAGTCCTTTGGCTCTGTTGATTGCTCTCAGCGGGCGAAGCACACGCAGAATCCTCAAGATCTTCACCACTGAAATGGCCGACGACCTGCAGATAAAGCGCATGTTGAACACGAGCGCGCACACACACACACACACACACGTGCTGGAGGACATGAACTGTACACGTACTGTATCCCGAAGGACAGGAGAGACACTCCGACCACCAGCAGATCCAGCAGATTAAAGTAGTTCCTGCAGAACGCTCCTTTATGAAGGAAAGCGCCGAACGCAGTCATCTGAGGAGCACAACACACACCAGTCAACTACACACAAACACAAATTCATATCGAACTCAACAATCACAAATAAGAAATGAACTGGTGAAGCATAATCTGTGTATCTGGAATAAGTGAGAGGGTAATGATCATGTAGAAATAAGACATGAGTCTTTACCTTCAGCAAGATCTCCACTGTAAAGATAGCGGTGAAGGCGTAGTCTAAATAACCCAGAACCTGCAACGTGACACAACAAACTCAATCCAGAATCCACAACAGAGTCAGTTCAAGTCTATTTGATTTCTACAGCACATCTATAATCCTCACAGTTTCACAGCGTTCGTGTCTTTAGGCCCGTTTAAGTTAACAGACAAATGTAAAAATGGCAGGAAGTTGTAAAATGTGAAATCCTGTTTATGTGAAATATAGTAAAACTATTTCTATACACTACTTCAGACATTCAAGTAACTTCAAGTACACCGACATGTCAACGAGCTCTCAGTGGAGTATTAATAGAAATGTCAGCTCCTCAACAGACTATACGACTACCAGTCAAAAGATGTTTAATGTTTTTGGGGTCAGCAAGAAGAACATTTATTTTATTTTATTTTAATAAAACAAAATCAATACTTTTATTCATCAATGATGAATTAAATTGATCAAAAAATACATTAAAGACTTTACAAAAGATTATTTAAAGGAGCTGTATGTAAGATTGTGGCCAAAACTGGTACTGCAATCAGTTTCAAATTACTGTAGAGCGGTGTATCGAGGTTGCCAGATAAGGCTGCAGGATCCAACATTTTTTTATCCCACACGTTTGTATCTGCAGCTGTGGTAACTAGAGCAGAGTTGGCAACCAGAATGCTGCAACACTACTGACTCCGTGATTGGTCAATCGGTGGAGGGCGGAGCATCAGACCAAAACACAACATGACAGTTGAGTTCTGCAACTTCACTTTATAATTGACAATATCCTGGCTGGACGACTGCTGTCACTGATATACAAGTATTTGAAATGAACATGATTTCTATATGTCTAGTGACATGATTATTTGAAATAAATGTCTTCCATACAGCTCCTTTAAAAATAAATTATCTTCTTTTGAACTTTATATTCATCAAAGAGTCTTGAAATAAAAATGTAAATAATTATCAATAATAATCATAAATGTTTGTTGATCATCAGATCCTCATATTAGAGTGATTTGTGAAGGATCATGTGACACTGAAGACTGGAGTAATGATGCTGAAAATCACAGGAATAAATTACACTTTACTTTATATTTACACATACAACAGATGAATAATATTTCACGATTTTTATTTGTAATCAATTAAATTTAATTGATTTATTTTTAATCAATTAAATCCTCCAATGAGAGTTAAGTTGAATGTCTAAAGTGGACTATCGAAACCTGAAATAAATATGATCAAGAAGAAAATGAGGTGACAAATTACAGCTGATGCTGCATAATTAGAAAGACATGTCCATATTATTCTATGATTTGTGTGTTTTCTCCTATTAAAGAGCAGGTGATGTGGTTTTCTCGTGGTCTTACGATGTTTCGGGCGGAGAAGTTTCGGATGGGGTCCTCGGCGGCCAGCGAGACCGAGCTCAGCATGATGAAGATGAGGATGAGGTTGGTGAAGATCTGATGATTGATGAGCCGATGGCACGCCACACGGATCCTGCGTTACACACCCACAACAGTGTGTGTGTGTGTGTGTGAGAATGAGCAATGAGGAAACGCAAAAGATGTCAAGCACACATGCAAAAAAAATGAATAAGGCTGTGTCCGAAATCTCCACCCAAACTGCTACTCCCTACCCCCTATGTAGTAGAGCACTATATAGTGAGCTCACCGGCATAATAGAAACACAACTTTCGGACACTACTCGATCGTCTCTCCGTCATTGCTGTCGCCTGTCCGTCTTTTTTACGATCAGCGCAATGCATGATGGTATGTAGGGTTTGGGGTAGTGACCATCGGTTGTACACTACTTTTCAAAATGCATTCTGGGATACACTATATAGGGAATAATAATCATCACTATACATTCGGACAGCACTACAAAATGGCGGGCTCACTATATAGTCCACTATTTCGGACACAGCCTACATCTCCAGTGCGTCATAAACGCTCCAGATGTGAACAGAATAATTACTTCAGTTTGTTCTTCAGCCTTGGGAAAAAAGCGTGCTTAATTTTATTGAATGTGCTTTAGTGTACTTTAAATATTTCGGTAACACTTTGCAATAAGGTTCATTAGTTAACATGTACCAAGAATGAACAATCCTTCTTCAGCATTTATTAATCTTAGTTAATATTAATTCCAACATTTACTAATACGTTATTAAAATCATAGGTTGTATTAGTTAATGGACTGTGAACTAACATGAACACGCAATGAACAGCTGTATTTATATCAACTAACATTAACAAAGATTAATAAACACTGTAAAACTAATGCATTGCTCATCGTTAGTTAATGCATTTACTAATGTTAACTAATGAACCTTATTGTAAAGTGTTGCCAATATTTCAGATATATTAGTAAAATAAACGTATAACTTAGGTATACTTCACTTGTCCACTTTTAAAAAGTGCACTTTGTAATGACAAAGGTTCATTTTTAAATCATTGTAATTTTGACGTGTTGACTAACAAACTAAAGCACATGAAAAGAATTATAATTTTAACTGTAGTGTGTGGATATTACATTAAAAATAAATATATTTTAGAATCCCCGTGTGGTGTAAATCCAGCTTTTAATGTGGTTTATGTGTGTATGTGGTGTTTTTAATACACTTTAACCATGTGTAAGTTGATAAGTGGACTGAGTATTTCCTCCTTAAAACTGCAGTGAACCAAAGACAGTCTCAAAAACACGCTTTCTGACGTCACAAACCACCTTGTAACCAATCAGATCAACGTGTGATCGTCAACCAGTGAGTGGAGGCGGGACTCATTTGCATATTCATATAACCACGCATACTAAATGAGGCGAGGGTATCGAGTACTCAAGATATTTTAAGGCATGAAGTGTATTTTTGTTGATCAAAGATGAGATTTAAGGGATCAAATGATTACAGGGGGAATTTAAATACATGACATACAAGTATCAAAAGAAATGACATTAAAGTATATTTTAGTTCGTCAGCACATTTAGCAGTGCACTTTAACCGTATTTCAATGACTATAGAATGATTTTATTGTATGTAATATAACTTAAGATTCAAAACACATCTAAATCAACAAAAGAGCACAGAAAGATGAATGTTTTGGAAAAGGCCCAACCAGAGCCCAGATCTACACGTTATAGAGAGCCTAAGTCCCGCCCCTCCGCTTCCGGCTCATGGGACCTTATTTCGGAAAAAAATATGAATGGTAGTCAATGGCGAGAGACAACTTATCGTTATATTCCGTCTGAACTGTGACCTCAATTACACATATGATGTTTGTCAATTTAAAAGATAATTGTGAAAGTCAAAAACGTCACAGTTTGTCATAAAACAGAAGAGTAAAATTTAGTTTTATGTGAAAATCGCTCAATGAACTACATCTCCCAGGAAGCGAAACAACGAGTGAGATCCGCTGCTCGTGTGTGTGCAGTCTGGGACAGACGGCGTAACGTTACGATTATAACGTAAGACTGTAGAAACAATGACAGACATTAGCCTCAGTAAAGTTAGCTTCATTCATTGAGAGAAAATGTGCGCCTTTGGGGTTTGTAGTCTTTGTAATTACATATTTTCACAGTCTTATACCTCATCGGTTTTACATCAAACTGCGACTTTCTTTACTTTAAAATGTATCTTTTAAATTGGCAAACATCATATGTGTAATTCAGGGCACAATTCAAACCAGATCAAAATATTTGTTGTCTCTCGCCATTGACTACCATTCAATATTTTTCCCAAATAAGGTCCCATGGTGGTCGACCGGAAGGTATAGAAGATGCATCATGAGACGCCCTCGCAATTTAACAGATCTAGAACTTTTCGCAAAAAAAGACTTATATTGATATAATATGTGCCATACACACTGTGTGCTGTAACACACATATGCAATTAGTTATTCCAAGTCTTTTTTTCTCTGAAATGTGTTTTGTACATTAAATGCTGTTTTAACAGGGGTGTGCTTTTTATATCCACTGTATTTTAAACTTGGCATTGTGTTATATAAATATTGTTGGCTTTTATGATGAATTGCTTGTGATGTTGCTCTGTCGCTTTGAATAAAAGTGTCTAAGTGAATAAAATATTAAACAAATAAATGGAAATGTAAAGACAGTCATGGTGGTTTGGAATGAGGGTGAGCAAAACAAGTCCCGTTTCTGAGTGAACTATCCCTTTATAGGCGTGGATGATCATGATTTCTCTTTTACAACTTTAGTTAGTGTATAACGTTGTGCAACATCTGCAAAGATTTTCTTTTACAGAAATCACTTTTTAATGAGCTTCCTCTCGGAAGTTCATGTAAATTTATCTAAAATGTAAATAAACCTCACCAGTGGGAACGCGATTTATAGATTATCGTGACAGAATATGCTTATTAATGACTTGAAGATAGTTAACTCCACATCAGATACATAAATTCATCAAGTAACCATTCAGAAATGTCCTGTTTGTCACTTCTTGAGTCTCCCCATTTTTGTCCGACTCCAGTTTGAACATAAAAGGCTAAACGTTTTTTTTTTTAGATGTTCAGTGTTTATGTGTGTGAGGTAGTCAGAGCTTTTAACACACACACGAGCTCTTGAAGCTCCGCCCCCTGCGCCGGGAGCAGCAGCTCATTTGCATTTAAAGGGACACACACAAAAACTGTGTGTTTTTGCTCACCCTCAAAAAGCGACAATTTTAACATGCTATATAAACATATCGGTGGGGTATTTTGAGCTAGAACTTCACACACACACACTCTGGGGACGTGTTTTACATCTTGTAAGAAGGGCATTTTAGGACCCCTTTAAAGGTTTGTATAAGTGACATACGGGTTTGAGTTGCTCAAGATGAAGAAGGCGCTTCCCTCTGGGATCGGTGGAGTCTTTTCTCTGACACTCAGCTCTGACAGTCTCTGAGGCCTCGGCCCCGACGGCACCACGGGCTCTCGCTCCTCATCCTCCTCTACACACACACACACACACACACACAGTGATCAGCTGATCCACTGGAGCTCAAGTGATGAGAGTAAATACTATTAGAGGTTTACCACAAGAGTCAGTCATTTCCTCGGCCTGATCCTGATCGGCCTCCTGATCGACAGACGCCTGCAACAAAAGCACCTCAGTGATGGAGATAATGTCCAAACTCAGCAAATATCTAAACATTCTTAAAGGAGTAGTTCACTTTTAAAAAAGCTTCTGCTGATAATTTACCCGCCCCCATGTCACTCAAGATGTCCATGTCTTTCTTTCTTCAGTCGAAAAGAAATGAAGGTTTTTGATGAAAACATTCCAGGATTTTCTCCATATAATGGACTTCAATGGGGTCCAAACAGTTCAAAAATGAGAGTTTCAGTACAAACTGCAAACTGTTCAAAGGGCTTTAAACGATTCCAGACGATGAATAAGGGTCTTATCAAGTGAAACGATCGCTCATTTAATAAATAAATAACAAAGTTTAAGTTTTATAACCTCAAATGCTCGCCTTGCTCTGTTCTGTGATGCGCGTTTGTGACTCTCCTGTTCGAACTCGTTCATCAAAATGAACAAATCTTTTTTTGTAAATGGTAAATGGTTCATTTGGTTGATTCAACGAACGAAATTAACTAATTGACTCGGAAAAAGATTCGTTCATTTTAAAGAACGAGTTCGGACAGGAGAGTCATGAACACGCGTCACAGAACAGAGCAAGGCGAGCATTTGAGCTTATAAAACGTAAACTTTGTTATTTATTTAATTTATTAAATGAGCGATCGTTTCGCTTGATAAGACCCTTATTGATCGTCTGGTGTCGTTTAAAGCCCTTTGAAGCTGCACTGAAACTCTTTTGGACCTTGAACCGTTTGGACCCCATTGAAGTCCATTATATGGAGAAAATCCTGGAAAGTTTTCATCAAAAACCTTAATTTCTTTTCGATTGAAGAAAGAAAGACATGGACATCCTGGACGACATGGGGGCGAGTAAATTATCAGCAAAAGTTTTTTGAAAAGTGAACTACTTCTTTAAAGCCCCACTGAAGTGCCTTGGGACGCGCTTGTTTAATGCATTGATGTAATTTCCACTGAAACAGGAAGCTAAGGCGGGGCATACTGAACGGCTCCTCCCCCTTTTCAAACAGCCAATAGCGTTTAGTTTCCGTCCCAGACTGACAGCACCACTGAAGCGGATCCGAGCGCTGATGAAACGCTGGACTCAATAGTAGAGGTGTGAGTAAACTCCTCATTTCATTCTTAATCAGCGTTTGAGCAACTGAACACACACTCAACCCATAATGCTCTGTGTGTCGACGGTGGTGTTTATAGCAGAGGGGGTGGAGCTTCAGTTTCCAGAGAGCATGTGATTGGACAGGAGATGTGATGAGAAGCTGAAGTGATGTGGTAAACATGAGAGACTGTGAGTTTTGAATGCTTATATCTCCTAAATGCAAATTTTGTCATTGTTTTGGAAGCTTATTCATAACCTTAAGGCTGACGTATTCATAATAAAAGCAAAAACACTCACATTTTGATTTCAGGGGGCCAATAAATCAAGATACATTCTCCTGAAAAGCAAAATTACTTACTGAAGTTTATGCTTAAAACAAAAAAAAAATCTGCCAGTGGGGTCAGAAATATTCAAACAAAAAATGTAAAAATAAAAATTAGGACCTCATTGGCAGATATTTTTTCTAGTCTAAGCATAAACTTACTTTAATACATTTTTCTTCATGCCTTAAGTAATTTTCCTTCTAAAGTAAAAGTATCTTGATTCAAGAATTTTTCTATATTGTAGGACGGTGATGATAAAGAAAGTAGATGGATATAATTGAGGGTTGTTTAATAAACAAAAAACATTAAATATTAAAATTATAAAAAAAAAAAAACATAAAAAAACAAAATTAAAAATAAAAAAACCCTAAAAATACAAAAATTTAAATACAAAAAAAAACATTAATTCAAAATTCAATAGTAGTAGAAAAAATAATAACGTAGGTCAGACAACAGAGGACGCCGAACTACAAACTGTGGAGGGTTTAAATACGCATGAGGAGTAAAACAAGACACTGGTGGGGACTAATCAATCAATCAATCAAATGAGTAACCATGGAAACACAAGAAATGGGAACAAAGGAAACAAGAACAAAAACAAGGAGCGCAAACTACAAAGTCAATGAAAAGAGAACTCACCTGAACATATGTAGATATTTTTTTCTTATTTTAAGCATAAATTCACTTCATTTTGATGAAAAAATGCCTATTTTTCAATGCTTTACTAAGTAATTGTCAATGTAATGGAAATATAATGGAAAACAAGACTAAACTACTACACTATAATAAGTGTTCAAGTTCAATTTAAAAAAATGAGTAAACCCAAAGACTTAAAACTATTAAGTAAATAAACTTAATGTTTAATTGTAAAAATTAAGTTTTACTTATTATTTATTTACTTAATAATTTTAAGGCAACGGGTTTCCTCAATTGTTTTTAAAGTTAAGTCACCTGATCACTTTTTACAGCGTGTAAGAAAAGATGTATTTTTCAGAAAGTCAGCTGTTCAATATCACAAAATGCTAATGTTCATGTCATGCATATACTGTAAATATCACTCACCTTAATGTTTCCCTCGTCAGCGTCTCTCTTGAATATGCTCATACTCCTGCACAAAACACCGTCGGTGTGTTAGCAGACATCAGCACTCAGTGTGTGAGGTCATCATCAGAGACGAGTGTTACCTGCTCTTCCTCCTCTTGTTCCTCTTCTCCTCCTCTTTCTGGGCCGAGTTCAGGCTCTCAGCGTCGGCCAGGTTATCCACAGCGATGGCCAAGAACACGTTCAGTAAGATGTCTGATCACATGTGTTAAGAATGTGTCCATGTTTCCTGTGTTATCAAAGCTGATGTGCTACTTTTTATTTTATTTTACAGTGTGGTAAATTATGTGTGCAATTAACCCTCAACCAAAACCCTATAGTAAGTACATGCTGTTAATTATTATTACTCAGTACTTAAATATATAACAATGATTAAAATAAAGTTTAACCCAAATCATGCTTTTAAGATTCTCCTCCTGGAGAAAACTGAATAAGACGTCAGATCCCTCTTTATATTTCCTGTTGAATACTGTGCATTTGGTACACTGCATTTACTGTCGTTCATTTGCATTGAGGTGAGATATCGGTTGATATAGATTATAGGTATCTAGCATGTTTTTCAAGATGAAAACATTGAGTTAAACCAAAGAGTTTCCGTTCCAAGTCAATGTAACGTGTTTGAATGAGAAACCCGATCAACTGCGCTAAATCCAAATATGAATTAAATAAATCTTTTAATAAAGTGAACCAAATAAAAAAGAAATCCTTTTTTGAGTGCCGGTAACACTTTATAATAACTGCACGCTATCAATCATTAGTTAAACATGCGTAAACCGTTGACTCATCATTAATAAAGCAATAATAGACATTAATAAGCAGTTTATAAATACAGCTATAAATGTTTTTTTCTTAATTTAGAAGCATATCCATAATCCGTTTAATAATAGTATTTTCATACTTTGTTAATGATCAATTAATAATTTCTAAATGAAGTATAACATTATTTACAAACCACTGTCAGTCATTCATAAGATCACTTAGAAAGTGTAAGTAACTTTAGTAAATACAAGAAGTTAGTAGTGGTCCGTTAACTATGTTTGTGAGCTGATCTAAAGTGAGGACTTCATGCCTTGTAAAGCATTTATAAAGGAGATTTAAAGGCGCATCAATCTTCTAAACATTAAAATGTAACAAACACCACACATTAAAATACAAACAAATAGAAATACATACACAAATAAAGATACAGATCATAGAAATATTTAACAGTCTTTAAATCTCCTTTATAAATGCTTTACAAGGCATGAACTGTCCTCGCTTTAGATGAGCTCACACACATAGTTAACGGACCACTAATAAATGCTTTATAACTACCTGAATTAACCCCGAATTACAGCATAAACACATGTCAATAAAGCATTCATTAACACACTAACATCACTAAATGTCTGAATAATAAGATGTATGAACGTACGTCATTTACTTACTTGCTCGAAGTAATCTTATGAACCACTGACAACTCTTATAAAAAATGCAATTCTTCATTTAGAAATGATAAATTGATCATTAATAAAGGATGAAAATACAATCATTAAACAAATTACAAATTAAGAAAGCATTTATAGCTGTATTTATAAACTGCTTATTAATGCTTTATGAATGATGAATTAACTGTTTACTCATGCTTAACTACTGATTATTAGCATGTAGTTATTATAAAGTGTTACCTTTAGATGTGCAACAGCTTGGCATTGACACGGTACCCTTAAATGGACATCTGCTCTACTCTACTCTAGTAAACTAAGTCTAAATTTTTAATACTAATTAATAATATTATTAATACTGTATTAATAAGCACATTTTAGGGTGTTGTGTCTTTAAGGGTCCTCGTGTGAACAATTGAACCATTGAAAAAGAAACATTTTGTTTCGAACTTTTGACTGGTTGTGTTTGGCTTTGTTCAGTTCCACAGTCTGAAGACAGTGAGGTATTTTAGTCATAAATGTGCTGAACACAAGAAAAGATACAGTTCCCACAGATGAAGAGGATGATGAAGTAGATGCACACGAGCATGCCTGAGGAAGAGGGTCCTCCATACGCCATGATCCCATCATACATCACTGTATTCCAGTCCTCACCCGTCAGGATCTGAGGACAAACACAGCTGAACAATGAAGTGTGTTTGACACAGACAGTAGCATCTAAAAATGCTCATTTATGATGATAGTGTTCATATTTGCAAGGTATTCCGTGAGACTTTAAAAGAAAAGCACCGTACAATTAATAATACCATGTGTTTGTTTTGTTTATTTATTTAGGTAGGGGCAGAACACGAGCGTTTCACTCTATAACGCCTGTACTTTGAGCAAGCAGTCTGAGTAAATGTGTGTGTATATAAATGTGCACACACTCACCTGAAACACAGTCAGCAGGGCTTGAGGGAAGTTGTCAAAAGTGCTTCGTTTAGTAACGGTCTCGTCGAAGTTGAACTTCCCGCCGAAGAGCTGCATGCCGAGCAAACTGAAGATGATGATGAAGAGGAAGAGCAACAGCAGCAGAGACGCGATCGACTTCATGGAGTTCAACAGAGAAGCCACCAGATTACTCAGAGACGCCCAGTGCCTGCACACAAAGTACAGCGCTTATAATATAGATTATTTCAAATCCGCTTTACAGTAATAACAGAAAATTACAGTGACAGAGATTGTTTAGGCTTTTAGCAGCTCTAGAATAAAATAATTATCCAGCTAAAGTTAGTTTTGATTGATTCACAACGATCGAATTATCGTTGCAACGATCATTAGTTATTAACTTACATAACAGAATTTTTTTTTCCCTGAATAGGGAACGAGGGTTACATACGTTCCCTTTCAAGGGAACTTGAGTTGCGTTGAAAAGCTGTGTGAGCGCTAGCCACTCCATATTTTCACTGGCCACAATTTTGACATCGATATCATAGGGAAAAACTGCCATATAGATATTATTAACCCTCTGATGGTCTTCCTTTATGAGTAACGTCCTGGGCCTTCCCGGTCAGAAGTGACCGGAGGCCAAAAAATGAAACTCGCTTCCATCCCAGTAAAACCAATGCAATTTATTTTTGTTCTATAATATTTATTCTTTTTAATTTAGTATTTTTAGACAATTTGATTGAATTTATTAATATTTATGCAATATTTATGGTCTATTTGTTCAACGGAAATATATATTTTTTCTATATATATATTAATTTAAAAAAAAAATATTAATGCAGTATTTTTGTTTAATGTAGAGTCTAGGCCTTCAGAAAAAAATATATTTTTTGAAGAAAATTAGCACTAATCATGGTGTAACCACTAGATGGCATGTACAGCTCTCTATGGAGAGGCATGTGAATTCCCCAGATGTTTATGAACACTTTTTTTTTTTTGGTGGATTTAAATATATAATTGAAACAATCTCAAAAACTATTTCTTATTAAAAAATTGTAAAAAAAAAAGTGAATTTTTGTGTTTGTCAATTTCCCATTCATTTCCTATGGGGGTCATTTTTGACCAAAGACCAAAATCGTGACTAATTTTTTTTACGACCACTTAGCATGCTCAGATCATGAACTCAATTTTTTTTTGTGTTCACATACATAATGTCATACAATTCACCAAGTTTCGTAACATTCCGATGAAGCTGAGATTTTTAAAAATTCAAAACAGATTTTTTGTAGTCTGAATTTATTGTGTGTATGCGTATAAAAGTGTGTGTGTGTTGGTGGGTGTAAATTTTTTGCACTCTTGATGTTGTAGAGTGTCACCCCTTTACTGCGGGATACTTCTTTTAAGAATCGTGGCCGATTTGTAGATTGTACAAACAAAAATTCAGAGAATTTTTTTTGTGTGTAAATTTCGGTCATTTCTAACCGAAGAGCACAAGTGTGACTATTTTTTTTACGACCACTTAGCATGCTCGGATCATGACCTCAATTTTTTTGTATTCCCATGCCAAATGGCAAAAAAGTCACCAAGTATCATAACCTTCAGATGAAGCTGTGATTTTTAATAATTCAAAAAAGAAAATTATTCGGTCAGAAGTGACCGAGGACCATCAGAGGGTTAATATTATTTCATTATTTGGTAGCCGGTATAATAGTGTGAGTATAACACAGTTGTGTGTGTGAGCTGTGGTTAGAAGCAGTTTCTTGTTTGCATGACATGTGGACTCAATCTTTATCTAATATCCTAATGATTTTTGGCATAAAAGGAAAATCAATAGTTTTGACCCATACAATGTATTGCCACAGATACACGCGAGCGACTCGGATCACAGTCGTCAGTAATCACAGCATGATATGAAGGCATCTGATCATGTGACCTGTCTCTCACCTTGTGACTTTAAAGATCCTGAGGAGCCGAACGCAGCGAAACACAGAGATGCCGAGCGGAGACATGATCTCGAACTCCACGAGGATCGTCTCCACGATGCCTCCGCAAACCACGAAGCAGTCGAAGCGGTTGAAGAGCGACACGAAGTACGCCTGAAGCCCCAGACTGTACATCTTTATCAGCATCTCACACGTGAACAGGGCCAACAACACCTTATTAGCCACATCTGCAGACAAACACGTCAGTTCTGACACCATTCAGAAATTGAGCTTTACCCTTTTTTTTTATCGACAAACCTCCGGTGTTTTCTGACAAAAGCAGTGGCGTTCTGATATGGGGAGAAGGTTATCAGTTTTATGTTTAATGCTTATTTTAATGTAAAAATACTAGGGCTGTGCAAAAATTAATTGCGATTAATCGCATCCAAAATAAAAGTCTGTGTTTACATAATATATTTGTGTGTGCTGTATATAATTATTTTGTATATATAAATACCTATGCATGCATGTATATATTTAAGAATTATTTGCGCTTAAATTCTGTGTATATATATAAAAATACATAATCTATATTATATAAATATAAATATTTTATATATGAATAACACATTTTCTTAAATATATACATGCATGTGTGTGTATTTATATATACAAAATAATTATATACAGCACACACAAATATATTATGTAAACACAGACTTTTATTTTGGATGCGATTAATCGCAATTAATTTTTGCACAGCCCTAAAAAAATACACTAATATGACACATTTTTCAAAGATAATAAATAAACAAACGTCACTTACACTATCAAGAAAACAACAGCCAATCAAATTCTGTTTTGTACAAGCACCGCCTCCGTAAAGCGGAGTTGGTTTGAGTGAGTGTGTGCCGTGTTCCTCGCTCACCCTGGACCTCTGTGAGCCAGTCGGCCTGGTTATAATGCTCGGATGATATCGTGAGTGTGTTGAGGAACACCAGCAGGATCACCAGCCAATAGAAGATGGTGGACTTCACCACAGCTCTGCACTTCCTGCGACAGAAGCGGTTCCAGCATCGCCAGCGGCTGCAGAGAAGAGAAGTGATCGCCAGCACTGTGAGTCAAACATCTACAGTCCCTAGGACACATTTCTCAACACTCGGGTCACTTTTTCAAAACTCTTCACGCATTGAACACAACAGAAGTGTATGTGGCCTGAGCTGTGGCACATTCAATGACTACATCTTTCAAATTAATTTAATTATTTTCTCATTTCGACACAACAACCGCCAAAGCTACCACGACATGCCAATGTGCACATGTACAATAGTAGGGCTGGGTATTGAGACAAATTTCACAATTCGATTCGATTTCAATTACAATTCGATTCAATATCGATAATTTTGGATATCAGTTGCAATAAATGGACATTTTCCTCAAGGGAATCAAATCTCTTAATTAATGCTGTAAACTATGGGAGTCAGTTGTAGCCTATAGGCTTCATTAGCCTAATATGAAGGTAATAATGAACTGTTTTGTAGCTATACAAACACTTAAATTACACTTTTATTTATTTTTATAATAAGAAGATTATATGTAATATAAACATTTAAATGGTGGCTGTCATAAAAACTTGCCAGATTTATTCAAATATGCATTAAATATTGAAGAACATTAAGATTATAATGCATATGTAATATGGTGTATATATTTAGCAAAATGCTCCTCTCTAGAGTTATTTTTTTCTAGCTGACTAACGAGTTTATGTGGGTTTTCTGAGGTAAATATGACGATACATTGATTACAAGCTGTTTAACTGACGTCTTTCCACGGTTGAAACGCTGATTGAGTGAATCAATGTGACATGATACGGATTTGGATAAGTTGTACTCTATCTTTAACACACTTTCAGATGCTCATTCATGTTTATTTGGCGCTGTGACTGGTATTATTAAGCCGGAAGAGAGATCAGCGCTGCTTATTGTTAGGGGGGTTCGGGGGCATGCCCCCCCGAGAAAATTTTGATTTTCCTGATCTCGAAATGAGCATTTTAGGGTGTTTTGATGGCCAAAAAAATTGACAACAATAGCTTTAAAAGCATGAAGTAGCCTATTTGATCAGATTCTTAAACATGAGAATCAGTTCCAGTTTCAGCGACTTTTCTTTCCTAAATTAATCAATGTTTTTTGGACTAATCTGATAATTTAATTAATGGTTCAATTGCTCACTCAAAAAGACAGTCACTTGTCGCCACCCTCTGGCTAAATGATGCAATTGGCGCAAACGCAGACAAGTAAAACACATTCGAAAAAATGTTATACAAATATATTTATACAATAATAATGGCAATATATTTAATAGGGTGCTTGTGTTGTTAAATTGAGCTTGTAATTTCCACTGCCTTTAATCAAACTGATTATTTCTGTAGGTCATTTAAAACGTCTATTGAAAAACAGACGTAAATTTGAGCTACTTGCATCTTATCTCGCACTGTCGTTAACTAAAGTGAAGCGTCGCGTTGGGATTCGCGCTCAGCTCGCGCTTCTATGAACAAAAATCCTGCATTCTTTGATTGGTCTCACGAACATTTTGATATTGACGAGCAGGTGAGTGCTGAAGCAGATCAGATGAGAAGGTCAGTTATCGTCGCGACGGGAGAATCATTGCAGCAACAAATTAGAGTTAATATTACGGGTACAACTCTAACGGGGTGTTTTTTTTATTCACGAAATTGGATTAGCAACTAAATGATGCGCATCAGAGGGGATTTAGAAGTGGGTATACGCAATGCCGACTGAAAAGGAAGTGGGTATACGCCGTATACCTGCGTATACCCTGCACTACACCACTGGTCTTGGCCATTCGCAAACGTACGTACATCTGGCGTACATGAGTGTGTGTAATTCATTCTAGTAACAGTGAATGCTAAACAGGGTGACAAAGTGTGTGTGTTGGCAGTCAGCCTTTGCTAGTGTTATGCAAGAATGTGTTGATTTGAAACATGTATAAAGTGATTTTGTAGTTTTAGTGCATTTTGAGCTACTATGCCAGAAGAGTTTTGTAAAAGAGACCCAAGTATTGAGAAATGTGTCCTAGCGACTGTAAAAAACTGTAATAAAATGCAACGCCCGTGAATTTGTTCATTTCAAACACAACATAAACCGCAAGCATCAAAGCGCACGTATACACCGACATGCAAAATGATGAGGTGAAATGACATCAATAAGACGACAGCAAACACACATGCAAGACTGGAGCGGACTTCAGCTCTGAACACACACTGAGATACTGACCTGAACTTCGACTTTGACAATTTCTGACTGAAAAAGTGAAAAAAATGGCATCACTTCATGCCACACTACAAGCTGACGGAAAACTTCCAGGTGACGACTGCTTAATATTAGAAATAAAGATACAAGAGCTGGGCTTTTGTGCACTGCAGATACAAAAGTGTGTGAAAAACTTTGAGCTTTATGATTGGATGTAAAATTGGCTTGCTTACCAGACGCGTCCACAGCAGAAGATCTTCTCATTCTCTTCTGGGTTCTCCGTGTTCACAGATTCGTTCTCGCTTATGGGCACACTTGCTGCAGAGACATGAGTACAAGAGAGCCTTTTACACCACTGTGATGCAGAGCGAGTTACACGCCATCGAACACTGGGGAGATTTGAGCTTACATCCTTTTAAATTGAGACTTTGGGCCCTATTTTAACCCCTTAACTGTCACCGTCCCGCTATCAGGACGCCTAACTTTACTTCACTATATTTCTATTAAATCCTAATCCAATTATGACAAATTATATATTGTTGGAAAGGTCTAAGACTTCTAAATAAATATTCTACCCCTGTTTTGTGTTATAAATTATGTAGGAAGAGTAATTGATGAATTTATGACAAGAGTATGACAAGTATTTTTTTTTTAAACTAAATTCAATGGAATTCAATGGCACCCGGTGGCTATTTTTGGTACTACACCTAAACAAAATAAATTTTTGCGATATCAACTTCAAATTTGGAACATTTATGACTTTGATTTTATCATAATTTTAGAGTAAAAAAATATTTTGTAAAATATATATTTTATATAAAATAAAAAATATATAGTAAAGTATATTTGATTTACTGTGAATTTAAACGTCCATAACTTTTTAATACTTTCATTTTTTGAAGTGTTTTCACTCCAGCAATAATCTGCTGAGTGTTTTCTTTAAAACAAGACCAAACTTGGGTATATATATTCCAAAGCATTCTTGAATTACAACCATTTAAGTGTGAATAGTGCATTTTAACCCCCATTCTCAAAAAGGGGGTGACCGCTAAGGGGTTAAGGCTCTAAGCGCATGGTCTAAAGTGCAGTTAAAAAAGTTTAAAAACACTTAAAATACACTTTTCAAGTGGACGTGTGTGTTGTCTCTCTTCTCTTAATGAGTAATGGGTGTGTGTTGTATGAAGGTAAAAGAGTAGCAATACTCGAGAGCACATAGATGTGAATTTGAGAACTTGTACAATAAATATTTGTATGTGTACGCAAACATTTACACTCACAGCTCCAATGTGAAAACCTGTAAAATAAAAATCTGAAGTTGAACGAATTTGCCCTCGCAGACGATAGTCACAAACCTGTATTCTGAATCTGAAGCTGCAGACAAGCAGTCACAAATGTGTAAAATGCCATTCACAGAAATACAGTGACAGTCACAAACATCGGTAACACTTTACAATACGGGTGCACTAATAAGCATTAATTCATGCTTTAAATAATGCACAGATAAAATGTGTAACTAATGATTATTTAAGCTATTCATTAATGATTGCCAAATTAGGAACTAATTAAGAGCCTGTAAGGTTAATGTATTAGTTCATACATGAATTGTTATTAATTAAATATGTAATTGTGGATTAATTCCATAATAACTCATTTTTTAACTAATAGTGTTAATTAATATGTTAATTACCAAAATGAGCCAAAGCCTTGTATTTCAACTTCCAGATAATATGACAGGTACACTAATATGCATTAATACATGATTAATTACTTCATTGTTAGTGCAAATTCATGAGCAAATTACTACAATTACTAAATGACTAGTTAATAATGACGTGTCCCAACAAGTAAAGTCATAAGATAATGATACCTTTGCAAATCATTAGCTAGTGATTAATTAAAGCAGACAACTGGAAGTTGAAGTGCATAGCTTTGACTAATTGTGCTAATTAACGCGTTAATTTAAACTATTAGTTAATAAAATATGTTATTAAGGAATTAATACACAATGACACATTGAATTAATAGCAATTCATGTATTATTTAATCTATTAATCATATAGACTCTTTATTAGTTGCTGATGCAGTAATCGTTAATTAATGGTTTAGTTCTTCATTAGTTATACATTAACTCAGTATTATCTGTGCATTAGTTAAGCATGAATTAATGCATATTACTGCAGCCGTATTGTAAAGTCATCTAATATACACTGTATGAAAGGAAGGTACAAGTTTGATGAAGCATGCAAAGATGCAAAAGGTGAGAAACAAGAAATGTAAGTACATTTAATGTGAATAGACTTACAAACATAGACAGTTAAACAAAACACACACATGTTTACAGGGTTATTTGTGCTTTGTCTCTTACCACTATATTCAATGCATTGTTGTTTTCATTGAATATGTTGGTATGCATATGATGTGTGGGTCACACTCAAACACACACACACACACACACACACACACACACACACACACACAGAGCAAGATTTACCCTGAGTCTCAGTGGACTGACTGAACCAGCCCGAGTTTCCCGAGCTCTTCCCGTGGGACAGATCGCCCAGCGTCACCCCTTCAGTTCACATGCATTCAAACAGAGAATAGCTATGAGCATCTACTGCACACACACACACACACACACACAACACCCGAGAGACACAGGACACACAGGGACAGGAGGCGGTTCAGAAGCATGATAAAGCAAAGTCTGATCAGTCCTTCCAGAAAAACACAGAGTTTTCTTGAGATTGTTGCGGATCAAAAATCCTTGATTATGAGGCCTGTTTTCTTTAAATAAGCGGGATATTTATGCGATTTTATGCGATCAAATTGCGGGAACTTGAAAAAACTGCGGTTTGATGAAAAAGTGATTCCCAACATTTCCCTGTTCTCACTGGGCTCCTACCTTAATGTAAAGAGTCATATGTTTCTGGAATATTTCAGTTCTCGTCTTGTTTTATTTCAGATCTTAATAAACACATCAAACTTACAAAACACTGATGAGTCAAACAAGTTCTGTAGCTTTAAAAAAGGAATATGCTACAAATTCTGTACAAATGAATAAATGAAATATAAATAAATAAAGTGTGCTCCTGTTTTACAGCTTTTCGATGATGTTCACGTCGCGCAATTACGTCACTTCATAACGTTCCCATGGCAACAGGTTACGTCACTTCATAACGTTCCCATGGCAACAGGTTACGTCACTTCATAACGTTCCCATGGCAACAGGTTACGTCACTTCATAACGTTCCATGGCGACAGGTTACGTCACTTCAGAACGTTCCCATGGCAACAGGTTACGTCACGTCATAAAGTTCCCATGGCAACAGGTTACGTCACTTCATAACGTTCCCATGGCAACAGGTTACGTCACTTCATAACGTTCCTATGGCAACAGGTTACGTCACTTCATAACGTTCCCATGGCAACAGGTTACGTCACTTCATAACGTTCCCATGGCAACAGGTTACGTCACTTCAGAACGTTCCTATGGCAACAGGTTACGTCACGTCATAAAGTTCCCATGGCAACAGGTTATGTCACTTCATAACATTCCCATGGCAACAGGTTACGTCACTTCATAACGTTCCCATGGCAACAGGTTACGTCACTTCATAACGTTCCTATGGCAACAGGTTACGTCACTTCGTAATGTTCCCATGGCAACAAGTTACGTCGCTGCCCCGACAGATTAATTTGAATAGCTTTAATAAGGGTTCATCTATTTTTAATTTATACAAATATGTAAATACCGAATGTCTGAATGAAGAATGTTGGATGCAAGTTGTTATAAAGAATGCAAATATCGTTAATTAAATGGAAGAGCGTGTTCTTGTTTCTTTATGAGACGTGGCTTTATTTAATTTTAAGATAAATAAAGACATGTTATGCCACAACATTTAAATCTGTGTCTGTATTGCATGTTCAAACTTTAATATAGTTCATATTAACAGGTTAATAGATGTTTTCTCCAGGAGTATATATATGGAGTTCGGAAATTTACTACACTAAAACTAAACAATTGATGACTAAAATATGACTAAATGGCAGTCAAAAGACTATGAATAAAACTAAATAAAAACTTGCTGTCAAAATTTGTTTTTTATTTACTATTTATATATTTTAATCATTATTTTAATGTTATTATGATTAAAATATATAATGCATAAAACATATTTTAATGTTCATTTATTATTATTTCAACTGTATTTAGAATTTATATACTTATTTTTAATCCAATAAAATTTCAACTATTTATTCTATATATTTAAATCTAATGTCGTATTTATTTTCATTTGATTTTAATCGAAAGTATTTATTTTGATAGTAAATTTAATCTTATTTTATTCATTTTAAATTGTACTTTCCCATGGTCCCCAAAGCACTCAAAGCCCCCAAACCGTGATAAAATATCTGATTCACTGTCATTTATTTGCTCTCTAAATATTGGTATAAAATAAATTATTTGATGATATATATATATATATATATTATTATTATATGGTATAAAATAAACACAAGCCACAGGTCGACTGCTTGAATGAACACACACAGGTACTGTGAGTCCTCGTCTTGTGTTCCTTCTATTTATACACAGCCAATTACCAATCAAAGTAAAGTTTCAGTTTTGTTACTGACTCATACTGTGTTTGGACTGAACTAAACTAAAAGTTTGGATGGGTAGATGCATAAACTGAACGCTTAAATCTGACAATCATGGGATTGTTGTCAACATTATGATTTGATTCCAGTATGATCTTTGGATGGAATTGTTAATGTGTGCAAATGCGTTTCAAACAAATAAAAATTGACGTACGGCTGCGTTTGGCCTCCTGATCTCCCTCTTCATCATTATCAGGGTCGATGTCCTCAGCTTGTGTGATCCAATCCAGATATCCCTTCAGATCCTCTTCAAGCTGCTGTTTCTCACGCAGTTTCTGGAAATCTCCACGAGCCTTGGCCTTCTCGCGCTCCTTGGAGAACTCGCTGCGGTGGACACACACACACACACACACACACACACACAAACTCATTCAAATGAATGCCATTTTTAAAGGTGTATCTATGAAAATGGGAAGTACAGAAACTGATTGTGGACAGCCTTTAATAATACAACTCACCCACTGAGAACTCCCAGTACTAGATTAAGGACAAAGAAGGAGCCGAAAATGACCAGACTGACAAAATAGACCCAAGGCAACTCAAAACCCATGGCGTCATTCATCTGAAACACACAACATCCCTCACATTAACGAATGTACAAAACTACGGCAAAAAAACTGGCCAATTCTGTCTGAGTTTCCTATTAACTCTACTTAAGTCTCAACTGCTAATCATAAACACCGAAACCTAATCTTAATTAACGTTATTTTATTCAAGTAAAAATATGATTTGATAAAATTGCTGAATCAACTTAAATACATTGATTTATTCCGAAAAAATTGGCAATTGTTACGAAAATTGGTAGAAAAAAATTAAATAAAAAAAAGACTATTGTTATTTTTGAGCGTCTTGTGTATGAACAGGTGGAGGAGTATCTTCTCAGGCTTGATCTATTATATGAGCTCCAGTCTGGCTTTAGAGCGGCATATTCTACCGTCACCAGTCTCAGGCCCTGTCCACACTGAGACACGTTTAAAGGGTTAGTTCACCCAAAAATGAAAATTCTGTCAGTATTTACTCACCCTCATGTTGTTCCAACCCTGTAAGACCTTCGTTCATCTTCGCAACACAAATTAAGATATTTAAGATATTTTGCAATTTTGCCTGTCTTCTGACTTTGTCCCTTCAGTCTTAGAGGGTCAATCTCATTAGCATCTGTTGAGCTCTGTGTGTGTGTGTCACGGAAAAGTGCTTAGAGCGGAAGTGGACACGACCAGCAGGAAAGAGGAACGTCAGCAGGCGCGTTTCCATTACAAATTTGACATGTTTCCATTGGATGTATTTTAAATTCTCAATTTCAAGTTGCGCAATTTAAAGGGTAATGGAAAGGGTAAACGCGGCTAGTGATATACTATTATTGCTTGAATTCAGTGCAAGCCTCACCCAGTACAGCACGTCGGTCCAGCCCTCCATGGTGATGCACTGGAACACAGTCAACATGGCAAACAAGAAGTTATCAAAGTTGGTGATGCCGTTGTTGGGCCCGTGCCAGCCGTCCCGACACACGGTGCCATTGACGGTGCAGTGACGCCCATGACCTGAAAGAGAACAGGGAGCAGAATCCTCTTCTGCTAATGTACCTGTGTGGAGAGAAACACATCAAGGTGCCATTTTTACTGTGTGTATATGAACATACTAGTCAGGATATCTTTAAAGCGATAGTTCAGCCAAAAATTTTAATTAGCCCATGATTTACTCATCCTCAAGCCATCCTAGGTGTATATGACCTTCTTCTTTCAGACGAATGCAATCATAGTTCTGACTCTTTCAAGCTTTATAATGGCAGTGAATGGACGTTTCTGTTTTGAAGTTCATAAAAGTGCATTCGTCCATGATAAAAGTGCATCTATCATCATAAAAGGGCATCTGTCCATCATAAAAGTGCATCTTTCCATGATAAAAGTGCATCTATCCATGATAAAAGTTCATTATCCATCATAAAAGTGCATCTATCATCATAAAGGGCATCTGTCCATCATAAAAGTGCTTCTGTCCATCATAAAAGTTCATTATCCATCATAAAAGTGCATCTATCATCATAAAAGTGCTTCTGTCCATCATAAAAGTGCATCTATCCATCATAAAAGTGGATCTATCATCATAAAAGGGCATCTGTCCACCATAAAAGTGCATCTATCCATGATAAAAGTGCATCTGTCCATGATAAGTTCATTATCATCATAAAAGTGCATCTCTCCTTGATAAAAGTGGATCTATCCATCATAAAAGTGGATCTATCCATCATAAAAGTGCATCTATCCATCATAAAAGTGCATCTATCCATCATAAAAGTGGATCTATCCATCATAAAAGTGCATCTATCCATCATAAAAGTGCATCTATCCATCATAAAAGTGCATCTATCATCATAAAAGTGCATCTATCCATCATAAAAGTGCATCTATCATCATAAAAGTGCATCTATCTTCATAAAAGTGAATCTATCCATAATAAAAGTGCATCTGTCCATCGTAAAAGTGCATCTGTCCATCATAAAAGTGCATCTATCATCATAAAAGTGCATCTATCTTCATAAAAGTGCATCTATCCAACAAAAAAGTGCATCTATCCATCATAAAAGTGAATCTATCTTCATAAAAGTGGATCTATCCATCATAAAAGTGCATCTATCCAACAAAAAGTGCATCTATACATGATAAAAGTGCATCTATCTTCATAAAAGTGGATCTATCCATCATTCTTCTTTATCTGAAAGAAGAATGTCATATTCACCTAGGATGACTTCAGGGTGAGAAAATCATGGGCTAATTTTAATTTTTGGGTGAACTGTCCCTTTAAGAAACATTATCTGATATATTATGATGTATGTAATCCAAAATAAATTTTAGAAAGACAGCTTTTATAGTTTGTAAATAATCTAATGAGTGTGAAAACACACTGACGCGTGCCGTTTATATAGCAGGTTGAGTGCATCTTCCCAATGAACAGCTCCAGACCGATGATGGCGTAGATGATGATGACGAAGAGTACGAGCAGAGCGATGTGAAGCAGAGGAACCATGGCTTTAATTATGGAGTTCAGCACCACCTGTAAGCCTACACACACACACACACACACACACACACAAACCCCTTATGAAAAAAATGTGTGCTTAATTTTGCACTGATAGTGTACTTCAAATCTTCTAATCTAAATTAGAAGATTTGATTAATATATTTACATCTAAAATGTATAAAATTAATGCAATAAAAGGCTTTTAAAACATAAATGCTTGTCACATTCGACAATACACTTTAACCATATTTCAGTGACAATAGAAATAATTATGAAATGACATATGAAAGTCCTAATTAAGTTTAAATAATTGCATTTAATATAAATTTAAACTATAATACAGTTTAATTTAATTGTAACTAACACGTGATTAAATTAAAAAGTCCCAAAACATTATATAGCTCACACTCAAGTATATTAAAAAAAAAAATATATATATATATATATATATATATATTTTTTTTTTTTTAATAGTGTGCTAAAGTGTACTTCTTTAGCAGCTGAGTGTGTTATTATTATCAGCCTGTGCTGTCAGGGAATGCTGGGTAAAGATGTGGACACACTTGGCACTCCTGAGACCAGACGGAGGGGCCGCAGAACTCTGAACGCTCGTAAAGCCTTGACATCGAACCCGCCTGGCTTTCCACCCGTCTGTCCGCTGACATCTCGATCTTTGGTTATCAGCTCCAGCACAACACTGAAGAGACTAGAAACACACACACACTCATCAGTATTAATGATTATAACAGAGTGTTATACACTCACCTAAAGGATTATAAGGGAACACCACACTAATACTGTGTTTGACCCCTTTCGCCTTCAGAACTGCCTTAATTCTCCGTGGCATTGATCCAACAAGGTGCTGAAAGCGTTCTTTAGAGATGTCGGCCCATATTGATAGGATAGCATCTTGCAGTTGATGGAGATTTGTGGGATGAAGCTCCCGTTCCACCACATCCCAAAGATGCTCTATTGGGTTGAGATCTGGTGACTGTGGCGGCCATTTTAGTACAGTCAACTCATTGACATGTTCAAGAAACCAGTTTGAAATGATTCATGGTGCATTATCCTGCTGGAAGTAGCCATCAGAGGATGTGGACATGGTGGCCATAAAGGGATGGACATGGTCAGAAACAATGCTCAGGTAGGCCGTGGCGTTTAAACGATGTCCAATTGGCACTAAGGGGGTAAAGTGTGCCAAGAAAACCATTACACCACCACCACCAGCCTGCACAGTGTGAACAAGGCATGATGATCCATGTTCTCATTCTGTTTACGCCAAACTCTGACTCTACCATCTGAAACCTGCCAAGTGTGGGAGAAATGAAGTGTACATATGTGGCTTCAACAACTGCATAGTTTCAGAGGGCATTTGTCTCAGTGAGCAGGTGTAAATACTGCCCAATGTCAAGCCAGGTGGGTTTTCTCTTTCTTATTTCATGGATCTGTATGAAACGACACTCATCTGCGCCAGGGCTTGAGGACGCCACAGATGAGATTCAGCGTCATCCCTAAGCATCCGACATCTACCATGACCTCTGACCTCAAGCACTGGATTCCCTCCCGCCTGACTGCAGTTAATCACATTAAATCAGATAGACCATAGATCAGATATTTGATCAGGTTGTAAGCCCTTGTGAACAGTTGCCAGCTTTGTGCCAAAGTCCTTAAAATATTTACTAAAATCCCTTCAACAATTACTAGCGGACATGAGCTTCTTCCAGCAGAGCTGTTTAATCATGATGTCGATTTGTAGGTCAACCCAAAATACCAATTCGCCATTATTAAAACATCACTAAACGCATGCATTTGAAAAGCTAGCACTTTTAGGTGAGAACTAATGTTTATCATATTCTGTGTTTTATGGATGTGTAGTAAAAGCCTAGATCATCAGATTACGTTAACGTGCCCCTTCATTAGATGTTGATTAACTGCTTGGTTCATATGGATTAATTTTGCAATGTCTTTATGAATGTTTTGAATCTGGAAAAAATTGGTTGCATGGAAAAAAATTAGAAGAGAATATTAAAAAAATATCTTCATTTGCTAAAGTCTTTTGGGATTACTTGATAATCTACTGTAGATAACAGTCATTTAAATGAAATATGCACATGATGCATAACACAAAGGCTTTTGGGAATGGCCGTTTACTGTTTTTAATTATAAACTATAAGATTGCTCATATAGTTAGTTTTAGTTTTATAGATTGCTCATATATTTACTTACAAATGAACAATTTTAACAATAATTTACTTTATAGTTCTTTTCCTGTTGAATAGTATATATGTAACATTGTGGCTGTATAAGCACAAAATGATAAAGGAGATGAATAAATCTAAACGTAACATGGAGGAGATCGGCGGAGGAGATCCACGTTAGTCGTGGACGCTAGCTCTCGGCATCTCGAAAACGCCACGCTGATGTTGATCCTCATTTTAGTTCTCCTTGTTTGTCCCAAAGTCTGCTTTCCATGGTCTATGTTTGAGAGAAACGAGAACTGTCGTTAAACGCTACGCACTACGCAGTTGTCCACGTCTGTCGCCATGGTTACGGCATGGCTACGGCAGTACGAGCGGAAACTGAGGATAGCGCGGATATTGCGTCATTGACAGGCGACCTTTTTTTCCGGGACGCCCACTTATTTAAAATTGGATAAAATTAAATAAATTTCTCTGAAATAAAAAAAAAATATTTGGACTTTTGGGATATTGTAAGTACACAACTGCAGGAAATATAGCACACTATGTATATATACGATTTTTACAAAATTCTTATATATTGTACCTTTAAATCTACCATTAGTTGAACTAGTTGTATTTAATAAAGGTAAATACATTTTCATTTAATTGCAACTAACATGTAATTTAGTGTCTAAAAACAGTTCACACTTAAGTATGTTCTTATAAAGTATATTATTACAGTAATAATGCTAAAGTGGACTTGGTTTTTACCCTGTAAAGCAATATAAAACGAAACACAAAGAGCCTGTGACCGTTCACTTACCCGACGATGACGATGACAAAATCCAGCATATTCCAGCCGTTTCGGACGTAGGAGTTCTGGTGCATCACCAGTCCATACGCGATGATCTTGAGGAACGTTTCAATCGTGAAAATGATCAGGAAGGCATATTCTACCGTCTCCTGTGAAACACACAATGATAGAACAGAGAGATTTTAGTATCTCGTTCATTTTGTGGAACAGTGAGCATGATTTGTAAATATTGACCAAAGCGAAAATCTCAATATGCTCAAAATACTCAACTGTTACTTTTGATTTTGTTAACAAAATGGCAGAACAATGACACAAAATAGTGTTTGTCCAATACATGATTTTGGTTTCGCCAATCCTGAAAACCTGCATCCTTTCTCTTTACCCCTTAAAGCGACAGCAAGTGACTTTTCCTGTGCGGTCGCCCTACAGGTTGGAAGCGGAATTGTCCATTACCGCTGCCGTAAATAATTTAGCCTAGCGCGTCCTACTGTCGCACACACACACTAGCTGTTTACCCGGCACCGGATTTGGAATGAACGATGTCCACAGACGATGTTGCATGATTTAACGAAACTATGATGTGTTGCGACATCAGAAACGAAGAAAAACTAAATAATGACTATTGTAACGCTTCACGTAAAGCAAGTCAAATTTGTAGTTTTCTTATGTCTCATTAGAACTACAGAAACGCAATCTGGCAATCTTACACAGCGTGGTTATAGCAAATATAGCATCCAGAAGTGCCTTACGACTTAATGAACCACTGAAACCATTTTGGAAACATTATTTTAAGGTAAAAAAAATCTTCCTTAGTGTTGCTTTAATGTGTTAAAGGAGTAGTTCAATTTTTAAAAACTTCCATCTAAGATGTCCATGTCTTTCTTTTTTCAGTCGAAAACAAAATTAAGGTTTTTGATGAAAACATTCCAGGATTTTCTCCATATAATGGACTTTAATGGGGTCCAAACGGTTCAAGGTCCAAAAGACAGTTTCAGTGCAAACTGTTCAAAGGGCTTTAAACGATTCCAGACGATGAATAAGGGTCTTATCAAGCGAAACGATCACTAATTTAATAAATAAATAACAAAGTTTAAGTTTTATAAGCTCAAATGCTCGCCTTGCTCTGTTCTTCGATGCGCGTTCGTGACTCTCCTGTTCGAACTCGTTCATCAAAATGAACAAATCTTTTTTCGAGTCATTTCGTTCATTTCATTCGTTTCATTAATCTCTTTTCGACTGAAGAAAGAAAGATGTGGACATCTTGGATGACATGGGGGCGAGTAAATTATCAGCAAATTTTTTTCCTACTCCTTTAATCATTAAATTACAATACACTTAAATAAATAAACAACATTTTTAAATGATCACATCAGATTTAAAGAAATCCACCACAATATATGTCCTGTTTCCAAGTCCATGTCAAGATTCAATCCTAAATATGAAAGCTTCCAAAAGCGTAAAACGTCCCAATCTGGCAACCTTGAGCGCTTCCCACCGCCAATTTATAACTTTGAAATGACACATGTTGTGCAACATTACCTTGCTGTCAGCTATTTTTCTATTTCTAGTGGATGTTTTGCACAATATGCCGTCGTATTGAGTGTTGCACAGTATTCAGTGAAGCAGGTAATTACAATTATAGTGCGTGTTTGAGTCCACACTTCCCCATACAATAAAGGCAAAAAAAGTCAGGCCATGGTTTCATGTGGTTTCACCTGGTCATTGATGTGAATGTCTCAAGCGACAGGTGACCGGATGACAATGGCTAAGCCACAGCACTAAGAATAGCTGCAATGACTAGATTAATCCCATTTGAACAACACAATCTCATTGCTGAACACAGCATGTCTGTGCACAACAAACCAGTCATGGATTTCCACATGCATCCAAACCTGGATGTTGACAATGCATTAATTCATTTCACGTCACCCGCCCTTTGTCATAAAGCACTTAAGCTTATCAAATACTTCAGGTACATTCACTTGCTGTGGACTTCAGTTACATAAGGACCGAGTCACCCGTCCGATGGCCACAGGGACACAGCGTCCGGTTTAGTGGCCGGCAGATTTAGGCGAATGAGTCAAGTGGTTTTCGTGCAGTAGAGCAGGTGATGTTTATAAAATGGTAATTTGCTGGACCAAAGTAAACTGATCCCAGAGCTTGTTTTGGGATTTCTGAAGCTCTTCTTGCTTGGCAAAGTTTGACCGTCATTGGGATTGCAATTATTGTTTTAATAAACATTTAAACAATTAAACATTTTTCTGAGTGTTAAAGGAGAACTCTGGCGCAAAATGAACCTTTGGTCTAATAAAACATCGGTACCTAGTCGACCGTTCTCTGAGATTTGTTTTCATGATAATCGAATGTAAAGAGTTTTATCTCTAAAAACTGTTTAGCGTATAATGCTAGTAATGGGGGCATTTAATAAGTAAAAAAAGAAATCGCTAGTTTATACCACTAACAAGGCTCAAAATAGCCCCACACTAACGCAGTAACATAATGAGGGTCCATACATGCAAAACGAAGCATTGAGAACTGTGTAAGTGTACAGACCGTTTAATAAGAAGATACTTTATGAAGACAGTTCACTTCGCGACAGGAGCCATCTTAAAAAAATAGTCACGACAAGTCGAACCACGAACGCCGTGCTGAGTGATCTGAACTGTATGAACGTCGATCGTGGTTCGACTTATCGAGTCTAATCTAAGTTAAATCTAAATTAAAAACCTACCTGTTTTCACTGGCCTACAAGTGTCCTTGATTTTAATGTTGAATGGTCATATTGGTGGCTTTGATGTAAACACCCCTACTCTTTAGCTTTGCGGTTAGTCTTGTTTTTAAGATATTTATTCTGCTGTACAGCACAATGTTCAATTACTGTTGTTTTTATTGTGCTTTATAAATAAAAGTTGATTGATCGATTACCATTTTTTTAGTATTTCCTCCTTAAAACTGCAGTGAACCAAAGACAAAAACGCGCTGTGAAATCGCTGGTGTTTCTGACGTCACAAACCACCTTGTAACCAATCAGATCAACGTGTGATCGCCAACCAGTGGAAGTGAGTGGAGGCGGGGCTCATTTACATATTCATAGAACCGCGCATACTAAATGAGGCGAGGGTGTCGAGTTACACTCAAGGCATTTTAAGGCATGAAGGCAATTTTTTTCAAAGAAAAAGTATTTAAATATGTAATATTGGTAATTAAAGATGAGTGTAAAGGGATAAAATGATTGACTACATTGAAAAATTGTGAGCGTTCAATTTAAAAATAACCTAAAAAATGTATACATTAGCTATTTGTCCAATTTAAATGTGACATTCAAAGAAACTAAATTCATTACATATGCTGAATGATCTGAACAACTGATTCTCATTCGCTTGCTAACCTGGATAATTTTCAGTAAAAATGATCATGCAGAACTTGAACTTGCCTGATGCTTTACACAATGAAATGGGTCGTAATGTTCTGCCATTGCACTGAATTCACCATGAAAATGCATTTTCATTTACCAATACTGAAATAAGAACGCATGTAATCGAACAGCTGGTCCACTGAAATAAGGGCCGTAGCGTGAGAGAGAGAGACAGTGAAGATATAATCCTCCTATGATCCTCTTTCTCCCGGATACAGACGGGCTCGTGTCACTCAGCTCATACACACACAGCTTGTTGCGTTCAGAAACACTCTTACTACAGTTCACCAGTGCTTGTTTAAAGGGCTTTCCCAGAGGCTTGTGTGCCATTGAGAATATAGGTTTGTAGGCTGGAAATGATCGATGCGTGTGCATGAGAGTGTAATAGAAATGCAGAGAGAGAGAGAGAGAAAGGTTAAACACTGGTGTCACCGACTCGACTGAAGCTAATCGTACTGGACAAGCCCAATGCTCAAAGCCCTGGAGCTCAGAGAGGCAAAACTCACTCTGCGTTTACAAGGAAAACACTACAGGCCTCGTGTCATCATAACCAGACTGCACGAATCCCAGGAAATTACACACTCTTTGTGTGTGAATAACAGGAAGCATGATACGGCTTTAATGTGATTCGGTGAATAAATATGAGCCTTGCAAGTTTGAAAATGCAAAGCAGTTTATAAATGAATACCAGCCATTTATGCCAAAAGATTATATGATCTACTGTTGATTAATTATGACGTAGTTTACTTTATGGTGTGTATATTATTATGTGTATATGAAGAGTTCAGATGCAAAAGCCTCTAAGTGACATTTGAAATTTTCTTCTTTAATGATGATTTTTATCAAACTTGTATATTTAAGTTCAGTAATTTCACTTAAATAACAATTAATAGGTAATCTTCATTGCCATTTAAGTGAAATCACTGAACTTAAATATACAAGCTTGATAAAAAAAATCAATCTAGAAGAAAATTTCAAATGGCACTTAGAAGCTTTTGCATCTGAACTCTTCATATATCTTTTTTAAATGAGCAGCCAGCAATAGTAAAGCATTGACATTTCAAAATAAGAGTCCCGGTATATTTTGAGCTTATTTATACAAATTTTTTTTCCTTGAAAAATAATCTTCATACGTTGAAATATGCTGAATGTAACTCGACACCATTGCCTCATTTAGTATACATGGATCTATGCAAATGATCCCCGCCTCCACTCCCTCACTCACTCAGAGATCCACTGGTTGACGATCACACGTTGATCTGATTGGTTACAAGGTGGTTTGTGACGTCAGAAAGCGTGTTTTTGAGACTGTCTTTGGTTCACTGCAGTTTTAAGGAGGAAATACTCAGCAATGTTATAATACGTTACATGTTTTTAAATGAGCAGCCGCCAATAATAAAACATAGACATTTCAAAATAAGAGTCCCCGTATTGGGCTTGTTTTATAGCTACTATTGGTAATTCAGTTACTGAATAAACTGTATCTGGCATTTAATTCAATGTTTAAAATATGCATAATTTCATAAAAACAGTTTGAAATATTTTGTCCACTTTCAACCCCTTAACGCCCACTGTCGCAAATATGCAACAAACCGTTTGACTCAGTCAACCAGCCGAGATAACGTCTGCATTCCCCCAATGCCGGTTAGTGCATATTCACTACAGACCTCGAACCTTCGAAAAGCACTTGTTTCAAAGTGACGGAGTTATTTCCTGTTTACGCACGAGGATTACTCCGGTCAGGAATATTTGCAACATACCAAATTGACCATTATGCCCGCTGTTGCAGATTTGCAACATACCAAAATTGATTTATTTGTTGTGCAAAAGTGAAATTGATAATCTCAACATTATTTACCATCTAATTAAAGCCAAAAACACACACATAAAACATTTTTTTATATACAGCTATAGAAATTCAGACGTTAAGTATTTTTAAGAAATAGTCTTTGTAAAAGCATTAAGCAGACCGATCAAAAATGAGCTGAAGCATAACTTTGCCAATTTTGATTTGAACCAAACAAACACATGGGTGTTATCCAAAGAGACAGATCTGAGGAGCAAAGGACATCAGCAAAAGTAACCATTTGATCTCATTGCAGACTGTTCAGTTTAGGGCATTTAAATGTGCAGGTTTGAAATCTAGCTCTCGGAGATGCAATCGAGCCACACAAGAGAACAACAGAGCAAATGAAGCGCAGACATGAGCAATGTGGACACAAGCACCTTTGGAGAAATTTCCCTTTGTGCTCATGTAATTCCACTTTAATTCACTCATCTAATCTCAATTAGCAGAAACTAATCCCACTCCAATGAGGAGTCAGAAGAGACGTCACAATACTCACCAAATCATGATTAGTTGAGTTGGAATCGTCTTCAGGAAAGGGGATGTAAACGGCTAAGGCCACACAGTTGGCAAAAATTGACAGCAGTATAAAGATATCAAAAGGTCTGGAAGTAACAGGTTTAAGGAGAAATGTCAACATCATTCATTCTCCAACAGATCCCAGCAAACTAAACTTGATGAAGTAGTAATATTGTATCTGAAAACCACAAAGCAGGTTTCGGTCATGTTGGAGAACTGCACCCTGTCATTTCAGTCATATTATGTGGCTTTTTGGTCTTAAAGTAGGGCACCGATATGAAAAATTTGGTTGATGCCGATAATTCTTAAATTTCAAAACCATAACCGATATATCGGCAGATAAATCAATTTTTTTTTTCATTTATATAATTTTTGAGAGTAAAAAAAACGACTCACCTGAAGGAAATAATACATTATTTATCGGCTTTAATATATCGAACAAATGCTCTTATCAGGCCGATAACCATAACATAAAAATGAACCGATATCGGCCGATACCGATATGGTGGCATCCTTAACTTAAAGCTATTGCATGTTAAGTATGAGTGACTAGCAATTGTTTCTAAACATTCCAACTAACACTGGTCAGTCAAATTGATGGTCCCGCCCCAAACTCATCTCATTGGTTTAATCAGGTGTCATTTCGTCATGGCGAATTACAAACAGCGTTTTTGCTGCTAAAGGGAAGGGCAGGTGTGCAACTTAACTGAACAAGGCCATTAGCGAAGGGTACATGCGATTATGAATACATGACACAAGATGTCGAGTTGACGCAATTTTCTTTATAAAGCTGGAGTTCACCTGGGGTATAATTACAGAAAATCTATTTGATTAGTTGGGAACTCATTACTTGAAGCGGTGTGCCATAACAGTTTCATAATCATGACATGACATAAATATGAAGGAGGTTTCATGCATGTTTATAACAACTGTCATTAAGTGTTATTCGCTCAATTATGACCTTTTTTGAATGCAAATATGACATTGTTTGAGACGACTTGGTCATGACAACTTGACATTACTAAAACAACACAACCTGTCATAAACATGACACAGCAGATTTATGATCAAACTTAAGAAAGCACCTAGCTTTATTGGTTAACATTACATTAAACTGTCAGGTGGTTGGGTTTGACATTGGCTGTCATGAAGCCATTATAACATATTCATGACACAGTTATAATGCCTCATGACAGCCAATGTCAAAACCAAACACATGACCGTTTAATGTAACGTTAACCCCATAAAGCTTAAGTTTCTTAAGTTTGATAATTAATCCGCTATGTCATGTTTATGACATATTATGACAATTTATGTTGTCTATAATGTCAAGTTGTCATTACCAAGACATCTCAAACAATGTCATATTTGCATTCAAAATATCATAATTGAGAGAATGACACTTAATGACAGTTGTTATAAACATGCATGAAACCTCCTTCATATTTATGTCATGTCATGGTTATGAAGGTGTTATGTCAGTCTTACGCACACCCCTTCAAGTAAAGTGTTACCGGTTAGTTTTATTATGAATAAACATTTTACGTTTCTAATTAAAAAAGTTTCATAGGCGATGAAGGCTTGAAATATCTCACTTTGCATGTAATGAGTCTATATAATATATTAGTTTCACCATTTAAGTTGAATAAGTGAAATTAATGAACTTTTGCACGATATTCAAATTTTTTGAGTTTCACCTGTACGTTTCGGTTGATACCCATAATGCAAAAGTGATTCTGTAAATAACCCGTTTCCTCCAGCTCAGAGTGATGAAGTGTGTGTCGTCTCAGTGCTGGTGTAAGGATACTTCCACTCCACTAGGCTAATGCACGCTCTGCGCACAGGGTTATTGAGAGTCAGGCAGAAGAGAGCTCTGGGAGGTCTGCTGTTAGAGCTGCTTCCCTGTTTCTTGCTCTTGGCGTATTGCTGGCGTTTCCTCTGGGCCAGAGAGCTGACGGGCCCCACGCTCGCAGGAGCCGAGGGGTTCAGGGTCTTCGGGACGTCCTGAGACTGTCTCGCGGCGCGGATCGCGGCCTGCCAGGAGAGAGCGGCGGTCTGGGCCGAGGACTGCCCGCTGGTGACTGACAGCTCTTCGGTCCAGGTGGGAGGAGCTTCACTGGGGGCCGGGACTCTGGTGCCACTGGCATAGTTGGCCCCTGAAAAGAGACGGAAAATGAATCGTCGTACCAGAGGACGTATTGGCGTGTTCACAGCGCAGGTACTAGGAACGATTATTAGTTTTCGTAATGTTTTGTCTGAAGCCCCTTGACTTCACCACTAGATGGCGATATTTCAACCCAGATTAATTCTCCTTCGTTAAATGGTTGTAATGCCCAACCCTGTGTTGAATTAGCCTGGTCCCACCAGACTCTCAGACATTTCGTTTGCCTCGCTCCATTGACGAGCGTTAACGTACTCGTAGGCGGGAACTCTGATGAAGTTTTTAATACAATTGACCTATGGCTAAGCCACGCCCTCAAACGCGATGAGCCAATCACAGTGCGCAGCTACTACCAAATACACTACAATACATTGCAGTTATACAGTGTTCATTCGTTTTTTCTAGTCATTTTAAGTTTAAAATGGTCAAACAGTGTGCATGGGGTACATGCAACTCCGATACTAGTTTCCCGAGAGGCTGGAGACAATTTCCCGAGCCACATCTCAAACGAGATAAGTCTCTGCTCTGGATTAAAGGGTTAGTTCACCCAAAAATGAAAATTAAGTCATTAATTACTCACCCCCATGCTGTACCAACCCCGTAAGACCTTCGTTCGTCTTCGGAACACAAATAAAGATATTTTTGATTGAATCTGAGGGCTGGATCACTCTTCCATAGACTGCCTAAGGGACTGGCTCTTGACGGCCCATAAAGTCATTAAAGAAAAGTTTTAAATATTCCATGTGCCTACAGCGGCTCAATTATAAGTTTATCAAGCGACGAGACTACGTTTTGTGCGAAAAAAACATAAATAACGACTTTATTCCACTATTCCATTACTTCCTTATGGGCGCATGCGCGAGAACTGAGACGAGGACGTTCTCATTCGTCTACTTCTTGTTACCGGCTGCTCACCGCTTAGGAGTTTTACCGAATATTTAAACCTTTTCTTTAATGACTTTATGGGCCGTCAAGAGCCAGTCCCTTAGGCAGTCTATGGAAGAGTGATCCAGCCCTCAGATTCAATCAAAAATATCTTTATTTAAGTCTTACGGGGTTGGTACAGCATGGGGGTGAGTAATTAATGACTTAATTTTCATTTTTGGGTGAACTAACCCTTTAAGTTATGCGGTAGACCACAACACCAAATGAAATTAAATAAGGATGTCTACATCTGTCAACAACGTATTTGAACGTTATAAAATCTCTAACGTAACGTTAGGCTAACATTAGAAAACATTAACGTTAGCTTCTAACTGCATTGTACATCATGTCACTTAGCTGTAAATAATGATTCATGTTGGAATGATTCATGTAAATACTGTAGCACCCAACGGTGATGGCAACGATACGCGGTTTATCACGTTTACACTGTGACCTGTGTAATAGGCATTTTCCAAACTATCGGCATCGGCAGTTATAATGGCCGATAAATTAATATTTCAAAAATAAAATAAAAACGGACGAAACACGCTTGAACCATGTCATGAGTGTTGGAGTTGTATAGTTTGTCCACCAGAGGGCGCTCTACACCGTTCCTGTCGGCAACACTCGTTGAGTTGGTCACGATACATACATTGCTTAAATAACAATTAAAAGATCATCTCCATCAGTTCTCTCAACTCAAATAAGCATGACAACATTTGTGACTATCATGTCCAGTTTTGCTGTTAAATAAGCCGAGAGTGAAGCGGGATTAGCTAGTAATAATTACGTTACGTTGTTACAGTGTAGTTGACTGACTGTCCTTTTAACTTTAGACAATGTGACTGAAGTATTTCTTTAATAGCGCGTTACAGTTATAGCAATGAGACGTATCATCTGTTATATTGAAAATTTATTACAATTTGCAGTATGACGTTATCGATTGCTAAATTATGGCTCATCATAGACTAGCTAACCACAAAGCTAGCTAACGCCACTATCGTCAGTCTGTTCTGTTGTGACAATAAAGAAACAAGTTTCTTTTTAAAATGTATTAGCATATTATTTTAGTTAAAACTCATAAATAACTACAAATAACTAATGTTAGGGAAATCTGTTAATGTTTTGTTGCGCGTTTCTGAAAAATAAATAAATAAATAAAAATATCGGCCGATATATCGGAATATCGGATTTTAAAACCAACAAATATTTGTATCGGTATCGGCCTTCAAAATCCTTTATCGGTCGGGCTCTACTCTATATGCACCATTTTTGCATCATACTTTTTAAGTAATCCCAACTTGTAATAATTTTTACTTAAAATTAACAAAAAAAAAAACTTTGTTATATGTAGGGTTGGGTATCGTTTGAATTTGAACGATTCTGATTCTGATTCCTTGTTTCGATTCCGGTTCCTAACGATTCTCGATTCCGATTCTTTTAAGAGGCAGGGTCAAAAAAGTTTAGCTAACCTTGCCAACCAACGGCCTTTCTGAAGGAAATACTCCTTCTGTAAAAATACTCCTTTTGTCACAAATTTTGCATTTTGCCGAGATTTCGTTATTTTTAGAAAAGTGAAACAACACTTTGGATCGCCGACGTAAGCTACTCATGTTCGACTCGCGTGGTTATGCCAACACTTCCGGTAGACGCTTCTTCGTTCGTTGGTGTTCAGCGGTTTCTTCTTCCGCTCGCCGGACTGTGAATATCGAAACTAAGAACCGAATTTTTAACTTTTGAACGATTCCGGAAAAAACGAAAAGTTAGTCTCGGTTCCAATCGATACTCGATTCTCGATACCCAACCCTAGTTATATGTACTTAAATATTTGAGTTCACGCAGCATTCTTTACTTATAAGCATCTCTCAAGACTGGCCTCTGGATTTGGTTGAACAGTCACTACGGTGTCCTGAAGCAGCGAACCAGCAGGGAACAACCGAACTGGCAGAGCTGTAACCCTCGTCAGAAAGTCGAACCCCAGAAGGAGAAACGATTCCTCAACGATACTCCTAATGACAAATGCTATTTAAAGGGTTAGTTCACCCAAAAATGAACACAATGTCATTAATGACTCTCCCTCATGTCATCCCAAGCCCATCAGACCTCCGTTCATCTCCAGAACACAGTTTAAGATATTTTAGATTTAGTCCGAGAGCTTTCATTGTAAATGTGTGTACGGTGTACTGTCCTTGTCCAGAAAGGAAATAAAGACATCATCAAAGTAGTCATGTGACATCAGTGGGTTAGTTACAATGTTTTGAAGCATCAAAAATACATCTTGGTCCAAAAATAACAAAAACTCAGACTTTATTCAACATTGTGTTGTCTCCCGGTTCTGTTGTGGATCCGTGTTCAGTGACGCTGCTGACGTGTGTCTCCGTGTATTCGAGTTCAATTAAATATGGCTGGGCAAAAAAATGCAAGTGTTCCTCTGTGTGGAAATCCTCAGACATGTTTGTGAAGATTATTTTGTACAGCGCGCGTCTCCCTCAGACTGTAACCGAAGCTCAGCCGCACCACACACACGTCAGCAGCGAACACGGATCACAACAGAACCGGAAGACAATACAGTGCTGAATAAAGTCTGAGTTTTTCTTACTTTATGACCAAAATGTATTTTCGATGCTTCAAAACACTGTTGTCACATGGACTACTTTGATGACGTCTTTATTTCCTTTCTGGACAAGGACAGTATACCGTACACACATTTACAATGAAAGCTCTCGGACTAAATCTAAAATATCTTAAACTGTGTTCTGAAGATGAACACAGACATGAGGGAGAGTCATTAATTTTTGGGTGCATATCTAGCATAAAAGTTTGTAAATGTGTGTGAGTGATGTATATTTGTGAATATATACACTTATATAAGCCTATTATATATTTAAAAACTTTTGTGTTAGATGCGATAAATCATGATTGATCGATTTGACAGCACAAATGTCTAATATCCAAGCACTAATATACATGCCTATATTATTACAAATTCATATATATTTATGTCCTGAAACGTTCTCAGAACTTTAGCTAATGTTTACTCAAGGATATCTTAAAGTTATGAACGAAAACTCTTCCAACGTTAGTTCAGAATTATCTGGTGTTCTCAGAAAGTTTGAACACAAACAATATATATATATATATATATATAGTATATATATATCGCTCATGCCATGGAACGTTTTACCTTTAATTAAAAAAAAAAAAAACTTAAAAAAAAATAAAGGTACTATTTCTTTAAGAATATTCAGAGTTATGATTGTAATCCCATTATGATTGAAGAATGATACAATGAAATGTTTCCATAGCGTTCAGTAAAAAACGTTTAAGAGAACATTCGTGTCGAATTCACAACTTAATGACAACGTTAGCAAAACGTTCTTATTTATGATAGCATATTTATTCAGCCATGACATATGGCTGATGCGTTCAACACAACTTTGACACGGACATCTTCACTTTGAGGATACAGCAAAATCTCCCAGTTTCGCTCAGTTTTAATATGAAACGCATTAGTCACATCTGTATTTGTGTGTTTACCTCCTTCCGTCGGTTCCTCTGACTCGTCCATCCCCTCCTCCACATTGAAACCCTGTTTGATTGTTTGCTATAGTCCAGTTCGCGAGATTATCACATTTTATCTATCATGTTTAGACCGCTGTTGATGATAATCATGATGATGATGATGATGATGGTGCTGATGCTGAAGCCTCTTCGCAACATCCGGGTGTCTCCGCGATAAAGATTAAATCCACTGAGCGCCATTAAAGATGCCTAGAGTCAGTCTGACAGTCTTATTCTATCCGGACTAAATCAGGGACAACACACACTCGTTTCGCTCGCAGTTGTGTGTCTGTTTCCAATTAAACCCGTGTTCGGGGAATAGAGTTGCCAGGAATATTCAATTACCTTTGCAGGACATCTAACAGGCTTTGCAACAGGTCACCGCCTCAGACACACACTATATCGCTCCAGAGCCTCGGCTTCATAAAGTCAGACAGCTGTTAAACACCCAGATAAAGTTGACAACTAAATCTTACCTCGGATTCCCAGTATGAACGTCATCATCTGTCATTGCCCGAGTGCATGTTTTCTGCTCATTATGGCCATATGCTGAAGCACAGTTAGGGAGTGTGTGTTGGATTACCTGTGTGTGTAGCAGATAATCCCCATATTAATCCTCTGACTCAAGCCTTCTGTGCACTGAGTGGAAGCCAATGGAGCGCGTGCACGCGAATATTCCGTTCAAACGCGATCTATCTGATCATGTTGTTGATTTTCCATAAGCAGTGATTAATCATAATTACGTCAACTATGATTCTGAGGTATATTTTCTAATGTCAAGCATTCATTTCTAGGTGTAATGGTGCAGACTGATCTTAGTTTTTTCTTAAGCGTGGTTTATTTAATTTTTAACTTTTCTGTTTATTTACCTATAAATAAACAGAAAGTGAGGTGTGTGTGTGTAACAGCGACCTCTTGCGGTTTCTACATTACATCACAGTTTGAATCCCCATCTCAAATCTCATTAAATACAGCTCAAATAGCTTATAGTTTAATTAGAATAAATCCACTAATACTCCAATAACCACAAGTGAAAATATTTCTAGGCTTACAGTTTATGGACCAAATATACACTTTCATGCCACATTCATGTTTCTTTCATATAGTGTTTCCCCCCCAATAGCTCTGACTGTGTTTGTCAGTGCACAGCCAATTTAATAATCATATTTAATTTAACTTAACTTATTCTCCTGACCATAGATACCATGAAATCAGCACTTTTGATTAATGGCTGCTATTTTTAATTTCGTGTAATTAAGTCCATCAACGCAGTTTTGAGTTTAATTGATCTAATTTTGTATCTCTGGGAAATAGACAGTGATTTATTATGACACAGAATATTATAATGAATATCAGAGTTTTGTGTGTGTTTGTTACAGAGGGATATTTCATGTTTTTAGATTTGTGAGTAAAAGTTATAGTTTTTATTTTGAAGAAAAAATATTTAAATTAAACCCTCAGGGTAAGATGAGCCATCAGATTTGGCAGAGAAGGCCCAGAGTGGCTTGTTAAAACTAGTGTTTTTATTTTTAAATGTAATAATTATTATAATTTATGGGGTTAATATTCCATATTTCCATTAAATTTACACAAATTTGCAATATGGTGACAAATCTTCAATTTAAATATTAGCAATTAAATACGGAAATATTCATATGCCTGTGTAAGTCATAGAATCATTCTCAGTATGTCATAGTTTTGAATTTTCATCTCATAATTATAACTTTACTATATCATAATCAGTGTTGGGTATAATGCATATTAACGAATTAATTATTTACTGTAATTTAATTCCCTTGAAAAAGTAAAGTAAGCGACGTCTTTCCCTTTCTGTAATTTAATTAGTTACTTATATAATTGCAACAACAACTGTAATTCTATATATCCTACTGTAATTCAATAGTGGATTTAACATCAAAATCTAACGTCTTATGCTAAAATGTATGTTTTTAATGTAAGCTTCTCCCTTTGAGTACTTTGGTTAGTTCAAGAATAATTTAGGCAATATTATTTATTTGAAAGAAGTAAAAGCAGTTCCATGTCCTTGTCGAGGTTGACATGGGATTTAGAATGTAATTAGTAGCTAATAATTACAAGTAATGCAACGGTGGAAGATGTTACTATTTTTTTTAGAGTAACTTAACACTTAGGCCTATCATAACTATGATTTAGTACGTCAGAATTAAGTTACCAAAATATTTTTTATCTGGAGGAAATGGGCTTTCATTAATAAATACAGATTAATTTTAGCATTATTGTATTTTATACATGCCCGTTTAAACGTGACTTTAGTAATTGTTTGAGCGCGGAACCATGTGCCCAGCTTCCAACGTGACCGGGACGGTCCTGTTGCACTCATGGTACAGCAGTAAAGTTTCCTCTCAAACACAGGAATGAGAGTATAGTTCCTAGCTATATCAGCCTAGAAAATCACAACTTTTAATTTTCCGTTGGTCTCAGTTCACGATGTAACTATAGAAGAGTCAAGTTTTAAATAGGAAAAATATCAAAACACTTTGGTCATTTTTTTCTGGAGAAATGCTAATGGTCTTGTGTACTTCCATAGACATATACACTAGACCTCACCTTGGATACGTCAGTTCATTAGAACGAATGCGTCAATAGAGCCGCCATCTTGAAACAGGGGAGCCCCTCCACTTTAATGTAGTAGACACAGGTCTAACGGAAATAAAATCACCATAAATCATCATGAATGCGATTTTTCTTGTTTTTTTTTTTTTTTTGGTTTGTTCCAACGGTCAGACATGTATTTATCATTGATTCCAGAAAGAAAAAAAATTTTTTAAATTTTTTTTAAACACTCTTCCTAGTTCAGATTTCATCCGTGAACTTCATACGCTGCACAAAAGTCCACCACCATCAATGAATTCGAAGTTAAGGCAGAGATAGCAGCGTTACCTAGCTACTTCCTATGACAAGACCCCTGTTCCAAGATGGCGGCGGTTTTGACGCATGCTTAGAACCCCCAGGTGAGATCTAGTGTATATGTCTATGGTGTACTTCAATGATGTATGCTAAGCTATGCTAAAAGAGGTACCGCCACAACCGGAGATCGGCTGAATGGATTCAAAAACGGTAAAACTCACCTGTTTGGGGCACCTGTTCACAACTCTGGGGGACGTTGTAAAATGAGCCTATTTCCAAAAAAAAAAAAAAAGTGGAGTATCCCTTTAATAAAGGCTTTCTGAAGTGAAGCGATGCGTTCGTGTAAGAAAAATATAATCCGTATTTTAAAACTTCAAGTCGACACATATCTCACACCTACGGCTTTACGATGAGTAAATCATGAGCTAATTTTCATTTTTGGGTGAACCATCCCTTCAAATCCAAGTCCCATTCCCACTGACTGTTTAATATAAGCGCGTGCTTGTCTGCCGCTTTAAATGCTCGAGCTCGTTACAGCAGGATTGACTCTGATTGGCTGTAAACGTGTTTACCGTTCGTCAGCTGGATACAATCGGTCTGAAAGTGATTCCAAATAAGTTTCTCTGTGCTGTTATCGTTAGCTGCGGTGTCAACTCTGCTCTTCTTCTATAGGCTACCGAGAATGATTTGTATAGTTAGTTATCACAATTAATATTGCAGCATTTAGTGCAAATGGTTTATTCATGCACATTTTTTTTATTAATTTGCCTCCATCTTCTCTGATGACGTGTCTACTGACGTGAGGGCGGGGCAACTGTCACTCACATGAGATCGACCAATTGCAAACTACAACCATCCAACCAACTATAAGCCCCGCCCCTACATTTGTTGTTCTAGAAGCGTTTCACTCAGATATACGGCACAATTGCCACCAGTCTGATTTATTTTCATATTCTGTAGAATAAAGCAGCTCTGCAGTCTGCTGAAATATACACACTGCCCCGTTTCATGTGTTACTATTAAACGATGAATGATTAAGACCTAAATCAGCATTTTCAAGCCTGTTCCTGGAGGCACATCAACACTATTCGTTTCATATCTGATTCATCTCTTCGGCACATTGGTACACACTCACTACACCTGAAATGAATCGGGTAATCAGATATGCAACAATCCAAAACGTGTTTTATCTCCAGGCACTGGACTAATAATGTGCATTTCAGTAAACTCGGAAATAATCAGACACATTATCTTTGACACATTATACATCACAGCTCTCAAAATCAGTCTTTAAATAAAAGCAAAATTAATCTACACATGCCCATGACAGGCAAAAAAAGTAAGATCTCACTGTAATACAATACAAACAATAACCTAAATTATGGCGATAGTTTATTTGCACATCAACTCAAAAGACAAACCACTGTAACAGAGAATCCTGATGCGTTTGCGAGTTCATTGCGTGTACAATACTGGATCAACTTTCATTTGTGCTGAGGTTTTAAAATTCTCTATGATAATCGAAAGCAAACTGTACAAAAAAAGTTCCTATTTCTTAAGTGTAAACACAATAAGCCTTGTGCATGTTAAAAAAAAAATACAATTCCTGTCAAACAAGCAAACGATGAACTAGTCAGTGCGCAGGAACAGTTCATTCTACTTTTACTGATGAAATTAAACACACCTGTTAAATGATCCGGTCTATTTCTTCTGCGCTTCACACAGAAACCATCACCAGAGTGACGTCTTAAACTAGCCGATAACACAGAAATGTCGATGCATCTGACTTTAAATAAACCATTTAATATTTCATATTACGGTCTGCAATTTAAAAAATCTACAGAAAGTGTTATCGAGGGGAAATCTAATTTATGCACTTGTGATTTATAAGCCCAAATTAAACGAGTGAGTTAATAAGTGCACCTCCTACTCTTCAAATCCAGATTTCAATATGACACTCAAACATACTGGTTTAATAGTAAAACACCACTGAGACTGGGATACTGGATCACATCCGTACGTCGTAAACGAAAAGCGATTTTCCAATGCTTCTTATTGCACAAGTCCCTGAACATAATTGACGTGATGATTGGCCGACGGGGACGGATCAGGATTCCAGCAGGACGCTTGTTGGGTTGTTAATAAGAATCAGTGAAGCGGAGACGGCTCGTGGTGTGTGAGACTGTGGCTATAGGTTGATGTTGTTGAGGCCTTTAGAGATGCTCTGTACGTACGCCTCGTGGATCGCACTGAGGAAATGTGCGTCGTTCTGCAAACAAATGAACACACACACACGAAGACTATGAAGCTGCACACAAAACTTGCACTGACTGTTTATATAATACACAGGTGAAACTCGAAAAATGAGAATATCGTGCAAAAAGTTCATTTATTTCAGTAATTCAACTTAAAAGGTGAAACTATAGACTCATTACATGCAAAGTGAGATGTTTCAAGCCTTTATTTGTTATAATTGTGATGATTATGGCTTACAGCTTAATATAAAAAAAAGACGAAAAAAAAAACCCTGTATGTTCTGTTTTTGTTTAATTTGAATTCTTTTTTTTTGCACTGTATGACTTAACAATATTTTGTCTGCATTCTATTTTCTGCGCCATTGCCTGAAATAAATAAATAAATAAAAATCTAATTTTGAATTTGGGGTTTTCATATCTGAAAACCCCAAATAAAGGCTCAAATAAAGGCTTGAAATATCTCAATTTGCTATACAAGTCTATATAATATATTAGTTTCAACTTTTAAGTTGAATTACTGAAATAAATGAACTTTTGCACCATATTTGAATTGTTCCAGTTTCACCTGTATATATAATTAGTTTGTTTTCCAAAATCACATTCATAATTTAGAGTTTAAGTTGTTGGTTATTTATAAAGTTATACTTAATTTATAATATGTTATATGAGCGGCACCACAGACATCATATATTTTCATTTGGGGATATTCCAATTAATTAACCAATCAGTCATACCCTTGATCTGCTCTACCAAACGTGGATGCTTTTCCATTAAGAAACGAACATTGTTTTGATTTTGGCTGATACTGTGAAGCTGCTTTGATGCAATCTATATTGTGAAAAGCGCTATATAAATATACTTGACATCATGCATGCTCAGATAAAGCGATATTCTCCGTTTGTTCGTGTGGAACAAATAAAAACTATATACTTTTCTCGCAGCATGCAGCCAACGAGGGGTTTAGTTTCTGTCGTCTGTTATTTAACTCAATATTCAACCATATTATTGATATTATTGATATTGATATGCCTGCATTATCATTATTTGAGAAATGAACTGGACGATGACATCAGAGCAGCTATAAATTAACTAAATTAATAATTTTTTTTTCAACAAAAATGAACCATCACTGAACTTACTTAAGCTGGACTGTGTACGATATTTTCTTCTAGAAAACAAACTTTGTTGCATTATTTCCCTGTAGCTGCTTTGAAACACTCTGTATTGTAAAGAGCGCTGTATAAATAAAGCTGACTTGACTTTTATTTGTCTGTATTTTGTGTCAGTAAAAATGTGCACGCACTTTTGCACATAAACTTGAACCAATCCTTCAAAATAAAGGTACAGCAACTTATAAACAAATAAAGTATGACTGTATAAATAACCAGCCCGTTCTCATCCCAAGGCATCATATGCTGACGCTTTTGCCAATCCGTAGACATCCAACACACATAGCACCCTTTAGCGTCAATATGAGGCGCAGATATATATGGGCCAGAAGGCGCCTCCTAGTGGTGTAACCCTAACCCTACTCCAGACCTAAACCTACCATAACCGAATAAAGCTCTGTGCGTGTTATATTGACGCTAAAGGACGCTAGACGAAATTTCAAAAGTGTCACTATATGACGCCCTAGGATGAGAACCCATTGAAATAACACACAAGTTGAAGTGTGTGAGTTCGTACCTTGATGAGATGTATGAGAGTGTCCTGCAGCTGGTTGCGGTTGTAGTGGGCCGTGGGAAGGTCTGTGGGGGGAGGCGTCGGGGACAGGGGCTTTCTGGGGGGATCCGGGGTCTTGGTGACGAAATGCTGAAATACACTAGGAGACAGTAGCAGAGAAGACTCCTCCCCCTGGACGACTGGCCCCGCCTTCACACATATATATATGAGAAAGATTTTTAAAACACTTTTATTACAAAACACAACCCATAAAATTCACATTTGAATCAAGCATCAATCAATAAAAAAAAAATCATACCAAACTTAATAATAATAATTCGATTTCACACACTACACCTTTACAACCATGGCCGTAGCCAGATGAGGTCACAGAGGTCATTTTTTTACATTCAAAAGTAAAACGTCAAGCTCTCTGAATGATTAATTAGCCGTTTAAACCAGTGTCTGTCATTCATGTTGCTGTGAGGAGCTAGCGCAGTGAACGGGGCTTGAGAACGTGTTGCGAATGAGATCCTGTGTTGCTTTTCTGATTTAATGCGACACTACAGGAAGTTATTAAAGTGGAAATGTTAGGTTTAATGATATATTAATCTTATTTCCAAAACACAAACTTTGAACTTATTTCAGATAATTATTATTATTATTATTTTCAAAGCAATGTGGCAACATTTTACTGTCAGCATTAATAAAATAAAACAGCTTATTGACAAATTGTAATTGCATTAAGCTACCAAATTCGGTAAGACAAACGCAATGATCATCGTGATTATCTGTAAGACAATAGCATAATAAAGATCTGTATGTTACAATACAGAATGAAATCTGCCAAAAAACTTGCATGGTGTTTAGTTAATCTTCCACAAAGTCATAATGCAAACATTAATTAAAGCAGTGTTTCTCATCTCAACTAGCAATCTATTCAGCCAGCATATTTGCGTGAATTACAGAAATACAACACTTAGACCTACTTTTTTCTATATTTCTTTGAACAAAACTCTCCAGAAAGTGCCATTTAATGGTTTATTTACATACCCCCGGACCCCCCTCGTGAGAGCCTAATGATTATGAATGTGTCGAGAAAAATAGCAAGGAAACATTTTAATTGTTTATTAAATGAACTAGATGTGAGTGTTAGCAGCAAAGATGAAGCTGATGTTTTACTGACGTCTTTCCACGGTTGAAACACTGATTGAGCGATTCCATACTCTGCAAGCTGTATTTTTTGTGTGCGGTAACTGGTATTATTAAGGTGGAAGAGAAGATCATGTGCTTCTCTTAAGCTGAGCCAGAGCGAATCTCACGCCACAGCACCAAAACGCTTTTCATGTTTTTCAAATATCACAATACTATTGAATCGTGGTCCAAATATCACAATTCTAAGGAATCATGGCCCAAATATCACAATTCTAAGGAATCATGGCCAAAATATCACAATACTATGGAATCGTGGCCCAAATATCACAATTCTAAGGAATCGTGGCCCAAATATCACAATACTATGGAATCGTGGACCAAAAAACACAATACTATGGAATCATGGCCCGGCCCAAATATCACAATAATATAGAATCATGGCCCAAATATCACCATCCTATGGAATCGTGGCCCAAAAAACACAATACTATGGAATCGTGGCCCAAATATCACAATACTACGGAATTGTGGCCCAAATATCACAATAAAATGGAATAGTGGCCCAAATATCACAATACTATTGAATCGTGGTCCAAATATCACAATACTATTGAATCGTGGTCCAAATATCACAATACTATTGAATCGTGGCCCAAATATCACAATAAAATGGAATCGTGGCCCAAATATCACAATACTATGGAATTGTGGCCCAAATATCACAATACTATGGAATTGTGGCCCAAATATCACAATAAAATGGAATCGTGGCCCAAATATCACAATACTATGGAATCGTGGCCCAAATATCAAATAATTTTTGAATCGTGGTCCAAATATCACAATTCTAAGGAATCGTGGCCCAAATATCACAATACTATGGAATCGTGGCCCAAATATCACAATACTATGGAATCGTGGCCCAAATATCAAAATAATTTTTGAATCGTGGTCCAAATATCACAATTCTAAGGAATCGTGGCCCAAATATCACAATACTATGGAATCGTGGCCCAAATATCACAATACTATGGAATCGTGGCCCAAATATCACAATACTAAGGAATCGTGGCCCAAATATCACAATACTATGGAATCGTGGCCCAAATATCACAATTCTAAGGAATCGTGGCCCAAATATCACAATAAAATGGAATCGTGGCCCAAATATCACAATACTAAGGAATCGTGGCCCAAATATCACAATACTATGGAATCGTGGCCCAAATATCACAATACTATTGAACCGTGGTCCAAATATCACAATACTATGGAATCGTGGCCCAAATATCACAATCCTATGGAATCGCCACATTTTTGCCGATTCCCAGCCCTACCACAGACTCACACATGAGTCACCCACGACTCTGGGCGTAAACGAGTGTTTTTCCTTGATGTCTCGCCACAGCCAATCATTCTGCATGCTTATTGGCTCACAGGCGTTGGCTAGATTAACCACTTAGGTATTGAAATTTGGTAGACATTTCTTGATACTCAATGGTATCGAGGCAATTCAGTCGGTGCCTAAAACAGTATTAAACTCGGTTACAGGTTACAACAACAAACCATTGTTCACAATCTCAGGTATCACATTGGTCATGTCAACATAGTGCCACCAAACTATATATATAATCTCAAATCATGTCAGTGTTTTCAGGAGTGAACTTACTGGAGTGGGTTTGACCAGAGCCGGGGACGATGTGAAAGCGTTCACCTCTTTACTCTGTGCCGAAGACAGGAAGAGAACGCTTAGATTAGACAACATGGCCTTGTGCATAAACAAGACATTTCGAAGCTTTAAGTTTGTTAAGTTCCTGTCGACAACCTTTTAAGTTACTAAATTCTCCCAACCTTAAAATGTTACCGGATGTTAACTGATGGCGGTCTGTCTCTATGGTCTTTTAAGCTAACCTAGATAGTTCTTTTTATCGTTGGCTTTTTCTTAAATGTTAACATCTGAATGTTAGCAAGAAGAAAAATAAGACTATGTCACATATCAATTTGCATATGTGATAGACCTCAGTTATCCTTATCTCTAACAGCTGCTTTGAAGGTATCCCAAGTGATCAAATTAAAATTAAATGCATTTTATGTACAACGCACATTCTTTTCTCATTTTTTTCCCAAACTTTTGAAATAAATTAGTACAGTAAAAAGTTACAAAAGCAGAGTCTTCTGATCTTTGATTAACATGACCGACAGCATCAGGTTTATTAGGCTGCTGTCACTTTAAGAGCGAATGCACGGATCCAATACACTGGTACACAACAACTGATGAACGAGACACAGACACAGTGTTCAAAAGAGAGGGTCAAAAAGCAGGATGGAAAACAGCTCATCACTTCCAAATTAAGATATTTTAATGTAAAAATTAAGATAACATTATAAGTGGACCACAGAAAAAAAAAAATCCAATTTTGGCTTTTTTTGTATGCAAGACAATTTTGCCCACAATGCTTTTGTAAATCATAATTATGACAAGTCAAAATAATGATAATTTGAACGATTTTCAAACACACTCCATCATAATTTGGTAGGTTGTCTCATGACACTTTACATATACATATAAATTAATTTACAAATACACCTAAACATTACACTATTAATGTGTTCTGGCCGTTCATTTGCACGACAACAGTGTTTTGGCGCTTGAGAACACAAACTTTGATTTTTTACATAATCGAGCAGCCCTACTCGCTATTTCAATCACGATTATTTTGCTCAGTATTAAAAATCACAATTATGTAACGCGATTATTTCACACGGAACGTGTTGCATTTATTAAAAAGTTGACATGACTAAACTATTAAAATAAATAATATGACGGATAATACTTCAATAAGTATAATAATTCCCACAGGTCTACCAATTATAATCCCCCCGCAAACATTGATTCACTTCAGCAGACTGTAGACTGTACGAGTAGCCTAAATTAATCCACACAGACTATAAAATCAAATCAATCATTTACACATCAATTTCACAAATCGGGACCAGTGATGGGAATAACGGCGTCATAAATAAACGACGTTACTAATGTGTTCTGGGAGCATTTGTTAAACGGTTTACTTTTGTGAGGAAGAAAATACTTACATTTATAATTATTATTTTCTCATTTCTGGTACATTTCTTTAGAAGCATCATTGATTTTTAATGGGCAGTTGTGGTCTGTGCGATATTAAATATTAAAAGTTCTAAACCATTTATTATGTTTTATTGTTCTAATATAGTAATGATAATATTTAAAATAATATTTTGAATTTAATAGGTGTCTCTCACATTGTCCCACAGCAACATTACAATAGCGTAGATAATAATTGATAACAATAATTGATTCTATTTAGTGCCCATTTCATTAATTTAACATATTTAATACTAGGGGCATCCAAATTATTTGACATAGGCCCATTTGAACATAAAAAAGTAATCAAATAGTTACTTAGTATCTTTTATCATGATTTAGCTCAGTTCCTATTTGTGAGAAGTAACTAGTAACTGTAACTCATTACTTTTTTTTAAGTAACATGCTCGGGACATGACTAAAGTTGATCATAATTCACTTCTTTTTTAAGTCTTATCAGTTCAAATATTCAAGATGAGCGAATTTATGGGGTGGATGTGCAAACCAGAACATGTCAAAATAATCGATTGTACTCAATTGTACTACTTTGATTGGGAGCCAAAATCGAAATTCAATTAATTGCAGAACCCGAATGGAGAGCCTCTATAAATAACCGCATCTGCTATTTCTGCTTAAATGAATAAAGAATAGTGCCGTACCATGAAGGCATTGCTGGACGTGTTCCCCTGAGCCGGCGCTGGACTCTTCCCTGGGAACGAGCCCGTCTCTCTGAAGCTCTGTGGCGTGATGAGCGGGCCGGGCCTGAAGCCTGGCAGGGGAACCGCTATCCCATGAGCCTCTGTGAGAGGACTCATATATGCAGGACCAGCCGAACCTCGCCGCCCCGACTCTTGCGTGTGTGAAGCACTCGTTCTCGAGTCTCGGGTCTGGAACAGAGAGACCAGCGCCGGGCCGCCCGGGTCACAGGAGAGCAGAGGAGGACCGTACGCTGGGGACTGGGACTGGGACTTGGACGGGTCTTTAGGGAAAGAGCTGCCGAAAAGCTCTTCCACTGTGATCTGCTTGACGATTGAGTGACCTGACTGTGGAGGAGAAGCAGAAAGAGACACATTGGTACATTAAATTATGATTTAAACACCATATCAGCAGCAATGGCTATTATTCATGGCTATCAACAGTATTTCAATTTAAAAAAATCATTTAGCACATTCATATCGTTTTCACTGTGTGCTGTACGTAAAATTAGCGTTACCTTGTCTTTATTTGAAAAAATATGATTACCCGTGCGCATGAAATTACCCTTGTGGTAATTGCCACACAGTGCCCTTGTTACAGTGTTTACTTCCTATTCATATAGTGCTGTCAAACGATTAAAATATTTAATCGCGATTAATCGCATTAATGTCATAATTAACTCGCGATTAATCGCATTAATGTCATAATTAACTCGATAAAAAATGTACGCCATTAAAATGGGTTTGCGTTAACGCAGTTAATAACACGTTTAACGGACAGCCCTAATATATATACAATAACTTTGTGAAAAATACTGTAATAGGATTGCAGATTCAAGAAGTTTCCATCTCAAGTATAAGCATGTTTTATTTTAAAGATTTGTTTATTCATTTATTAAATATTGATTAAAATAAATACAAAGTATAAATACATCGGCCAACCTGCTCTCCAAGATATCGGCATCGGCCATAAAAAAAAAACACAATATCGGCCGACCACTATTTGACACACTATTAGAGTGATATGGTGTGATATTAGTGAACGAGTGTGAAGGACATGATCACCCACACCTTCTCCTGTTGAGCTGGCGTGATCTCGTCTCTCTTCTCCTGTGACGGCACAGACTCACAGTTCACCTCAACCTCTCTCTCTGTCGACTGACTCTAGAAACACACACACATTTATTAGTCACTTTATTTATCTACACATTTTCTTCAGTCTGATGGACAATCTCTTGAATTAAACATAAGCTGATAATCATCTTGAAATATAATGTTATCGGCCCGATAAGAAAATTTGTTCCATATATTAAAACCGGTAGATAATGGATTATTTCCTTCAGCTGAGACGCTTCAGATGCACACTGTACAACATGATGGTTTTAAATTGCTTGAAATATGATTGGAGAAGTAATTAAAAAGTCTGTCGTATCGGCTACATGAAATAATCATGAGAACATTATAATTGTGTTTGGGACGTGGTTTTACTGGTGAGACTTCTGTCTTTGCTCTCAAAAATTATACAAATATTTGGATTTGGATTTAGATTTATCTGCAAAAATATCGGTTATTGGCTTTCAAACATAAAAAATTATCGGCCACCGAATATCAGCCGATATGTTCCCTATCAGTGTATCCCTATATGACCAAATCTTTACTATGATAACGATATTTATCACAATATACACTTGAACTTGGAATGCACACAAAAATGTTTACTGTCTAGACCATGCAGAACACACACACACACACACACACGCACAAATTCCCATTAAAATGAATGTGGGTCATATAACGGGGGCAATGGGTTTTTATTTCTCCATTTTTTCAAATAAAATTCAATCAGTCAAACTGCAGACCTTGAATAATTACAATGTCTGACACTTCAGTACATATAGAAAAGCTTTAAAAAAATTGTCAAAATTACAACCACAAAAAACTTTACCAAAAAAGTATTCTGTAATGTCTAATATCTGAATGCATATCGATAAATCAAAATGGACTTTATGCCAGAGGAGAGCAGCTCATTTGCTCCATATGAAGAGTTCAGATGCAAAAGCCTCTAAGTGCCATTTGAAATTTTCTTCTTTAATGATGATTTTTATCAAGCTTGTATATTTAAGTTCAGTAATTTCACTTAAATGGCAATGATAATTACCTATTAAATTTTATTTAAGTGAAATTACTGAACTTAAACATACAAGTTTGATAAAAATCATCATTAAAGGGTTAGTTCACCCAAAAATGAAAATTCTGCCAGTATTTACTCACCCTCATGTTGTTTCAACCCCGTAAGACCTTCGTTCATCTTCGGAACACAAATTAAGATATTTAAGATATTAAGATCGCTCCTCCATACTAGTCCATAGGCTTCTTGAGGGACTGGCTCTTGCTGTCCCCGAAAAGTCATTAAAGACATCGTTAAAATAGTCCAAGTGACTACAGGGGCTCAATCTTAACTTTATCAAACGACGAGAACACTTTTGTGCGCAAAAAAACAACAAAAATAACGACTTTATTTCAACTATTTACTTCCTTCTCCATGAGCCTGTAGTCAGTTAACGTAGTGTGATTGCGTAGAGCTACGTCACACGTAGGCTCACTATTGGCCGACGCTGGTCATGTGTGTGTGATGCGTGTGACGTACAATAACAGAAGCTTACGCTATTAAACTAGTAACCTGACTCGCGCAGAGGGAGAAATAAACCAATAGTTGAAATAAAGTCGTTATTTTTGTTGTTTTTTTGCGCACAAAAGTGTTCTCGTCATTTGATAAAGTTAAGATTGAGCCCCTGTAGTCACTTGGACTATTTTAACGATGTCTTTAATGACTTTTCGGGGACAGCAAGAGCCAGTCCCTCAAGAAGCCTATGGACTGTATGCAGGAGCGATCTTAATATCTTAAATATCTTAATTTGTGTCCCGAAGATGAACGAAGGTCTTACGGGGTTGGAACAACATGAGGGTGAGTAAATACTGACAGAATTTTCATTTTTGGGTGAACTAACCCTTTAAAGAAGAAAATTTCAAATGGCATTTAGAGGCTTTTGCATCTGAACTCTTCATATAGAGCTCTAAGGCCATCTAGTGGCAAGAGTCATGAAATATCAGGTCATATTATTATTTTTCCACAAGAGGTCGGCAGAAACACACAATGTGAGATATGCAAGGAAAATGCATGAAATGAGGAGTTACTTTGAATTTAAGTGAAAAGAATGTGCTTGAATTGTTGTTTATATATTATTTATTCATAAAATATAATAATTAAAAAAAAACTAATCAAAAAAAATATATATCAAAATGAAATGAGCTTTCTAAACAACAACAAAAAATTATCATTTTAGGACTTTGGGTCATTTTTGCCCGTGAGGATTCAGTTACAAATTTCTGACCAGTCTAGAGGACCAAAAAAAAAAATGTAATGACTGAGTTTTAACACGAGTCTGAGCCGCTTCTGCTTCTGCTTGAGTTTTAAGACGAGTCTAAGCTGCTTCTGCTTTAACTGAGCGCAGTGTAAGTGAACCTGGCCTCATACCCTGTGGTACTCCTCTTTGGCCTTGCTGAGCAGCTCCAGGATATCTGTGGGTTTGGTCTGAACCAGGCCGTTGGTCCTGCCACTCGAGCCTCTGTCGGGAGACACACACTGCGCTCGAAACGCCTCCTGCTTCACGATCCTACGCACACACAGACAGGTGGCCCTCAGATACACACATTACTCGGATCACTCGCAGGTTTCAGGGCGAGTGATGCTGATTTATGAGTGATACTCACTGTAGCATCAGCTGTGCGATCCGCTGGCAGTCGGCCTTATCGTAGAACCAAATACTGTAGATGCCCACTAAAACACACACAGAAGAAATGAAGGAAAACTGCAGACACATTAAAAAACACAATCTGGGAAAGTGGGGTTGTGTTGCAAATACGTGGACGGTTACACAGAATACACAACTATAGTCAAATATAGTGGTGCAACAATATTTCGTGTCACAATATCGCAATAAAAAAAAAAAATGCAACAATATGTATCGTGGATAGTTCAATAAAAAATAAAAAAATTGTTTTCAGAGTTTTAGTGTCAGTACTAAATAAACTACTATATACAATGTTGAATATAATGTATAATAATGCATTGGCGAATATTTTTGCCAAATGTCTGATGTTACCAGTAAAACATGGCTACATTATTTTAAATATATCTAGTTAGTGACGGAGCGTAAGCATATTTGTATAATGTAGTAAAATATTTGTATAATGTATTCATATTTATGTAGTAAAAACAGCTCAGTTTTATATCTTTTTATATGAATCAATGATATTTGTAGAACAGTATAGCAGATACTGACATAAAATGCATATAAATACCAGTCGACTCTCTATATCTGCCGATAATTATTTTTCTTTGTAAAATAATATTTAAATACTTAGTTTTATGATTAAAACATATAAAGCAATGCAATACAATAATGATTGAGAAATAAACGTTCCTCAAAAGCCTGATAATCACATTTGATACTAATTATTTTTCTAATAAACAACGGAAAATCAAGTTAAACCAAAGTTGCTTCAGTCCAGTGAGTGTTCTTCTTAAAATATATCTAATGATATCAATATTATCCTTATATTCACTTGACAAAAAAAAAAAAAAAATCAAGTAAACGTGAAACTTGAGCTAAAGGAGGATGTTTGGACAACAATCATACTAAAAGACTTTTACTAGTCTAAACTAAATCAGACGATTGAGTGCGACAGGTTTATCAGCATCAAGAGGCCTTATAGGGTTATGATACGGCAGGGTTTATAGGGTTAATGTTGACTGGTCTGGGCTTCCTCTCTGCAAACGAGGGATGAATAATACAGTGTGTGTTCCTGAACTTACGGTTGCCGTTCCTGTACAGAAGGAAAGGGTCCTGGAGCTGGAACTCCAAGTCTTTATTGATGGGCTCCACTAAGTTTTCTGTACTTAAACGGTTCATGATTGTGAAGCCATGATGAGGAGACGCCGACCTGCGGAGAAACACACACACACATTATGACTGAATTACAAATTAATGTGTGAGTAACAGAACAACCTTCAGTTCCTGCCAGTCGACGCTCACCTGGCGTAAACAAATAATGTGCCTTCAATCTCAGTCTTCTCCTGGAGTGAGAGAGAGGAGTTAGTTTCAGACAGATCTCACATTCAGTACGAACACAACGAGCTGGACGGCAGATCTGCTAGTGAACGCACACACACACACACACACGCTGTGATCTTTGGAAGCCCCGTCCCCTTTTACCAAAAAAGGAGAAAACTGCATTATGACAAACCACAATGATCACAGACAAAATTAAATATAATGAACCTAAAAGCAAATTATAACACTAAGGCATGATTATGACATAAACTATCGAAATTAAGTCATGATGACTGATTAAAAAGTTGAGATTTTGAACATACTAAATCACAATAATGATTTTTTTTTTAAAAATCTAAATAATAACATTATTAAACGTCAAAATTCTAATATGCTGAGTCATGACTGATATAAAAAGTATAAGTTTAACATGTCAAGTCATGATTATGATTAAAACGGTTGAAATGATGATACTAAGTCATGATTATGACAAGTCACGATTGATTAAAAGTCGAATTTTTATTTTACCAAGTCATGATTATGAACACAAATTCAAAATAATAACATACCAAGTCACGGTTATGATTAAAACGTTTTTAAAAAGTCATGATAGACAAACTGTATAATTCTAACATATAATGATTATGACGTATTAAGTCATTATGATTGATTTAAAAAGTCGAAATAATAACGTACTAAAATAATAACATACGATACTAATGATTATGACAAAAAGCGTCGAAATACTAAAACACTCATCATAATGACATAAGTTAAATAAACAGTCAAATTTATGGCATATGAGATGGGAAACGAAAATTATGACAGAAAGTCATACTTTTACCTCATAATTATGATTTTGTTTCTTACGTGGTGTTTATGGGCTTCCATAGATATCGATTTATTTGCATTAACTTTATTGCAAGACAGACGGTGATATTAATTTTACTTAGATATAAGTTGATCATTAAACTGTTTATCAAGATGTTTATAGCTAATTCATAACATTTGTGTTCCAGCAAACCCATACGCTGGCAAAATTCCGTCGTGTGAATTTATATAAACATGCATTAGACACCATAGAGGAGACTCTGGGCTAGTGACGATGTTATTAGCATTAGCCACTGCAGGCTAAATGACGCACGCGCAGATAATAAGGCAACACGTTTAGAAATCTCACCCATTCGTTTGCTTTGGAGTTGAAAGTATAGAGTGCGACCTGGCCGGTGACATCCAGCAGTTTGACTATATAGGGATCATACTGTTGTAGAGCCGCGAGACTCATGAGATGCCCCGCTTTATTCACACAATCCATTTTCACTGCGACTACACGGAGCACATTCCAGGACACACACTTCCGGTTGCCGTTTTATTATTATTCCGCCAGAGTTCGCTCGTCATAGTTCCGCTGCTGGGTTAGCCAAATTTTGAACATTTTATGAAAGAGATAAAACAATATGGTAACTCATTAGATAAAATTAAAATAGGCCATGTTTGGTGCACTTTAAATAGAGGTAAGAAATGGTTTTAAATCCCTTATAGGCCTCCTGCCGCCAAGCATTTTAGCTTTATTTATTTCTGTATTCATCGTCGTCCTGAGGCTAGCATTGGGCAGCCCATCACTAAATAATATGCATGTATAGTGATTAAATATGACATTAGTTACATTTTTATTTTTCAGATAATTTCTGAAAAATAAAAATGTAACTGTCATATTATTAATTACTGTTCTCACATATTATCACATCCCGTTCTCAGTGGCGTTTTCTACCGGATCCCTAAGGGAAGTCAGGCATCCAATCTCGTCCGACATCTTAAATAAAACATTTTATTTGACACACAGTGATATTTGTGTTTGGCCTCTCATTTTATGTGATTGATTATTGATGAAGCGTGATCAATGGACAGCATAGCTGAGTTTCGGCGCCCCCAAGTTCACGTGCAGTGCAATTGCCAGCGCCTTAATATTCTACTAGATATTTGCTTCTTATTTATTAAATACAGGCAATTGGTTGATAACACATTGATCAAAATTAAGATATTTATATTAAACGAAAATCTTTTAAAAAGAGTCTTTCTACAAAACAAAACACAAATGAAGTGAGTGGTTAAAATCATGTCTTCATGATGCATCTTTCTCATGCTGCATGCTCACTTTCATAATCAACATTAATTAAATAAAATAAAAAACATTAGTCTATAATATTTAAACAAATATGATACTAAATATATTTACTTTATTGGCAACAACACGTAACGTATACAGAGAAATTTCATGTTTTTTTTTGTCATAATGACGTCATATTTTTCAACCCAATCCTAAAGCATCAATAATATACTATTACATAAATATTTTTAATTACACTGAGCAAAATTATAAACACATCACTTTTGTTTTTGCCTATGTACACAAAAGGCCTATTTCTCTCAAATATTGTCCCAAATCTGTATAAATCTGTGTTAGTGAGCACTTCTCCTGTCGAGATCATCCTGTGACATTAGTGACGCCACTCCAGGGGTTAACCTTATGAAGGGGCGCAAATACTTGGTTTGTTGTGCAAAGAAAAAAAAATTGTAAATGCGTTTTTGTGCCATCAAAGCACTCGTGTTTATTACGTTTTTTTTAATGTTCATTCTGTTACACTTTATTTTCAGGTGTATACATTTTTCAAAATCATACATTTAAGTACTGAGTAATATTAATTAACATCATGTACTCACTATGTGGTTAGGAATAAGGTTAAATTTGGGATTAGTGGCGTATTATAGTAATATAGTAAATTGTCCATATTTGCAAATACATGTAACAAGGAAAATAAAGTGTTGCCTTTTATTTCAGTTAAACGTTTTGTTTAAGCTAATTGGTTTAAGTTAACTATGATAACCCTGGTCATTGAGCAATCGGTTCTTATGTCTAAAGGTATGAAGTTTATTTTGAACGGGGTTTGTTTGCCAACTCTGTAATGCAACAAAATATATCATTTTATTGAGTTTTTATTATTATTATTATAAAGTGTCCAACAATTATCCAATCCCAGACTGGGACCAAGATGGACAACACACACTTTTACAATTTGATTAATAAAAAAAAAATAGTTTTGATCGCCTAAACTTTTAAGTATCGCACACAATATCGTTCTGTTTATCATAAGCACTCGCTCATAATTATTGTTCATCAGTTTATCATTTATTGTTTCTCTGTGCAGTTATCGTTATAGTTGAGCTGTATTTATATCATCCTTGGTGTGAACGAATGTTATGTTGAAGCATTAACATGTCATGTGATCTTCGGTACTGTAAGCCCTCCATCTGTGTTTGTTCATTGAAAGCTCATTTTTTAAAATATATATATGATATGTTGTGTTTGCGTAGGACAGTGTGTCAGCCTCACAGCGGGGAATATGAGTGACAGGAGTCCGTCTGAGCTGATTATGGAGCCGATCCTGAGGGAGATTCCCACATCACAGCCGCCGGACGGGATGAGGCCGAGCACCACACCTTCATTTCAGAAGCAGGTGAACCGCAGTTTGATGACAGATTCCTGGATTATAAAAACGGAGAAAAGCGCCAGTTTCTCGATTTGAACTGAATCTTATTTTGAAGAATCATTTCTTAAACCTCAAGAATTGATCTTTTAGTCTGTGTTGTTTTAATAACAAAACTTTGAAACTAATTTATTTAATTTTCATGCAAAATTCTGATAAAAACGATTTCAAATTAATGTATGTGAAAATACAAGTAGTTTTAGTTGTTATTTCCCCGGCTTCGCCATCGCTCTGAAGTCTCGGTTGCACGTGGAGAGCATGAACTCAAACCAGCGTCTGAGATTTAATGAGTCAACAACTGATCATCAGTGCTAAATCAATATCTCCATCCACACATACGGTATTAGCGGCTGGTCAGATATATATATATATATATATATTAGGGCTGTGCAAAAATTAATTGCGATTAATCGCATCCAAAATAAAAGTCTGTGTTTACATAATATATTTGTGTGTGCTGTATATAATTATGTTGTATATATAAATACCTATGCATGCATGTATATATTTGTGCTTAAATTCTGTATATATTTATAAATACATAATCTATATTATATAAATATTTTATATATGAATAACACATTTTCTTAAATATATACATGCATGTGTGTGTATTAATATATACAAAATAATTATATACAGCACACACAAATATATTATGTAAACACAGACTTTTATTTTGGATGCGATTAATCGCAATTAACTTTTGCACAGCCCTAATATATATATATAAAATTATGCGTGTAAGTGAGCCAATTGTAAAAGTGGTTCAGTTCACTAGCTCTTTTAATTCTATCCCAGACACTCTCTGACTGGTTATAAGTCTGCATTCTTCTGAAACCATTGTTATCATCTTTATCCGGTCTTACTTGTATGTTTAAAACATGATCCTCACAATGGACCTTTTCCATGTTTTCAGTTCTGGAATGGATGATGATTGTAGAGACACAACAGGAGGGTCCATCCATCCGATGTCATCAGCGCCAGCAGACTGCCATGCCCTTCTCCATCAGGACTGCATGCAGACAGAAGAGAAGCAGAAGAGGCATTTGGTCTTTTGTAGGAATAATAATTTGAATTACAATGTTACATGTTTGATAAACAAAACATTTGTTATGTGGTGTTGTTCATACACTCACCTAATGGATTATTAGGCACACCTGTTCACTTTCTCATTAATGCAATTATCTAATCAACCAATCACATGGCAGATGCTTCAATGCATTTAGGGGTCAAGACAATCTCCTGAACTCCAAACTGAATGTCAGAATGGGAAAGAAAGGGTATTTAAGTAGTTTTGAGCGTGGCATTGTTGTTGGTGTCTGAGTATTTCACAATCTGCTCAGTTACTGGGGTTTTCACACACAACCATTTCTAGGGTTTACAAAGAATGGAGTGAAAAGGGGAAAACATCCAGTATGGGTCAGTCCTGTGGGCCAAAATGCCTTGTTGATGCGAGAGGTCAGAGGAGAATGGGCCGACTGATTCAAGCTGATAGAAGAGCGACTTTGACTGAAATAACCACTCGTTACAACCGAGGTATGCAGTGAAGACACAACACACACAACCTTGAACAGCAGAAGACCCCACCGGGTACCACTCATCTCCACTACAGATAGGAAAAAGAGGCAACAATCTGCAAGAGCTCACCAAAACTGGACAGTTGAAGACTGGAGAAATGTTGCCCGGTCTGATGAGTCTCGATTTCAGATGGTAGAGTCAGAGTTTGGCGTAAACAGAATGAGAACATGGATCATCATGCCTTGTTCCCACTGTGCAGGCTGGTGGTGGTGGTGTAATGGTTTTCTTGGCACACTTTACCCCCTTAGTGCCAATTGGGCATCGTTTAAATGCCACGGCCTACCTGAGCATTGTTTCTGACCATGTCCATCCCTTTATGGCCACCATGTCCCCATCCTCTGATGGCTACTTCAGCAGGATAATGACCATGTCACAAAGCTGGAATCATTTCAAACTGGTTTCTTGAACATGTCAATGAGTTGACTGGACTAAAATGGCCGCCACAGTCACCAGATCTCAACCCAATAGAGCATCTTTGGGATGTGGTGGAACGGGAGCTTCATCCCTCAAATCTCCATCAACTGCAAGATGCTATCCTATCAATATGGGCCGACATCTCTAAAGAATGCTTTCAGCACCTTGTTGGATCAATGCCACGGAGAATTAAGGGAGTAGTTCACTTTAAAAAAAAACTTTTGCTGATAATTTACTCGCCCCCATGTCATCCAAGATGTCCATGTCTTTCTTTCCTCAGTTGAAAATAAATGAAGGTTTTTGATGAAAACATTCCAGGATTTTCTCCATATAATGGACTTCAATGGCGTCCAAATGCGAGTTTCAGTGCAGCTTCAAAGGACTTTAAACGATTCCAGACGATGAATAAGGGTCTTATCAAGCGAAACGATCGCTCATTTCAAAAATCGTTTCCCTTGATAAGACCCTTATTCATCATCTGGAATCGTTTAAAGCCCTTTGAAGCTGCACTGAAACTCGCATTTGGACGCCATTGAAGTCCTGGAAAATCCTGGATTGTTTTCATCAAAAACCTTAATTTCTTTTCAACTGAAAAAAGAAAGACATGGACATCTTGATGACATCGGAGTGAGTAAATCATCAGCAAAAGTGAACTACTCCTTTAGTTTAACTAACCTGCACCAATTCAAACTAAACAATCTTCTGTTGTCATGCATTAAACTGAATACATTTCAATCTTCAAATGTTCTAAATTTGTAAAAAAAAGAAGTTTGTAAAAGTCATGAATCGCTGATTTCTGTTCTTTATATTCTTCAATGACTGGAGTACGGTAGGATGAACTGAATGTCAAAGTAAGCTCCAGTGAATAAAGTGCATACAGAAACATGAAGATAGACAGATTAGATAGATCTTTATTGTCATTGCAATACAACAAATCTCTGTGAGAGCAGTCCTCTCCAGACAGCAGCGTAGAGTTAAACAGTTTTTTTAAAGTACAAAAATCAAAATATGAACCTATATATCCTAGTATACACACAGGCACACTCATACATACACAGAGTATGAAGGTACAAATATATATACTCGTATTATTACACACACACATTAGCTAACAACACCGCATGAGCTCCACTGTCCTATGTGGTATTTCTCACATTCCCAGTAAACGAAAAGAACACTTCCCACAGTCGTTTCCCTGATCTTCGTGATCACGGATCCACACTGCTGACATCTCTTGAACAGCTCCATGACACTGGGCTCGTTGATGACCCATTCTCTCTGATTCCAATACGTTTCATTGTCCTCCTCATCCTCCTCTCTTTCTTCATCTGTGTGTGTCGGACTCTGTGTCTGAAAACCCAGATCTTTGTTGTCCGACGGAGGATCTACGGAAAGCAGGCTAACGTTAAACTCCACGCTCTCTTCCTTCACTTCTGGTAGATCATACTCAGGCGGCTGTGAAATGGCATGGATTAAAGTTGGTTTATTACAATGTATCTGTGCATTTTTAATGATACAACACCATCAAATTATTAAATCGCACATTTTTAGAAATACTATCCAACTTTCACTTTGTAAACTGGTCACAAATGATGACACTTACAGACTGGAGGGAGTGTATTACAGGGCGGGCGAAATATATTCCAGATGATGATGATGATGATGATGATGATGGGGGTGTTTTCCTGTTTCCAACACTTTGAGGACTCGTGAGGATTAAACGAAGGTTAGGATAATCTGCAAACTCTCTCCTGGCCGTTCCTGGATCAGTGTCCTGTTGCTTTACTGGTGTCGACTGTGGAGCATTAGCCAAAAACATTTTAACACGTCTATGGTAATAGAAAGATATTATTGATAAACATTAACTTTAATCTAACAAAGTAAAAACCACACATACCCCTGTTTGCTGTAAGCACGTTTTGGGCACAGCAGACAGTTTGAGAAAGCGGCGATCTCCTATCTGAGAGGGTTTGAAGTCCTCGTCGGAGAAGTGGTCACTGCACACTCTCTTACTGGCGAGCGCGTGCTCAGGCGTGTTGATGTCCAAGTGCAGCGCGAGCAGCCACTGTTTCAGTCGCGCGGGGTTGTGTACGGGAAACCTGTGAAACGTTAAAACCTTCTGTCCTGGCGAATAAACCCTTTTACACTTTAGGATTTTAAAACACATCGGATAGGCACACGAGAGGGGCATTTTAAACGATAAACGGAAACAAAGACGCTTGGAAATGTGGTCGTTCTTCCTCACATTTGTAAACACTTAGTCGGAACTTCCGCCTACGTCAGCGCGAGCTTCTCAACGTAATTGCGTATTACGTGTATGGCAAGCCGTTTTAACTTTTATTCATTTCTAGAATATGGATTCTTGATATTAACATTTGAATTGTTGATATCAAAAAAATGTTATTGTTGATATCAACGATTAATTGCTGATATCTGTAATTGTATTTTCACCCTGCCATTCAAAATCAATTTTTGATAAAGAATTGTTTTTTACTAGTAGAAATACCATATTTGATATCAATAATTACATTGTTACTAGTAAAAATACAAATTCCTGATATCAATAATTTAATTCTCACTAGTTGAAATGTCTATTCTTGATATGAACAATTCAATTGCCACTGGTGACATTTTATATTTTTGATATCTGAACATGTATTTCTGATATCAATATTATTTCAGATATCTGAAATGGCTTTCTTACTAGTAACAATCACATTCATGATATCAGAAATTAACATTCACTAGTGAAAATTTAATTGTTGATATCAAAACTGAACATTGTTACTAGTAGCAATTCAATTGTGGATATCAAGAAAAGACATTTCAACTAGTGACAATTAAATTCTTGATATCAAAAATAAATGTTTTTACTAGTAAGAATTGAAGAGTTCAGATGCAAAAGCCTCTAAATGCCATTTGAAATTTTCTTATTTAATGATGATTTTTATCAAGCTTGTATATTTAAGTTCAGTAATTTCACTTAAATGGCAATGACAATTACCTATTAATTGTTATTTAAGTGAAATTACTGAACTTAAATATACAAGTTTGATAAAAATCATCATTAAAGAAGAAAATTTCAAATGGCATTTAGAGGCTTTTGCATCTGAACTCTTCAATTGTATTTATGAAATGTCAAATTGGTATTTCAACTAGTAAGAAATCAATTGCTGATAACAACAATTGGTTTTGAATGGAAGCCTATTTGTACATTAATTGTACATTTCACCAGTGAAAATACAATTACAGATATCAACAAGTTATAATTTTTACTTGTTCAAATTCAATTGTTGATATCAAGAATTATCATATTAACAAGTGAAAATGTAAATGTTGATATCAAGACTTAGCATTGTTACTAGTGGAAATGTTATTCCTGATATCAAAAATGTTCATTGTTACTAGGTGAAATCTAATTCCTGATATCAATTAGTATCATTTTAACACGTGAAAATGTAGTTGTTGATAAAGAATTCATATCCTGCGAATGATTAAAAGTCAAAACGGCTTGCCTATTGCCATTCCCAGGATATAGATTGTTAATATCAAGAATTATAGCTTTTACTAGTTGTAATTCAACTGTCAATATCAAGAATTATAGTTTTTATAAGTTAAAATTTAATTGTTGATATCAAGAATTATAGCTTTTTCTAGTTGAAATGTAATTTCTGATAACAATAACTATTATTTTGACTAGTGAAAATGTAATGGTTGATATCAAGAAAATGTATATCCTGGAAATGATTAAAAGTTAAAACGGCTTGCCATATTACGTGACGTGGTGTCGTTTAAAGCCCTTTGAAGCTGCACTGAAACCTTGAACCGTTTGGACCCCATTGAAGTCCATTATATGGAGAAAAATGCAGGAATGTTTTCTTAAAAAACCTTAATTTCTTTTCGACTGAAGAAAGAAAGACATGGACATCTTGGATGACACGGGGGTGAGTAAATAATCAGCAAAAGCTTTTTTTAAAGTGAACTACTCCTTAGTTTAAATGCTTATATATATCTATATGTATAGAGCATCAGAACCATCTTGATTACAGGGACTTCAAATAAATGTTATCACCTTAACATTTGATCGTCCTATACTGAAGTGATGTACATTGTGTTTTACACTTTGTTGTGATGATGATGATGATGATGTCACCTGTTGAGCATGAGAGTTCTGTCTAATGTGAGTTAAATGAATCAGTTGGGCTGATTGGATCATCATCAAGGTGTGTGTGAGACTGTTGTGCTGATGAGATCATGTCCTTCATTTACATGCCGAGGGGGAAGACCAGTGCAATACAGCTGCCACTGCTATGCTGTAATAAACTTCATTTTCATATGTATATATTTCTTTTTCTGAGTAGAAAGATGATTTTGTCACTATAGTTTCCAGCATTACATGACCCTTTTGAGTTAGTTTGGGTATATTTTAGGGTGATCATATTTTGATTAGCAAAAGCCAGGACACTCGGCCCAGCGAACAGAATTTATTCATTTAAAGTAGGCATTTTCATGCCTTTATAAAAACAGCCAGGACGGCAGGGACAGGACGTCAAAACAGGACTGTTGGTCAGGTCACCCTAATATATTTACATGAATCTGAATATTGATTAATGGACACTGTCCCTTTCTAAAGAAATACAAAACAGGCAAATTTCCTCAAGTAATATCAATAGACCATAACAATCAGTCACATTACAGTGATGAATTTAAAATTGTGATAAAATAAAACTACTTAAAATGCATTTTTGCATCAACGTTGAACATCCCTGAGTAAAAGCTGTTTGTGTGTTCTGGATCTGACGGTCAGGACAGCGTTCACCTCTACAGGTGCTTTTCCAGCTTCATCTCAGGGTTAAGACTGTGTGTGTGTGTTCAGGTCTCGCTCTACCCCTGCATCACGCTCTCCTTAACCCTCTGGGGTTGTTCGGCCCAAATGGACCCGAAGAATTTAAATAAAAAATATTTAAAAATCACAGCTTCCTCGGAATGATCCGAAATTTGGTGATTTTATTGGTATTTGGTATTTGAACACCCAAAAAAAATTGGGGACAGGATGTGAATAGTCTAAGTGGTTGTAAAAAAAAAAAAAGTCACACACAATAGGTGTTCGGGTCCAAATGGACCTGCATGGAAAATGAATGGGAAATTGGCAAAAATGTGAAAATACTGAGTTTTTTTGTGCGTACAATCTACAAATCAGCCACGATCTTGAAAAAAAGCACACAACAGTGAAGGGGTGAATCTATAAAACATCAAGAGTGCAAAACAGACACACACACACACACACACACAAACACACTTTTATACACAAACACACCAAAAATTCAGATTATACATGTGTTTTGCATTTTTAAAATGCTCAGTTTGTCCACCAGATGGCATCCATCTCATTTCAAAAATTGCTTTTATGAGGCCTAGGCTTGACTCTAAAATGAAATACAGCTTTAAAAAAAAGAAAAAAAGAAATAAATAAATAAAATTTCAACATTTTTTCTATTATGTTCAAATTAGAGGGAAATTATGGGAAATCCCCATTATGTTCTATTATGGGGAAATTTTGTCATAATTATTGCATTAATACTAATTTTAATTTTTTTTATTTTTGAAATTTTCTCAAAACACCAAAAAAGAAAAGAAAAAATATATCATGATTTTATTTATTTTTTTAAATATGAATCCATTTGGACCCGAAGACCCCGAGTGTGACTCTAAAACGAGTCACAGGTTAAAAAATGCAGAATGTTTTCAGCAAGTTATGTTTAGGAGATGGAAAATATCTTCAGCTCAGCATAAAAACCATTACGCCTATGCGTATAATGAGAAGTTAAACATGTGACCCTATTAACAGATCAATGACCATCACATGACAATATAGTATTATAACAATTTCCTTACCTCATTAATACCATTTCATGTGCTTTGATAGTTAATGATGCATAAGGTAAATAACGAGAACATTAGATATGATTGATAAGAGATACCACTGGGAATCGTCACCCGTCAAGAGGAAGGAAGAGGCATGAATATATATATCCGACTGTATTTAATGTTTTACTCTAAACCGGTTTAATTATTCTGATGTTTTTAATTCCCTCTGTGTTGTAAAGCACTTTGAATTACCATTATGTATGAAATGTGCTGTATAAATAAACTTGCCTTGCCTTGATGATGGATCTGTTCAAGCTCTCCACGCCGCAGATCTTCCTCTGGTGTTTCTGGAGGACCGGAATAACCCATTATCAACTATTAGTTTCATAAAATATTGCAATAAAATATTCAACTAAAAAAACATTCAGACCTGCTTCTGTTCCGAGATCATCGACCACATGAGACACATCAGTCCCCCTGTGGTGTAAATCCAGCTTTTAATGTTGTTTGTGTGTATGTGGTGTGTTTAATCCGCTTTAACACACACCATGTGTAAGTTGATAAGTGGACAGCATTGCTGAGTATTTCCTCCTTAAAACTGCAGTGAACCAAAGACAGTCTCAAAAACACGCTTTCTGACGTCACAAACCACCTTGTAACCAATCAGATCAACGTGTGATCGATCTCTGAGTGAGTGAGTGGAGGCGGGGCTCATTTGCATAGGCAAGAGTTACATTCAACATATTTTAAAGGTATGAATACTTTTTTTTTTCCAAGGAAAAAATATTTAAATATGTCACTTTGGTGATCAAAGATGAGTTTTATAGGATAAAATTATTGACTTCAGGGATTTCAGTGCATCAATAAAATTCAAGAAATTAGTCTAATATTAATACAAATTATTTTAAAGTCTATTTCATATTTCTTTTCTCTCTTCTCGTACGAATCTCTGTTTGCGATTGGATAATGAAAAGAACGAGAATGTACTGGAGAAACCAGCTCTGATGAGGACAGTGATGATGGGAAAAGCATGTGCTCAAATAGAACCCTTTAGACCTCCAAAAGCTATCCAAATATGCTTTATTTTATTATTTTGTCATTGCTATTATAGTGGCAGTATGAGATCCATCCGTGAGAAATACTGGTGAAACTCGAAAAATGAGAATATCGAGCAAAAATGTGAAATATAGACTCATTACATGCAAAGTGAGACATTTCAAGCCTTTATTTGTAATAATTGTGATGATTGTGGATTACAGATATGAAAACCTTTTCACAATATTCTAATTTTGACTTTGGGGTTTTCATATCTGTAATCCATAATCATCACAATTATAACAAATAAAGGCTTGAAATATCTCACTTTGCATGTAATGAGTCTATATAATATATTAGTTTTACCTTTTAAGTTGAATTACTGAAATAAATGAACTTTTGCACGAGTTTCACATGTAGACCCGAGTCGGATATGTAATAATGCGAGGCGAAACATTCATGCATGTAAAGGTTAAATCACACCGGCGAATGAACAGCACACAACAAACTCACAAAACACAAACTCTGAGTGACTTTTTATTTGCTTTTACTGACTTTCCCAGCATGACTACCTCTACACAGACAATAGAAAACAACACTTTAACTCGGTCGTTCAAGAGCCGGGGACCAATTCAAACCTGAATGCTTTGAGTATTTTTCAAGTGTTTGGAGTCGCACGTTTGTTTTCAGTTCTGTGTACAAGTCTCATAGCCGAGAGAAACATGCATCCGACATCATAATGCACATTATAAAGTTCAGTACGGACCACATATCAAATGAGTGTTATTGTATATAAAGTTATCAAACTTATAGATCCTTATAGATCAATACTGGAACACAATAATAAGAGTTTCCAATAATAAGCTTCCACAGCTAATATCACAATGCCATCACTTCCAGCAAACAGAAAACCTTATTAACCGCATGACTCTAATGTCCTTGTAATTGCACTTCATTTAGTAGTTCTTTATTAACTTTACGCCTCAACAAACACGATGTGACTTTCATGGCACCGTTTGCTTGTTGATGCAGCGTGTTTTCTGTTTCCTGAAATTGTAATGCTCATATAACCATGTCAAAAATGTGTAATAAAAAACAAAGAGACAAAAAAATAACAATAATAAACAATTGGACAGAAAGAGACACCAGCTTTCTCACCATTGTTAACAATACTATCAATATCACATGACCTCCTACCTCACCGTACAAACTAGCTAGAATAACACCAGTCTCATATCGAGGCGAAAGAACATCAACCATCTGACGAAAAATAACGTTTTCTAAAACCCCTGAATTTGCGATTGAGATCACTGACCTGACGAATTCAGCACAATCGGTTCATTTCTCTAATGTTCATATCTCCACACACCCTAGAAAACAGAATGAATGTCTTCTTGTCTTATTGCTGCTGAGTTTAAAACAAGCCATCCGCTGTTCTTCCTTGAGGAGTGAGAAAATAAAACACAAACTAAACGCTAAGCTAGGACTCTCTCGTGAAAAACAACAAAAAAAAGGCACTAATGGTCAGAATGAGGATCATAAACGGGGACCGAACTGAGGGTTAGGTAGAGATCTCACGGGTTCTGATCAGACGCTGTACCCACACTTGGCACAATAGAGTTCAGAGAGAATTACAGCATTCCAATTTGGAATTAATTTAATGCTCTTGCACAGAATGCAGAAGGTCAGTGATCCGTGTAAAGCTTGAGCGAAGGTGCTTGAAATCAATAAAAGAAGATCAGTAACACTTAACAATAAGATACGTCAACGTCATCAACAAAGTTTTACACACTTAATTCATCCAGGTTTAGGAATGCACCGATATCAACATATTGGCCTACACCGATAATTCTTTATATTTGAAAGCCGATATGTTGGCCGATAACCAATAATCTTTTATATTTGAAAGCCGATAACCGATATATTGACCGATAATTCTTTATATTTGAAAGGCGATAACCGATATATTGGCTGATAACCGATAATTCTTTATATTTGAAAGGCAATAACCGATATATTGGCTGATAACCGATAATTCTTTATATTTGAAAGCCAATAACCGATATATTGGCTGATAACCGATAATTCTTTATATTTGAAAGCCGATAACTGATATATTGGCTGATAACCGATAATTCTTTATATTTGAAAGCCGTTATGTTGGCCGATAACCAATAATTTTTTATATTTGAAAGCCGATAACCGATATATTGGCTGATAACCGATAATTCTTTATATTTGAAAGCCGATAACTGATATATTGACCGATAACCGATAATTCTTTATATTTGAAAGCTGATAACTGATATATTGTCCGATAACCGATAATTCTTTATATTTGAAAGCCGATATGTTGTCCGATAACCAATAATTTTTTTATATTTGAAAGCCGTTAACCGATATATTGACCGATAACTGATAATTCTTTATATTTGAAAGCCGATAACTGATATATTGTCCGATAACCAATAATTCTTTATATTTGAAAGCCGATAACTGATATATTGGCCGATAACCAATAATTCTTTATATTTGAAAGCCGATAACCGATGTATATACCGATAACCGATAATTCTTTATATTTGAAAGCCGATAACTGATATATTGGCCGATAACCAATAATTCTTTATATTTGAAAGCCGATAACCGATATATTGGCCGATAACCAATAATTCTTTATATTTGAAAGCCGATAACTGATATATTGGCCGATAACCAATAATTCTTTATATTTGAAAGCCGATAACTGATATATTGGCCGATTGCTGATGATTCTTTATATTTGAAAGCCGATAACCGATATATTGGCCGATAACCAATAATTCTTTATATTTGAAAGCCGATAACTGATATATTGGCCGATAACCAATAATTCTTTATATTTGAAAGCCGATAACTGATATATTGGCCGATTGCTGATGATTCTTTATATTTGAAAGCCGATAACCGATACCGATAACCGATAATTCTTTATATTTGAAAGCCAATAACTGATATATTGGCCGATAACCAATAATTCTTTATATTTGAAAGCCGATAACCGATATATTGGCCGATAACCAATATTTTTTTATATTTGAAAGCCGATAACCGATATATTGGCCAATAACCGAAAATTCTGTATATTTGAAAGCCAATAACGGATATATTGGCCAATAACCAAAAATTCTTTATATTTGAAAGTCGATAACAGATATATTGGCAGATAAATCTAAATCCAAATTTGTGTATACTTTTTGAGAGCCTAATTACAATAACAAAAGCCTCACCATTAAATCCATGTCTCAAACACAAAATCATAATGTTCTCGTTATAATATAATGTAGACGTACTGTATTTTCCTTTTCTGAAGGGATTCCAATCATATTTTAAGCAATTTAAAACCATGTTGAACAGTGCGCATCTGAAGCGTCTCGGCTGAAGGAAATAATCCATTATTTACCGGCTTTAATATATCGGACAAATATTCTTATCGGGCCGATGACCATAACACTAAAAATAAACCGATATCAGCCGATACCGATATATAGTGCATCCCTATCCAGGTTAATATTTGGATATACTGTTGTTCACATGTTTGTTCATAATACAAGAACCTAATGTTAACTTAAAAATGTATGCATACATAAAGAAATTAACCTAGATTAATAAATGCTGTGTTGTTAATTAATAATCATTTGAAGCTTTTGTGAGGCGTTACACAAAAGTCCATTCAGTTTATTTGCTGGTTTTACTTCCGATCAGATTAAGCCACAATGTAATGCTTTTACTTGTTCACTTTAAACCATTCCTATAAAGAGAAAATAATAATATGTAATAATAATAATAAATAGATCTAATCCCAGCACCTGACCGCCTGTGCTTGTGTTTAAAACATGGCAGTGAAAGGAATGTGAGAAGCGCAACGTGTCAGTAAACCACAGGAATAATCTGACAGACTCGTTTCATAAAGACTGAGAGAGTTAGAAAGTAATCCGATACTAGCGTAACCGACTCGCGGACCAGAACACCTCAAAACTATATCATAAAAAACATTTTAAGCTTATATTAAAAGAGCAGAGGTTACAAAATCTCAAAACACAGATGAATGTTTTGAGGAAAAGAATCAGCTCGTTTTCTTTTCTTTTGAATAAAGTTTTCAGGGCTTTTTTGTGAGCTCTGGCTTCCGTGTGTGTGTGTGTGTGTGTGTGAACACAACCCTGAATTTACTCGTTTGCAGAGTCTACAATTAAGTAAGACTACGAATAAAAAACATGCCATCCAGTGTTTCTCCAGTGGCAGTGGAGGAATGTGTCGTTCCCAGGATGAACGTTACTGTAAAATCAAACACAGAGAAGTAGAGCAGTTAGCATGACGGTAAACGCGCGCACGTCTGTTAGTCACCGAGACCGAAGTTAGTGTGGAAGATCAGCAGAAAGCCAGAGTTTCTCACAAGCACTGAAAACCTCCACCTCACCAACCCAAGCCCAGCATGCAGTTCATGCTAACGCCGCGCAAAAATAAACATAAAAAGCTAACTCCTCTTGGCGAGCCGAAAACCGATCAAATCATTTAAATGGTGATTTCGTCCTGTGCATCACTGTGAAGCCGCTTTCAAACAACCTGCATTGTATAGAAAAATAAATGTGACGTGATAAAAACTGATTCAATGATAAATAATATAATAATAAACGACTTTTTTGTTAAGACATGCCAGACAAATGAGACGTTTTTTGTTCGAATAACAATAATCTAGCGAGGCACGTTGAGGACGTATGAGTTTTACGTTTTATTTAACACTGAAGATCCTGAAACGTGCGCTGGCCCTTTAAATACAGCGACTCAAAGAAGCCATTCGCAATACATTAACCTACCGCGGCTTCCAACTTTAGTTTCGGTTTTTACCGCTTCATCTCTCGCGCATCGCAAACACAAGAGCGAATGCTTTTTATAGGGAGATGAGTTTCATTTCATTCATAATCTACCGACAGATTCCCAACGCAAAGGAGAATATGATCACATGATCACATTATCAAAACCATATCCGTCACTGCTTCAGGATACACTGAAATATAGTTTGCCAATAAAAGAGTCGCGTCAGAAACGACAGATAAGGCCTCGCTAATGTTCATCTGCAATGTTAAACACAAACAGCCGTGCATTATGACATCACTACGAGCATGTGACAAGCCCTTCTCCGCGACTTCAAAGCCGCGTGTCAAGTAAACGTAATCAAGTCTACGACATGTTAAAGCTTTCAGAAATGGATCTGCAGCCACTGACATCTACGAAAAAAGCAAGCCAGAAACCCATCGGCTGATTTATTTATACGTACGCTTGTCGTTCCCGCCTGCCTCACGAGTGACATCGCTAAACGCGCTCACTCTCCAACCCGTCGTGTTGATGCTAACGTTAGCTTAAAATGGCACAATTCAATGGGTTTTCCTGCACGTCAACAAGACAGGAGGTTTGCATATCATTTGCTAGGCATGTAAACACGAGTTACCTGATTGGACGGGCTGCTGATTTCAGAGGCAGGAGAGAGATGGACAGAAGAAAAAGGGAAAATACTAGCTATTGACTCGTGACGTTATCACGATTCAACGCGGCTAGCTCTCCCTAGCACGTGTAATCTAGAAACGCGCTGTGCAATTCGGTTTGAAACACACTTAGACTAAACGTTACATCATTCTGCCCCTAAGCTAGCTCTACAACATGCACCTGGCTACGAGGACGCTAGCAGCGCTAAACACACGGACACATCGTATGGGTTAGCGCAGAGCAAGCAAGAGCGCGCGGGTTGAGCTTTATACATGAGCCGCGGCCTCAGTCGCAGTAGATCTTGTACTTCTCGCTGCAGAACACGAGTGGCGCTCCCACCTCGGCGCGAGCCCCGGCGGGGAGACTTACGTCGGACGGGGTGGGTTTAGCGCGCGAGCAGCCGGGTTTAGCGCGTCCGCGGCGGATCTGCTCGTGGTCGACCTCCAGGTCCTCCAGCCGCTGTGTTAGCGCTAGCTTCTGCTGGATAGCCATACGCAGGAGAGAGTTCAGCGTCTTCTTCTCGTCCTCCGCCGCCGCTAGCTGTCTCTGCATCTCATCCAACTGAGTCACGTACTCGTCACAGCTGAGACACAAACACACACAACACACACAACATCAAATCACGGCACTAAAAATAATATGTGCCAACGTTTCATTTAAAGAGGACCTATGCTGTGTTTAGTGTGTGATCATGAGGAAGCTCCGTTTCTTCTCTATATGAGTGTCTGTGTTTATGAACTACACGTCACAATAATTCTCATTTACATAATTAATGCACAGAATAAAGGGGCGGGGCCTGGTTGAGTTAGTTAGTAGTGTGTTAAACTGGCAGCTATGGAAAGGGGCGGAACTTTCCCAAACACACTCAAAGCGCTCGGCCAATCACAACACACTGCTACAGCCGGCCAATCAGAGCGCAGTGTGCTTTTCAGGAGGAGGGCCTTCTGCTTTCAGCTCATGCTGTATTAAAGGAGTAGTTCACTTTTAAAAAAACTTTTGCTGATAATTTACTCGCCCCCATGTCATCCAAGATGTCCGTGTCTTTCTTTCTTCAATCGGAAAGAAATGAAGGTTTTTGATGAAAACATTCCAGGATTTTCTCCATATAATGGACTTCAATGGGGTCCAAATGGTTCAAGGTCCAAAAGAAACTTTCAGTACAAACTGCAAACTTGTTCAAAGGGCTTTAAACGACTCCAGACGATGAATAAGGGTCTTATCAAGCGAAACGATCGCTCATTTAATAAATAAATAAATAACAAAGTTTAAGTTTTATAAGCTCAAATGTTCACCTTGCTCTGTTCTGTGATGCGCGTACGTGACTCTCCTGTTCGAACTCGTTCATCAAAATGAACAAATCTTTTTCCTAATAAATTCGTTCGTTTCTTTCGTCGAATGAACCAAATAACTCGGAAAAAGATTTGTTCATTTTGATGAACGAGTTCGAACAGGAGAGCGTCACAGAACAGAGCAAGGCGAGCGTTTGAGCTTATAAAACTTAAACTTTATTATTTATTTATTTATTAAATGAGCGATCGTTTCGCTTGATAAGACATCGTCTGGAATCGTTTAAAGCCCTTTGAACAAGTTTGCAGTTTATACTTAAAGTTTCTCTTGGACCTTGAACCGTTTGGACCCCATTGAAGTCCATTATATGGAGAAAAATCCTGGAATGTTTTCATCAAAAACCTTCATTTCTTTTCGACTGAACAAAGAAAGACATGGACATCTTGGATGACATGGGGGTGAGTAAATTATCAGCAAGAGTTTTTTCAAACGTGAACTACTCCTTTAAATGCAATTATCTATTTTAATGTGTCTCAACAGAAAATACAACACCAGGAAAATTTTGTTTAAAGATCGATTTCTCTTTCTTCATCCATAAAAAAAGAAGTGATTTCAACAGCAGTCAATCTTAATGATGAGCGTGAGATTAAAGAACCACTCCTTCATTAAACTGCAGGTTTAACCACACCTGAAAACATGTCTACACACGCCGAATCATCACTGAGAACACCATGTGCAGACACCAGAACACACATAATGGAGGATTTCCCATGGGTGTGTGTCCACCAACCCTCTCAGAAGAGCAGACGTGAGAACCCGAGGTCAGATCTGATGCTTTCTCAACACTTTTGGTCCCTTTTTCAAACCTCTTCACAGCGTGAACACAACAGCAGCTGAACTGTGGCGCATCTATCATGGCTTTTCAAACGGCATTAATTCATTTCTCACTCATATGGTGTCTATCTATTTACCAACAGACCATTTTGCACACGTTTAACTTTTCAAAACTGTTCAACTTAGTCATCGTGAAATAGACAATCCTTATTTACTTATTTTCATTATTCATAAATGATTCATGTTGGATCAGAATCAGTTCTGATGATGTGGGCGGGGCTTTAACCTGTCACTCACATGAGATCAGCGAATAGCAAACCACAACCATCCAATCAACTCCACACAGACACAATCAAGCCCCGCCCACATGTGTTCTTGGTTGAGAAGTGTTTCACTCACCACACAATAGAGAAGAAGACTAGTGCCACTTCCAATTCACGCAACAAAACTGAAGACGCATTTCTACAGTAATACCAGACTGAAATATATAAAAAATATATATTCAAATATATAAAAATATCCTAAAAAATAAAAATATCAAAAATACTCCTAAAACAACAATTCAATGAACATGTCTCATTCGCATCCAAATAATGTCGTGCTGTGATGTAAACATGGATCATGTGACAGTGAATTATAAACATGTCATTCTTGTTTTATCATAATTCTATAATCCCGCCTATTGTTGGTGGTTTTCTGAGGGATAAAATGTCCAAGATAAAACCTTTGCTAGTGTAATGGGAAAAAAATGAGTATATTATAATTTTAGCTAATATCCATAAGGTATATACGGCAGTTTTAGTGTGTTTTGGATGTAAAATGTTCTAATTTTGAGGCTGACGGTTGAGTTTTGAAATAGTAACATATGCATTGAAAAAAACAAGAAGTCTAGACAAAATTAACACACCCACACCCACCCACCCACGCGCGTGTGTGTGTGTGTGTGTCTGAGATTAACAGAGGGTGAGATTGAGGGTTCAGGCACATAAAGACACGACGCCTCACAATAGAAATCAGTGCAGCTTCATTAGCGATCGGCCCCTGGGAACCATCGCTCTAAACGCAGGGGTCAGGATTTTCCCGGGAAAAGAGGCCAGAGGTCACGTGTGAACCATCTGCGTCTGCACGGGAGGCGTGCGGGTGTCGTTGAGAAATATGTCTTGACACCAATTCACTGCTTTACAGCAACACAAGAATGAAGACCACAAATAAAACAACATCTCAAATACGTGCTACGGGTCATTAGGTCATGTGTTCACTAACATGAGCAGTACGTGTGTTACAGTATTCATCTTTGTTAATGTTAGTTGATTGATGAAAAATACAGCTTAACTTAACTGCATTAACTAATCTAACAAATACAACCTTGGATGTTAATAACGTATTAGTAAATGTTGAGATTAATATTAACTATGATTTATAAACGCTATTGTGCTCAGCTCTAGAGATGTTGGAGACTGTGGGAACGAGAGCATCTTATTAGCATGTTAATAGCCACCGATGGGGCGACACAAAAGCCGAGCGCCGTGGAGGTTTCAGAGGCTGATGGGAAATCTTCACACTGAATGCTGTAAGACGAGGGTTTGGTTCATTAACAGCATGTATGAACGGGAAAAGAAGGAAGAATGAGAAGTGGATATATATATATATATATTCGTTAGAGGGTTCGGTAATTAATGGGAATATAAAACATTTACAAGCTATTTGAAATGATAAAAATATATGTACAGTCAAACCAAAACTTATTCAGACACCTGATGTTGTTTCACTAGTGTGTGCAGGACACCATAGTTCACTAATGTAAGTGAGGAGAGCAAACTAAAGTAAACTGTGACATGATATACAGTGATAATGATTGAGCCTGAGTGTGTTCAGGGGACAGTGAGGACATGTTTGCTGTGTGTGACGACCTATCAGCCTAAAAACCGCATGACATCGCTTAGAGCAGTGTTTCCCAACCCTGTTCCTGGCGGCACACCAACACTGCACGTATTCTTTGTCTCCCTTATCAAACACACCTGATTCAACTCATCAGCTCATAATCAGATGGGTTAATGAGCTGATGTGTTTGATTAGGGAGACAAAGGAACAGGGTTGGGAAACACTGGCTTAGAGCACCTTTAAAGCTACACTGTGTGATTTTTACCCCCATCTAGTGGTGAAAAGGTATATGATCATACAGGAATATTAGTTTCCGTTCCTCTCAATTCCAATTTCCAAGTTAACTCCTACGGTGGCCAATGTAGTCCAAGATTAACATGGCTTCCAGTTCGACCTCGTCCATGAGTGTTAACTCAAACGTAAAGCTTGAATTAACGGGTATGTCCCTCTTTGGCTAATGTACTTTCAAGATGGAGGGGCAACATGGCGACCGACATTAGAACCTCTTACCCGTATGCGTTTCCAATGGCATATTATAGCCTACACTCACGAGAATACTTTATTACTTGAACGAAGTAAATATACATTAATGAGCACTCATATTTTTGAAAGAACTAAGTGTTTTTAGCTAAGAATAAACTAAAAGAGTTGCACAGTGTAACTAGTCATTTGAAAACTTTCAGTGAGATGTCATTTCACAAACTGTGTGAGTGAATCACTCCTTTTTGGTATTTATGGTTTATCACAATGGAAGTGATGGCTTTAATCGATGGTCTATGATCTACAAACGTTCTGTGTGTTCTTACACTCTTTGAGAGATGATCAAAATGAAAAAAGATATCAGTTACACTCTCATAATATTTCAATTTTGACCTATAAAAAGGGCTTTTTTTATACTGTTGTTAATCAATCTATTTCTGCATCCAAACTCAAACTCAGCGCATCACTGATGAACATGTATTTCACTGGGACAAAATAGGCAATATTATAGGTAACTGCTATTATTCATAAAATACAATAAAAACATCACGATAGTTTCTGTGATTATATGTTTTTATAAAACCAAAAACCAGATCCTGGTGTGGATCATAGCTGATAATACTGTATGAGGACAGAGGAGATGAAGGAGAGTGTCATAAAACCTAATGTGTGTATGTATAAATGTGTTGTGTGTGTGTGTCATACCGTGTGGCAAACATGGCCCTGAGCGAGGAGAAAGTGGCCGCGTCCTCTTTAAGGGCTTTGAGCTCGTTGCGAAGCTTCATCATGGTTTCCGTCACCATGGCCTTTTCATTCTCATATTTGCTCTTCAGGTTGGCCAGCGCAACCTCAGCGGTCTGAAAAACACACACGTGTGTGTCAATGCTATTAATAAACATGACATTGAAGATTAGCATCGTTCAGTTTGTTGAAAGTCTGTGATTTGACTCCGGTGGCCTGAAGTCTGAAAGCCTCTTTAAAGAGTCAAACACAACATTACAGGTCCTGGTGGACAGCCGTTCACTTGAAGCTAACACAAACACGGACAGTGCTTTAAAGGAGTAAGTACTGCTTTAAGTTTTCGAATGACACCTAATTTAAGATTATTATTTAAATATATGAGGCAATAAAGCATGCCAAGTGTCCCGCTTGACGACAAACGGGCTACGACCCACTGATGCGATGCCGAGGGGGAAACACTGACCTGTTTGTTGGCCTTCAGGACGGTTCTCAGAGTGGCAATCTGCTCTCTCTTAGTGCTGAGGAGAGATTTGAGCTTGAGGATCTCCTCCACGCTGGCCTCCTGCTCGCGGTCGGCCCCGAGACCCAGTTCCAGAGAAGCCATGCGCTGGCGGGAGAGCTCAGTGGTGCGGTCCACGGCGAGCTGGAGGTGCCGGATCTGGTCCCGGATGATGGCCACCAGGTTATAGATGTTCATGGGCTCCTTACGGGGATCGGCCACAGGAGATGACGGTCCGTCGCTGGATTCGGCGCTGGGAAAGAGTCCGCGGGTCAGCAGGATTGGAGATCGGCGTCCACGACCATCAGGACTGCACCAACCTGTAGTCTGTGCGCCATTTATCCCGGCTTTACCTGAGTGAGAGAGAGAGATAGTTTTATTTAAAAGCCATGTCAGCATCTAAAGCTATTTTAATGGCAAAAATTATATTACAAAAATACAAATATCATATAAATACAATAAAACCGAGCAAGCAAACACAAGTCAAAAACAAAAAAAATATCCAAAACCTTTTCAGGCATAATCTTACTAAAGCCTTTACCTGAAATAACTTCATGAAAGAGCATTCTGCCTGTATTAAACACAGGACAGGCCAAGAGAGGAGTCTTAGAAACTCCACCAAACCTGTGTGACCTATAGACCTTATGCGCAGAGAAACCATCTTTGCAATACCGTCTTTTTTGCGGCCGATCTATATATCTCTACGGCATCGCTGTCCAGAAGTAACTAGCTTTTCAAGAGGGTTTTGAAGGCGAGACACGGCAGGCAAAAACATCGTTTTGTTTTTTTTCCCTGGTCAATTTTGAGATGTTTGTCTTCAATAACATGTCTTCTTTCAGACTTGTGGTGAAAAAAAGTCCGAAATAACACATTTAGGTCTTTATTTTACTGCACTTTGTCTGTTTGCGTCTGTAGATTTCTCATAAGTTCTTCAAAAGTTGTCGTTATAAATCGTCCTGCTGCTCAGCGATCTGCACCCTGTCATCACACACACACCGTTAGAAAGCTCATTCTCCTGTGCAACACTGTCGGAGCCAAATATGGTCATTTCCTTTTTATCAGCAACCAAGCGTGAAAGTAAAAGGGGGGGTTTAACTGTAAATGCGCGATCTCATTGGCTGATGCTAAATCTTCAAAGCCAGTTCTCTCAAAATGACTTTTCTCTCATTCTCCAAGTCCGAAATCTCCACTTCAGTAGCGCCTATACACACCAAACTTTCCAGTCTTGTACCTAGTTATATTATGAAGACATTTACACAGGGACTTGTCAATATATTATTCCTATCCTGATTTATCTAACATTTTATTACAAAAAACATGGCGAAAATCATTTTTTAAGGCAATTATATGCAGTATATTCTGATTTATAGGATAGTAGATATCCATAAATCCCTCTGTAATGTTTTTCTCATCTAATATGAACACAATGAAAACAGAACTTTGAACCTGGCTTTATCCAATACTCAGATTTCGTTTTTTTTTTAATATATGGAAATTAGTGCATATTTAATTAGATAATGCCTCATTTGCATATATAAACATTAAATGACAGAAAACTTGTAATATATGTTTTTCTCATCTTAATGTAGGTAATGTTTTCATGGTGATATCTGCTAGTTAAAAAGATTACCCTATTCAACTGTAGTGTCTCGCCTTAATCTAAAGCTAACCAAAGTTATCATGAGGATTGTAATGTTTAAAGCAGATGTCTTAACAAATGCGTCCATTCATAAATAGGCAAGATGAAAATACAGAACGCATAACGCTGAAAAGGGGCGGAGCTACAAATGCTCTGGTGAACACCACTGGATCACATCTAGCTTTAACAGTGATTACAAGTCTGTAATTTGACATAGCTTATTATCCTTGCACGTGTTCCACTTATCAAATACACGATTAACACCAAGTCTGAAGGCGCACCTTCGCGGTAGAAGTCGAGCATGATGCGGTTGGGCGTCTCGTTGTTGCACATGCAGACGTGATGGTACAGGTTGGCCAGCTCCTCGCTGAAGGTGGCGAGCTCGTCCTGGGCGATGTTGAGGCTGCCCTGCGATTCGCCCGCCACTTCACTGGCCTGCCGGAGCTCCTTCTCCACGCGCTCCAGATGCTCGCGGTCGAGTCGGCTCGAGCGCTCCAGAGACGACACCTGCGCGCTCAGAGACGAGACCCTGCTCTCCAGCTGCGCCTGCTCCTCCTCGTACTGTGATTGACAGGCCGAGTGCTCCGCCTTTAACGCTTTCAGCTCCTCCTTCAGTTGACTTGCCTCGGACACTGCGACCTGTGGTTTCAAACAAATCACATTAAGTTTGTCCTCTTATAGACTCCTTTGTGAGCATTTCAGTGTGACTTTAAGCGCGAGGCGACTCCTAACACAAAAAAGTGTTAGAAAACATTAAGAAAAAGTGTTTTAAAACATTTAACCGCGAGCCGACTCATGTGCGCGCATGTGTATTGGGCTCTTAAAGTGACAGCACCATTATTCCTGCTGCCCTCTCTATAATAACACTAACAACCAAAGACAAAAAGAAAATTCACACGTTCTTGACTGAATAACTTTTGTAATTGAATTTGATTATTCTCAGGTTTATGTTACTCTATTGTATTTAAATAAATGTAAGTTATGTGTTGGTCTCCAGTTCAGAGAATATGTCCTGTAATAAGGTCTGGAAGGTTGCACTTCAGTTAATGTGTAGAAGATAATGTTCACAGAATTAAATGTGACATTAGAAGTGAGTCTTATTTTCCTATTTTTTGTAATGCCTTTGAATAATATGGGGGACGTGAATCGCAATACAATCGCAGTATCGAATCGCAATACTTGCTGTATCGCAATATGTTAAGAATCACAATACTATGGAAACATGGCCCAAATATCACAATACTATGGAATCGTGGCCCAAAAAACACAATACTATGGAATAGATACCCAAATATCACAAAACTATCGAATCATGGCCCAAATATCACCATACTATGGAATAGTGGCCCAAATATCACAACACTATGGAATCGTGGCCCAAAAAACACAATACCATGGTCCAAATATCACAATACTATGGAATCTTGGCCCAAATATCACAATACTATGGAATCTTGGCCCAAATATCACAATACTATTGAATAGTGGCCCAAATATCACAACACTATGGAATCGTGGCGCAAAAAACACAATACCATGGTCCAAATATCACAATACTATTGAATCGTGGCCCAAATATCACAATACTATGGAATCGTGGCCCAAATATCACAATACTATCGAATCATGGCCCAAATATCACAATACTATGGAATAGTGGCCCAAATATCACAATACTATGGAATCGTGGCCCAAATATCACCATACTATGGAATAGTGGCCCAAATATCACAATACTATGGAATCGTGGCCCAAATATCACAATACTATCGAATCATGGCCCAAATATCACCATACTATGGAATAGTGGCCCAAATATCACAATACTATGGAATCGTGGCCCAAATATCACAATACTATCGAATAATGGCCCAAATATCACCATACTATGGAATAGTGGCCCAAATATCACAATACTATCGAATCATGGCCCAAATATCACAATACTATGGAATCATGGCCCAAAAAACACAATACCATGGTCCAAATATCACAATACTATGGAATTGTGGCCCAAATATCACCATACTATGGAATAGTGGCCCAAATATCACAATACTATTGAATCGTGGTCCAAATATCACAATACTATCGAATCATGGCCCAAAAAACACAATACCATGGCCCAAATATTACAATACTATGGAATCGTGGCCCAAATATCACAATATTATCGAATCATGGCCCAAAAAACACAATAATATCGAATCATGGCCCAAATATCACAATCATCATTTTTGCCGATTCCCAGGCCTACCACTTGTAGTGCACTTAGTGTTTGCTTTGGACAGAGACGTCTGCTAAATGTCCTTCTAAATCTGAAGTATACCTTGTACTTGCACTCCAGGATCTCGGGGCCGTTGATGTCCACCTCGTAGTCCTCGCTGTCCTCGTGGCTGTCGCGCTCCTTCTCGTTGTCCAGGGCGGACTGGCGCTCTTTGCTGGCCTGGAGCTTGCGCATGGCACTGATGTTCTCCGAGAGCCGGCTGACCTTCTCGTGTTGCTCAGAGAGCGCTCCACGGGCCTGTTCCAGATGCTTCTGAGACTCCTGCAGTGTAGACAGCAGCGTCACCTTCTCACGCTCAACCTGAAACACACACACCATACGGTTCAGAAGACAGAAGAGAGTCTACCGTCACAAAGTCAATCAATTTCACTCGGCTGACACTAATGCGGTCCGCTCTGCTGACAACACAACCCATAAGAAATCAGTGTTTGGCGAGGTCAGATGCATGAGCTAAAAGCCTGACTTCTAATGGTGCGTTCACCCCAAATACGAATATAGAGTCAGGTGTGAATGATGTCAATGTTAAGTCAATGTAAAGACGTGTTTGCACGCAGCTAGAGGTCCTGCGCGCGAATGAGGCGTTTTGGGGGGCACGGTAGACGCGATTGAGCATCTGGTGCGTTACGCGCGAATGATTTTTGTTGCATTCACGTCGCGTCTGACTCCCAAGTTGAATTTTTTTTACTCCGGCACGTTAGCCAACCAGGAGCCTGCTTTCTGCCGTCACGTGCTACAGTGACGTGATAAACTGGGACCGGCCCACTTTACAGTTTATAATGTTATTTTATACGTTTGGCCTCAATAAATAATTGTATAATATGACAATGCCTGGACTGTTTCTAATGCACAACAAAGCAAATATTTTATCACACAAAAACTTGATTTCAATATGTGGCACTCATTTTGTATTGAATGCTATTTTTTCCGTATCTAATCTAGATTATATGAAACATTATTATTCTAATGTAAAGACAACCAACATGAAGGGTGATGGAAACGCGCCTACTTTAACTGCTCTGAACTTACCACTGCGTTTTATTTCTATAAATTAATTTCATTTCAAATGGGGTCCAACCAGTTATTAAAGGTGTTAAAAATTAACTCTGTATCTCGAGGTTGCGGCGCGCACACTATGGTTAACCGAGTATTAACCGATAAGGGCCTCGGTTAACGGTTAATGAAAAACTTGAAAACGTGCAGCCCTACCCTGAACCCATCCTAGGTGTGTATGACATTCTTCTTTCAGACACACCTAGCTAGGATGGCTTCAGGGTGAGTAAATCATGGGCTAGGGTGAACTATCCCTTTAATGTGTACATTTTTAAAGTAATGCTTTTCTTGTTACGTCAAAAAAGTAATCTGATCATGTAGTGCATGTTCCTGGTAATGTGCAGCGGGTAAACTCTGCATGAAAGTGGATCTCAAAGGTTATTCAGTCAAAGCAGAAGCTCCTCGATGATTACAGACTCGCAGTGTAACCTGTGCTGACATGAACATGACTCGAGGATGAGGACGTTGAGATGGGAGAAGTCCGTCTATAAAGCAACATGAAGTTCTGGCTCAGTGTCGATTTAATTGTCTGTTTAGTTGATGTCAGTTACAGCGAGAATGTAATACAAAAACACCTTCAATCACATAATAACAACAATTATTGCTTTATAAGCAAATACTGCACGTGCATTTTTCAGACTTGATTTGCTAAGACTGATTTAAAGAGAATCAGGGGTAAAGAGACACGCCAACTGATACACATAAGCAACATGGTGTGAGGAGAGACATCATGTTACCAAAACATTCCCTTCACAAACAACCAGCACTTATAAAATGATCATTTGTAATTAGAAATGTATGCAGAAACATCATTTACAAAAAACAAATAAAAAACGGTGTGGGATGATTGACGTTTTTCCCCCTACATCAGACACAGGCATGAAGTCGTACACGTAGAAGATCAGTGTTTCGGGTTATGAAGTATATAAGTGTGTATTTTGTCCTAAATGTCGGCTGGTTTGTCTAGATCAGACTCTTATTCCGCGTCTGGATCGTGTCGAGACTTTAAAGCGTCACTGAAACTCGCATCTCGACCCGTTGGACCCCATTGAAGACACTATATGGAGAAACATCCTGGAGTGTGTTCCTCAAAAACCTTCATTTCTTCATTTCACCGAAGAAAGAAACACATGAACATCGGGAGAGTAAACTATCTTTCTGAAGTGAACTACTCCTTTAAAAGGTCAGAGTTCAGAGGGTCAGAAGGCTCGTTGTGTCAGATTGTGTGGAGCACTTACACTAATAGGATTTAAGCGGTCCAGCTGTCAGCCAATCAAACACAGATCTGAACACACACTATAGAAAAAAACAAATCTGATTGTGATTTGAAATCTTGTAACACGAGCGCTTTCTGTGGAAAACACTATTCAAATACACTTTAATTGAATTAAAATGCGATTTAAATAAATTCCAGGTTAGCCGTCCTTGTTTGTAGAGTTGCACAACATATGAAGAAGTCTCTTCTGCATTTATTTGATTATAAATACAACAGTTATATTGAGAAATATTATTACACTTTAAAAAGTGTAATTTATTCCTGTGATCAAAGCTGAATGTTCAGCATCCAAGATATCAATGTCATTCTTTCTTCAGTCGAAAAGAAATTAAGGTTTTTGATGAAAACATTCCAGGATTTTCTCCATATAATGGACTTCAATGGGGTCCAAAAGAGAGTTTCAGTGCAAACTGTTCAAAGGGCTTTAACCGATTCCAGACGATGAATAAGGGTCTTACCAAGCGAAACGATCGCTCATTTAATAAATAAATAACAAAGTTTAAGTTTTATAAGCTCAAACGCTCGCCTTGCTCTGTAATGTGATGCGCGTTCGTGACTCTCCTGTTCGAACTCGTTTATCAAAATTAACTAATCTTTTATTGTGTCATTTGGTTCATTCAACAAACGGAATGAACGAGTTGACTCTGGAAAAGATTCGTTCATTTTGATGGGGTTAGTAGTTCGAATAGGAGAGTCATGAACACGCATCATACCCTAACAGAGCAAGGCGACCATTTGAGCTTAAAAAAACGTAAACTTTGCTATTTATTTATTTATTAAATGAGCGATCGTTTCGCTTGATAAGACCCTTATTCATCGTCTGGAATCGTTTAAAGCCCTTTGAACAGTTTGCACCAAAACTGTCTTTTGGACCTTGAACCGTTTGGACCCCATTGAAGTCCATTATATGGAGAAAATCCTGGAATGTTTTCATCAAAAACCTTCATTTCTTTTCGACTGAAGAAAGAAAGACATGAACATCTCGGATGACATGGGGGCGAGTAAACTATCAGCAAAAGTTGAGCGAACTACTCCTTTAATGTTGAAAACAGTTATTTACATTTTCATTTTAGGATTTGTTGATGAATAGAAAGTTCAAATTTAAGTAACTGAAAGTACCTGCATTTATCTGAAATGTCTGATTTATCTTCACTGTCAGTTTTAGTAAATTGAATGCGTCCTTGATTAATAAAAGTATTGATTTGGTTCATCCCCTCCCTCTTCATACTGACCCCAAACTGTTGACCGTTTTCAGTTTTTTTGCATTTTTAATCAAATAAATCTAGCCCTGGTGAATGATCTCACCGATCCAGCTTCGACTGGGCGTGTGTGTGTGTGTGTGTGTGTGAGAGTACCTGCAGCAGTTGCTGCTTGAGCTTCTGGATCTCGGAGATGTTGAGCTCGTTCAGGAGGTTGTCCACGAGGCTGGAGGACGGCTGGAACAACTCTCCGTTCTTGGGCGAGGAGACGCGGTTGTCGTCGATGTCGGCCATCTTGTGGAAGCCGCTCTCGTAGACGTGGAGCGGTTGGTCGTTGTTGGGCTCGATGGAGGTGTCGTCGCTGAACTTCAGGCCGTCGAGGGAGATGCTCAGAGGACTGTGGTACAGCGAGTCCCCGATGCTCATGTACTGGGACAACTCCTTCCTCAAGGCGGCCTGTGTGAACACACGTCGTGAAGTCAGACCTCGGGGCATTTTAAACTACTTATGGGAACACTTTACAATAAGGTTCATTAGTTAACATTAGTTAACATGTACAATATGTGAACAATACTTCTTCAGCATTTATTAATCTTAGTTAATATTAATTCCAACATTTACTAATACGTTATTAAAATCATAGGTTGTATTAGTTAATGAACTGTGAACTAACATGAACACGCAATGAACAGCTGTATTTATATTAACTAACATTAACAAAGATTAATAAACACTGTAACTAATGCATTGCTCATCGTTAGTTCATGTTAGTTAATGCATTTACTAATGTTAACTAATGAACCTTATTGTAAAGTGCTACCCTACTTATTATTCAAAACGCATGCATAGCTTTGACTACTTCGACTACTGTAGATCAGCTCTAGAAAGATGCGGAAATGCTAATGTTATCGCTTTGGACTGAAATTTACTGACTTCACTCACACTTTAACAACTTTACAAAATAAAATACACTTTTTGTGGGGTTTTTTGTCCCACAGTGTAACACAAGTGACCAGCCTACAAAAAACTGCTTATAAATCTCTCATTGTGCGACATCATCACCAAACACTGTATTTTTCAATTAGGACCGGTTTTATATTTCTTTTTGGATTTGATCGTTCATATGCCTCAGTTTTTGAGTGAAAAAAGCATTATTTGTGGATAATTTTGTTGATTTTACATCAAATATGAATCACACTAATGTGCTTTATTATTGAACTATTATGAAAAAAGATTTATTTCTTTATTTTGTACATTTTCCTGGTTAAACATTAAAGCACACTAGTGTTTTACATATTTTATGCATTTCTAAATAATTCAGAAATAATGGTATTTTCACTCAAAAACTGACGTACGTTAGCGGACAAAAAGATTGAATCCAGTATTTGGTGATAAGGTAGCAGAACAAGAGATTTATACGCAATTTTTTGCTAACCAGCGCAAAGCAGACACTGGCCAGTTCTCCATATCCGTTCTTTCTGGCGTCTTTGTGCTCTCCTTCGAAATACAACATTTAGTTTATTTATCTTAAATGTAATTTAATATATTTAGTAGATTAATAACAAACAAATATAATTTACCATTTTTTGTCATTTATTTATTTTAATCTCATTATTTATTCATCCTGTTTTCCCCAGATGTATGCGTCCTGTGTGTGTTGGTACGAGGTCTTGATTCCCAGCACCAATAATGAGGTCATCACACTTCCAATAATATCTAGGGGCCAGTTGTTCAAAACATTTAATCTGGATCAAAATGATCCGGATTTGGAAATCCCATTTTTTCCTATCCAGGATCAGGTAATCCGCCTTACTTATATGCCGGTTTTTAAAAGCAACATTGGACTGGATCACCCTGATCCAGATACACAGTTTTCAAGATTACCAGTGCTCTAAATGGGACAACATCTCACAATGTGGGCTACAAGCTATGGAAAGAACAGGTAGAAGAGCCAACATGGGGTCACTGTAAGTGTTTCTTATTTTGAGGCAAAACACTTAATTGTTAGCCTATGTCTACTTTATCACTGTTACAACGGTTACACAAATCAAGTGCAATATATAAATAAAAGTATACACTAAATGATACAAATGTATTATTTGACCAAGTTTTACTACATTTTCTTCCTGAAATCCACCTTGAAATCCTACCCCCCTGTTGGGATCAGGATAATCCTGTTTTTTTGGATCAAACTTATCCAAGTTTTGAACAACACAAACTGAAGGTTTGATCCAGATTAAAACTAGGATTGGATTCTGATTTCAGATTCCTTCTTTCCCCTTTGAACAACCCATTTTCAAGATTTGATCCAATCCGATAACCAAAATCCGATCAGTTTACCTTTCAACAACTGGCCCTAGATGACATCATAATTAGGGTTGGGAATCGGATACTTGTTATAAAAGTGATTCCTCTTGTCGATTCTTTAGTGAGCATGTAATTATGAAACGATAAGAATACAAATAAACAAGCAGAATGGGAATGGGATTCATTCAAACTGAAACGATCCTCAAGCCTAATAATAATAATAATAATTTGATGAGGTAATCAGTGAAGTCTGGCCTTCTGCTCGCGCTCCGTCTTGATGGTCTCCAGCGCCTCTCCCAGCTGCCGCTCCGCGATCTCCTTCAGACGCACCGCATCCTCCAGCTGGCTGTTCAGGAACTGGGTCTCCTCCTCCAGACGACGCATCTCATGCTTCAGACCCTCAAACTCCACCTGCAAGATGCCATCACACACACACACACAGCTATCTTAATAGGGACATTGCATTTTATACCTTCACAAACTGTCTAGTATCTCCACTAACCCGAGCCCTAAACCTACCGATCACACACACACACACTACCCCGAGCCCTAAGTTCAGCATGAGTGTTACCTGGCCCTGCTTTAAGACGGACACGTGCTTCTGGAGCGTGATGTTCTCCTCCTCGAGCTCGCTGTAGTCCTGCAGGAGACGAGCCTCTCGGATCTGGAACTCCTTGAGATCGTCCCGCAGGCGAGACCTCTGCAGCTCCACCATCTGACTGCTCTGAAACAGTGAGGAATGAACAAGCAGGACGTCATTTTCTTTACACCTGACAAATACTTTATTCAGTTGAATTATTCATCAAATGTTTGTTCTGTAAGATTTCATGTTTTTGCAGCAGAAATATTACTGCTAATGTTTTCTATCTGAATGAGGGCTGTCAAAATCTTTTTTTTTTAGTGCAACACTATTATCACAGCTTGTGTTTTTCAGCTTAATCTATGGTGTTTCTACATAATTTTGGTATTTCAAAAAATACAATATAGTGTTGCAATATTTCATCATCATTACGCCAGTCTTCAGTGTCACATGATCCTTCTAGTATGATGATTTGCTGCTCAAAACAAACATTTATGATTATTATTAGAGTTGAATTTTCATGACATTTTATTTTTCCAGATGTTCTTTTTGAATGTGTTCTTGGTGAATAAAAGTGTAAACAACAAACAAAAAGTCTCTGCGACCCGTGAACTTTTGAATAGCAGTGTGTGTGAACCATCGCTCGCTCTGTATCGCTCCGTCTCCGCTCAGTCGCACGCAAAAACACATTTCATTTCACCTTTGGCTCATTAATCTCCTGCACACCATCTGCCAAAATTCATTTATAGAAACATTTATTTTCTTCCTTTCATTCACTTTTAACCCCTGTATGAGCTGTGTTAATGTTAGACACTGTTGAGCACACGCCCGGGAGTTCCTCAACACCATTATCCTCATTACTGTTTCTTCTGAATTTAGAAAGTGATGGTAAAAGTCGGTCGACTCAGTGTACTTGGTTATTTTCCAGATGCGATATAAATGTTATTGTGCAGTGCTTGAAACTCATTACATGCAAAGTGAGATATTTCAAGCCTTTATTTGTTATAATTGTGGATTACAGATATGAAAACCTTTTCACAATATTCTAATTTTGACTTTGGGGTTTTCATATATATAATCATCAAAATTATAACAAATAAAAGGCTTGAAATATCTGAGTCTATATAATATATTAGTTTCACCTTTTAAGTTGAATTACTGAAGTAAATGAACTTTCGCACGATATTCTCATTTTTCGAGTGTAGAAAATTGGTGCTTTAGCAACTCCTGCTGCGTTCTCAGACTGACCTCTCTCAGCTCCTGCGTGATGCTGGCGAGCCGCTCGTTCTCCGACTGGGTGTTGGTCAGGATGTTTCGAGCTTGTCTCAGCTCCGTCTGCAGCTCTTGCACGCGCTGCTCGTAATACGCCTCTTTACACGCCGACTCCTGGATGAGCGACTCCTCGCGGCTCTCGCCGTCCGCCGCCACCTTCCGGTGGTTGGAGTGAGCCTGTCCGAACGCCTGAGGAACAGAAGAAACACACCCGGATTAATAATCAATCCTTTATCGTGATATATGGGGATGAGTCACATTGCCAATGGGCAAATATGGAGGTGGAAACAAGTGGTATACCATCCAAACGTGTGTAATAGGGTTGCTGCACACTTTTTAAATTCATATTTAAGGCTTTTTAAGATTTACACTGTACATTAGGGGAGTGCAATATTGACAAAAAATTATATCTCAATATTTCAAAGTTGTGTTGATGCACCACGGCTGGTTTAGGCCTGTTGTTGACAGCAGGTCTTTTTTACCTACATAAGGGCATTTTCTTCTAAACTTGGGATTCACATTACCAATATCGGCAATATGGAGGTAAAAACAAGATACCAGTGGCATACCAGTGTAAAACACTGCAGCAACAGTCCACATATGGAGGGTCTATTCCTATTCTAGAGTCTGTGAATAGTAGGGCTGGGTATTGACACAAATTCAATTCAATTTCAATTGACTAGCTTGCAATTTGATTCAATGTCGATTCCAATTTGATTCAATATCGATTATTTTTGATTTCAGTTACAATAAATGGCAAATTTTCTCAAGGAAATCAAATCTCTGAACTAATGCTGTAAACTATGGGAGTCTAGTTGGGCTTCATTAGCCTAATATGAAGGTAATAATTAACTGTTTTGTAGCTATACAAACTTAAACTACACTTTTATTTATTTTTATAATAAGAAGATTATATGAAATATAAACATTTAAATGGTGGCTGTCATAACTTGCCAGATTTATTCAAATATGCATTAAATATTGAAGAACATTAAGATTATAATGCATATGTAATATGGTGTATATATTTAGCAAAATGCTCCTCTCTAGAGTTATTTTTTCTAGCTGACTAACGAGTTTATGTGGGTTTTCTGAGGTAAATATGACGATACATTGATTACAAGCTGTTTAACTGACGTCTTTCCACGGTTGAAACGCTGATTGAGTGAATCAATGTGACACGATACGGATTTGGATAAGTTGTACTCTATCTTTAACACACTTTCAGACGCTCATTCATGTTTATTTGGCGCTGTGACTGGTATTATTAAGCCGGAAGAGAGATCAGCGCTGCTGCTTCTCCAGAGCGATCTCACGCCACAGCGACAAAACACTATTTATGTTTTTGAATTTCTAAAGAAAATGGACGTAATTTGAAAATTGAGACTTTGTTTCATATCAATAATAACAAAGCTCAAAGATTATTGCGATTTTTTGGATGCGCGCAGCCGCGATACAATGTCCCATTCATTCAAATGAAACAGGATGACTAATCGATTCTTGAGATTTAAGAATCGATATCGGTTCGTAAAAATGAGAATCCATTAATGTCGAGAAATCGATATTTACCCAGCCCTAGTGAATAATGAAGAAAATATAGAGTTTTGAAGAATAATGCAATACGAGATAACTCGTTAAATAGTTCTAAATATTCAATATGCAATAAACTTTCACTATTAGACCATTAAACTATTTCACTATTGTGTAGCATTAACAACATAAAAAGTAAGTGTCATTTTAACGTTTGTGTAAACCAGGGGGCTTCAGGTAGGCCAACATTTATCGAACAACAGAATAATCATATATTAAAATAAAACATTGCTTAGTCTTCACTGTATGAATTAAAGGTATACTGATTCTTATTAAAACTACAAAAGTTATTCAGCCGGCTGTCTTTTGCTGTTTGATCAACATTAAAAACACAAGTTTTTAGGCTGCAGTCACTTTAAGAGCTAATGCACATCTAATATACTGTTATAATTACTGTTTAGGTGAATACACACCAAGACAGGAATATTGACATTATTATGAGTGTATTTAGCCATTTAAAAATTTTTTGTCTCGATTACACTTTCATTATTGCATTGTTTGCATTAGAGCCAGACCGATATATCGGCAGACCGATATTATAGGCCGATATTAGGCATTTTCCAAACTATCGGTATCGGCAGTTATAATGGCCGATAAATGAATATTTCAAAAATAAAATAAAAACGGACGAAACACGCTTGAACCATGTCATGAGTGTTGGAGTTGTATAGTTTGTCCACCAGAGGGCGCTCTACACCGTTCCTGTTGGCAACACCCGTTGAGTTGGTCACGATACATACATTGCTTGAATAACAATTAAAAGATCATCCACATCAGTTCTCTGAACTCAAATAAGCAGGACAAAATTTGTGACTATCATGTCCAGTTTAAAAAAAATAAACAAATAAATAAATAAAATATCGTCCGATATATCGGAATATTGGATTTTAAAACCCAAAAATATTTGTATCGGTATCGGCCTTCAAAATTCTTTATCGGTCGGGCTCTAGTTTGCATAATTATATGTTTTATTGGATCGTATTCTTGTGAAGAGCTTTGAGACAGAAAATTGGGGATCTAATGGACATGTATCCTCAAGCATGGCCCTTTAAACAACAGCACAGCTCAGTGCGTCTAACCAAGGCACATTTCCCATCATCCTTCTTCCAGGTCGAGCACAGGAGGAAGGAAGGGTTTCCTGTTTTTAACTAATTTGCCCGTCCTTACCATGTGTTTAACAAACTCAAGCACCCTCAGTTTATACTGTAATATCATATTGGCGAAACAGATCCAGTGTGCATTTGTGTGTTCCTTATTTTGCAGCGGTGAGAAATGTAGCCAATCACGGACATGTCTGTTGATCTTTTCAATACAATGGCTCTCATTTATAAAACTGTGTGAAGGATCCTTACTAAAAGTGTAAGAGCGCCCAAAAGCCAAAAATAGCGAACACCAAAAAAAATTCAGACTTATAAAACCGCGTACGTCAGAACCTGAGCAAAATTCCCTTTATAATCCCAGTCGGAGGAAGATTGTGTGTTTGTGCGTCTCCATGAAATGACCATATATGAGCTTACAACGCCTCGTTTTACTACGTATATCCATGTTCAACGGTACAGACGTTAGGAAAATAAGAGATATGGATACATTGCTAAAAATCATTTAATAGCCGATCCTTGACTTGTTTTTGAATTAATTAATCAAATAGTATAAAACTCATTTCAGAGAAAGTTTCTCAATCTTTTCCACTGGCCAAACAGTATTTTTAATTGCTTTATATTTTAAATGGAAACAGATAGGCCTTTATTGATCATTATTCGTGTAGTTAAAACATTAAAACACGGCATGCCACAGGAAAAGTGTTCAAAAGCTTTACATCCACTTGAAATATTTATATTTATTAGAATATAATTAACTTCTCAGTAATGATATCATGTAATTTAAGAGCTCAACTCCATTAATGAGGCTGGGATATTTAATCTAAATATGTGTATCAGATGTAAAACAGTTTAAATCCTTCTTTTATTTATTTTCGCTGTTATTGTGATCATGCACTGTATTTATGATGAATATTACAGATGTTTTCCTTCATCAGTTCCTCAGATCTCCATCGGTGTCGCCAAAGTTTACTCAGTTTTTGGTCAGATTTCGGACAGCTGCCGAAGCCTTCTTTGCAAATGGGTTGATTAGTTACGGCTGGACACGGAGAACAGTCGTGAGCCTTGTTCTTGTGTGTTGAGGTTCGCTCGAGGTCAGGGCTGGGTCTGTGCAGATCTCACTGCTCACATGCTCAAACAAGAGGAATCCGGGAGGAATGCGCGCGACTCATCCCAAAAAAGGAAGACGTTGTTATTTAGGGGATTGTTAGACCAAGTCAGAGTTTTTGTTGATTATGGCTTTCAACTGGCCACATTATACAGTAGTGTTCAGCTAATGTCCATCAAATGTGTGTTAACAAACCTTTAACTTTATAATTAAATTAAACTAACTGAATCGCAGGCTATCATTACATAAAGTGCAGCTGAACTGCATGATGCATGTCGGCGACTCGGCGGTGATGTCACCGGTGGGGGCGGGGCTTGGGTGGACGATACAACCGAATATTGCAATTATTAATAAAATATGTTTTACATATCGCCCAGCTCTACATCACAACTATAACGATTACAGCACACTGGCAAAGAGAAATTATTTAACTGGAACATTTATTTCAGCTGATGAAGGATCATTGACAGCCAATCAGAATCCATCCTGCTTTTAAGAGCTGGAACATTTAAAGCGACAGACGACTAAACTGCATCGAGTGCTTATATAAAACAGAACGATATCATCCGCTGGTTATCTGCGCTAAACTACACTGCTCTTGACTGAAAACATTCTGGAGCTTCAATAAGAAAATTTTTTATTAATTAATTCAAACAGTGAAGACTATGCATTTTATTTTTACATTTAATTTATTTCCCATTTCTTACTAAATGTTAAATAAACCTATTTTACATGTAAAATGTTATTTGTATAATAATTCATATTTTTGTTATATTGTTTTTATCCTACTATTTCTAATTCGCTTCTTTAGTCTAATCTAGAATATTGTGATATATACAGGCCATTATCATTATCATGAATGAAATGTCACCCAGCCATAGGCAGGTCTAATGCACACAACATATCAGATATCAGGTATGAATGCATCTATTACATAATTGTTGCATTTGTGTTTAGTTAGGTTAAACCTCTGTTCTTCATTGTCCCAGCTATATTGTTTTTTTCTGCTCAATGCGCATATCCAAAAATGTTTTGTTATATGGTCTGACAGTCTGGCTTGTGTGTGTGTGTGTGTTTGTGCGTGTTGTTGATATTGACCAATTGTTCTATTTTATATGTTGGTTTAGTCATTTTTCTTATACATTCATATTAACATGCATGTACTATTTCAATCCTTTTACTTTGTCCAGGGTAAAATAGCATTTGGCTAATTCTGGCACATTATACATATATTTATGTATTATTAGTGTGCATTGTTCCTGTTAAACAAACCTGAAATATAAAAAAAATAAAGAGAATGAGACATTAAAAATAAATTGAGCTGTCAGAACCGATTCGGAATTGTTGAAGAGAGAATTGCGATTGATTGTCGATGTACAAAGCGAACATCAACACTTGTGCTTGAACAGCTGTTAGCTCTGAAACAAATGGCCTAGACTCCCGCGTCCACGGATAACCTGTTTAAATGTGGGACACACACAAGCCACAAGCCCACATATTCAACACAGTGACTAAAAATATCTCCATCCAGCAGACTTGTTTTCAACTGCATCCTGAACAAACAAAGACTCATTGTTTGAAAGAGCTTGAAGGATCTCAGCTGGCCAACTAAACCCCCACTATCCCATTCCCATCATGCATCACAATCAACTCTATGGACGTGAGTTCAGACATCACAGCTGTAGTTCGGTTCTCTTAGTATGGGCCAAAAATGAAAGAGATCCAATTAGCCCTGATTCGCTTTGCATTCACACTGGCATTCTTAACACACAGATAACAGATTTACAACATATTTCACAAAAGAACATCCAGACCGAGGCGGCGGCGTTCTGGGCTAAAGCGCTCGTGTGTGTGCGCATTGTTCAACATGATGGGTACTTTAAATAGCTTGAAATGTGATTGAAATCAGACAAAAAAGGAAAGTCTTTTCCCCAAGAGCAATCAGCTAGACAGCTACATAAAAATTATTATTTATGAGAACATTATAATTGTGTTTGGGACACTGATTTTACTGCAGAGACTTTTGTAATCAGGCTCTCAAAAATGATATATTTGAAAGCCGATAACCGATGTATTGGCCGATAATTGTAAGGAATTATCGGTTATCGGCTTTCAAATATAAGGAATTATCGGTTATCGGCTTTCAAATATAAGGAATTATCGGTTAATGGCTTTCAAATATAAGGAATTATCGGTCATCGGCTTTTAAATATAAGGAATTATCGGTTATCGGCTTTCAAATATAAGGAATTATCGGTTAACGGCTTTCAAACATAAGGACTTATCGGTTATCGGCTTTCAAACATAAGGAATTATCGGTTAACGGCTTTCAAATATAAGGAATTATCGGTTATCGGCTTTCAAATATAAGGAATTATCGGTTATCGGCTTTCAAATATAAGGAATTATCGGTTATAGGCTTTCAAATATAAGGAATTATCGGTTATCGGCTTTCAAATATGAGGAATTATCCGTTATCGGCTTTCAAATATAAGGACTTATCGGTTATCGGCTTTCAAATATAAGGGATTATCGGTTATCGGCTTTCAAATATAAGGGATTATCGGTTATCGGCTTTCAAATATAAGGGATTATCGGTTATCGGCTTTCAAATATAAGGGATTAGCGGTTATCGGCTTTCAAATATAAGGAATTATCGGTTATCGGCTTTCAAATATAAGGAATTATCGGTTATCGGCTTTCAAATATAAGGACTTATCAGTTATTAGCTTTCAAATATAAGGAATTATCGGTTATCGGCTTTCAAATATAAGGACTTGTCAGTTATTAGCTTTCAAATATAAGGAATTATCGGTCATCGGCTTTCAAATATAAGGAATTATCGGTTATCAGCTTTCAAATATAAGGAATTATCGGTTATTGGCAAAAATGTTAATATTGGTGCCTAAAAAAATTTGTGAAAATTCATGTAAATGTATTATAAATATTTGAAATGGTACAGTCGTGGAGTGGGAAGTCCTCCTTTCGTTACAGAAGTAGGCCTACTTTTATTTTAGACATACATTAGCTTTCACACATTAAACCCAATAAACGTTCCACATGTGCAGCTCACACACACTGTACACAACAGCTTTTTACCATTAAGACACAATTCAAAAATCAGCAACAACAAAAAAAAGGTATACAGTGCGAGTTTTATGATCATAAATGACCTTTAAAGCAAATTCCCTGCATGGTTTTCTTCATCTGTGCGGATGAAGTGTGTTTTCATGATCGCGAATGTGTATAACACAATCGGGGTCGTATGTGTGCAAGCCCCGATTGGCTCATCGTTTCAACAGAGCTTCTGCATTCAAGAACTATTTGCACAATAACTTTGCTTGTTTACTATCTAAACTTCTTGAGAAATGTGGGACATACTGACAGATTCCAACGACAGACCGACTAAAAACCATCATGGTATTTCAGGAAAGTTTGGAAATGAATGAAATGGGAATTCACTGGTTTTAATATAAGCTTGCCAGTCACGACAAACCCTTTATGTTAAGAAGAAAAAACATAATACTCTCTTACAAAAATGCTTTTCCTAACTTTAAATGTACCAATTAACAGTTAGAAGAACCATTAATAAACAATTCAAAATTCTGTGAAGAAGTGCATCACTGATTAGTCGTCGACTCTCTTTTCATGACAAGTATCATGGCTGCTAGTGTGAAACAATCTCTTTTTTTCACCTAATAGATGTTGAAATTGTGTTTTGTGGTTTCATTTTATGAAGTTAGGGCAAACAAAGCATTTCAAATTTTAAAAGTCCCTCTAATGTCCTTATAGATGGGTCAGCTGGTGAGGAAGTGTTGCTCTGTCTCCACTTCTCTCTCTCTCTCTCTCACACACACACACACGGAGACTCGTTCCCAGCATGACGAGAGTGAGGCGTGTTTATCCACATTCTCATCATTCCTGCTCGGGCTGAAATTCGCTCGGCCGTTTAGGCGGGGACAAAAACTCCCGCAAATATTCAAAAGCAGGCCTGAGATATTTCACCACAACACACGAGCGAGACACACACAAGCATCATCATCTCATTCTGACACTGGACACAACTGATTTCGAGATATGATGACATCAGTGGGAATAAACGCACCAGCAGATGAAGAATATGATGTATATATATATTAGTTTTAAGATTAGCAGAGTCCACACCACAACTATAACAATAACCACTCAGAAAAACAATATAGTTGAGATCACTTTCAAAACTGACAGCCAATCAGAATCCAGAGCTCAAGCATTTAAAGCAACAGATGACAAAACTGCAAAAAATAATAAAAAGTATGCATATAACGTTAGATTAGATAAACAATACAATAAACAGAACATCGTCGTGATGTATAATCATTACGTTGTGAACGCACCGGAGTCATATGCTAACTCGCCACCAGAAAATTAAACTCACAGAAATTACAATTTTAAAATTAAAATCAGTGTGAAGTTAAAATTCACTCTATATTTTCCAAATGCGCTTTATTTGTCTCCATTTTTAAGCATTTCAACTTCCAATCAACAACTGATGCATGTCCCTGTGTGTATAAATCAAAATTTGAGAAAAGGCCATTTATGGTGAACTAGTCGTCTGCTTCATCAGAAACTATTTTTATTTTGTTATTATTCCCAACCACCGCCAAAGGATTGTGGGATATAATAAGTGACATGAAAAACTGAAGCAGAATAATGAATTTCGGGAAATAATCATTGGATTAATCTTCTCTTAATCTTCTTCATCTTCATGAAAGCAGTATTACCATCTCTCAGACACAATCACAGCGTTTCACCATCATCTACATAAACATCAATCTGGGGATGGGGGAGTGTTTCGAGAAAAATGTTGTAAAAAAAAAAAAATAATAATTAAATAAATATATTAAAACAACCAATAGTAAAATATATAGAATTTTGATTTGAAAAAAAAAGTAGATGCATATAACGTTAGATTAGGTAAACAATGTGAGTAAAATAAACATTAAAATATGTAAACAATAAAATTTAATTGATTTAAATAAATCTTAACAGACTCTTCAATATATTCGAATAATGCTTTAAACTGGTACTAATATATATATATAGAGAGAGATTTTTATAGATTTTAAATATATTGAAAATATAAGTCTTAAGATGGAGGGGCTGTCTCCCAAGGATGATCACGATAATATTTCAGAATAATGCTTTAAACTGGTAGCCCTATTATAACATTTTTGTATTGTGTATGCTATTTAAATGGGTACGAATTGGGTTTTATATATACACACATATTTTTTATATATATTTATTTCTCTTTATCTTAAGATGGAGTCTGTGTCTCCAGGGGATGACCATATTCGGTGTACCGCGGCCTCTCGGAGATTGGAAACCCCCTGGCCTACAAAACCCCATCATTTACACCACAAACACATAATACGGCAGCGTTCCGCGGGCGTTGATAATAATCGCGTCGCGGCGCGTTGGTATCGCAGTGGTGTCCGTTACCTCTCTCAGCAGCTCGAGCTCCTGACGCACGCTCTCGCACTCCGCCTCCAGCTCGTCGTACCGCAGCTTGAGCTGCTGCTTTTCCTCCAGCACCGCGAGCCCGTACTCTGCCGCCTGGATCTTCTCCTGCGTGGTCTCGGCCAGTTCCCGGGACAGCCGCTGCACCTCCTCCGACTCCCGCGACGCCCCGATCCACTCGCGCTGCTGCTCCTCCGCGGACATCATCTTTAACGGCAGTCGCGCTCAGATCCTCCCGTGCGCGCGCTGCATGACCGTGATATATTCCTGCTCGGGAGCGGGTGATGGATGAGGAGCGTGTGCTTTTATTCCTCCATGACCGCGGATCGATCAGCTCCTCTCCGCTCCGCTCCCCCTCAATAACACGGAGAGAGGAGAAGAGGCTGTAATCTACCGAAGGATCTGTCGGAATGGAGGACTCCTTCTTGGGCTTTTTAATGGGAGATGTAGTTTATTTCATCCGCTTTTGCGAGGTCACAAATGGAGCAAAAAACTCAAATCCCATGACTCACTGCGGTTTGACAGTTAGGATACCGGAAGCCAGGATGAACCGGCTCCCTGCGCGTGACGTGGAGATCTCCGTTGACTTCAGATATTTATTTTATCTACTAATGTGATGTTATTATAACTTTTATTATAGCTTTTGTTATTATAACAGTTTCTACAACAGATTTGAATAGCCACTGAAATAATGTGGGTTAATGAGGGAAAGTGTGCTGTAAATTACAAGCAATCAGAATGATGTCATAGACTTTAACGGTCCGTTCAGACACACTCAAACCTGTAACGTTTTAAATCCTCCTTTCACACCAAGTAACTTACTATTAAAAAAACAAAACAAAAAAACAAAGAATGAATCGTTGACGACATTTCCGACTCCTTCACATCCAAAGCGAGAGGAAAACAGGCTCTTACTGCATCGGACGTGTTTGAGATCACGAAATGAATCTCTGAGAATTTCTCCTGATTTAATTTGAATAGGGAAAAGACTGAAATCATCGGAGTGTGTCAACAGCGCCATCTGGTGCTCGTGACATGTACAACAGTCAAATGTAATGCCTGCAAATACACATACTGCATATTTCATCAACTGGAAATATTCTTTGGTGTTCTCTAGGGATTTATTAGCATAATTGTACGGTATTGTAAAGGATTTGAAAACAAATGTATCATAATTATTGTATAATTACTACATAGTATCACAAAATTCCCCCTGTGGTGAAAATCCAGCATTTAAAGGCACAATATGTACGATTTTTTTCGTAAATGAGTGACTGCGTGCGTGAGGGAGTGACTGACTAAGTGTGTAAGTGAGGTAATGAGTGACTGACAGTGTGTAAGTGTGTGAAAGACTGAGTGTGCAAGTGAGGGAGTGAGTGACTGAGTGTGTGAGAGTGAGTGACTGACTTTAAGTGAGGGATGAGTGTATGAGAGTGAGTGAATGTGTGTGTAAGTGACAGAGTAACTGACTGAGTGTGTGAGAGAGAGAGTGACTGAGTGTGTGTGTGTGTGTGAGAGTGATTAAGCGACAGTGTGTGTGTGAGACTCAACTGTCTTCTGATCACATTATAAATTAGCATGTGACCTTGTGCACTAAGAATACAGTAATAGTTTGATCACAGCTCCACCTACAGACCAAACCCGTGTACAACCTTCAGTGTCTCTCCTTTCAGGAATCCTGCAGAAAATCATCAATTCATTATAAAAAAAAAGGGAGAAACAGCGTAAGATCGTCTCAAACTGCTTTTATTACATCTTAAATAACAGTACATTTTAATATAGTTTCTATCTTGCATCCAGCTTTCTGTTGTACACTGACTTTAAAATTAAATACAAAAGATGTATAAGGGGACAGTGGGGGGAGGGGAGGGGTTATCCGTGTGGAGAGAGGACAGGGAAGAGAAGAGAGGGAGAAAGAAAAGCAAATTTAGTTCTTTTTTTAGTCTTTTATTTTTCTTGCCGACTCCAGGCCTAACGCACAACGACAGCACTCTTTTGTTTTTGTACAGAATGTTGCAGAGAAATAACAGAATGGAAGAAATGCCACTACAGCGAAGGATACATGTCGAGAGGAAATGACAAAAAAAACGTCTGCCGTTCAGATGCTGCGTTACTTTTTTCCTTTTTTATTAAAGAACAGAAAACCTGTTTGTTACAAAATGTCTCTAGCACTGTCTTCGTGTCGGAAATTTTTCTTTTGCTACACAGAGAGAGAGATTTCTTTGTTCTAGTTATTTGAGAGTGTGTTTTTGTACAGGGTGTGTGTGTGTGTGTGGGGATTCACAAACTCTCCATGGACAGAACAACTCACCATTCATTTTTGTGATCAACATGTTTGCTTCTCTTAAGTGCATAGCTTTAAAAGTTAAACTAAGTTGTGTATGCACAGAGTAGCAATAGAAAAAAGTAAAATAAATACTGGTGATCTAATAAACAGGTTATTATTAAAAAAAAAAAAAAAAAAAAAGAAGAAAACATCAAGGACTTAGTTCCATATGCACCTCTTTTAAGCAATTCTACAGCATGCGATTCTACGAGTTTCCCACCCATGGCAGACAACCAAAATAAGATTTTTTTTTGTAAATTTTTTAACTTAAAAAGTTTTCAATATCATTATTTTCAAACATTGATTTATACAACATGTCATTCACAGAGTAGTAACTGTTTTCCAAGCACAGAACGAGCACCTCTGTTGAAACCAAAAAATAAAATAAAATAATGAAGAACCGTCCACCCCTCCTTCAACATCCTCCACATCAAAGAGAGAAAAATATAAAATAATAAAATGATTAAAATGATTGGTTAATCTTCACTGAATTACTCGTCATTTTCCACACACGAAAAAGCATGAGCGGAAGTATGGTTAAAATTGACATGGTTTCATCGAGCATTCGTCATCATGAACAGCACGTGCTTGGTTAGTTGACGTTTTTGAAAAATTGTATTACTTGTGCAAACAAAAAATGTGTTAATCAAATTTCCCAGGATTAAATATACAGGCCTGATAGCAGCTAATGGACCCCTGATCAAATCCTTTACGTAAAGACGGATTTTAACAGTTTTAACTACCAATTTGATCCCAAAATATTTCAAAACTAGAAGAGAAAAGCACATGTGCGATCCTGACTGGGGCAAAGAGGTCCAAAAACGGCCCATAAAGCTATCGAGCAAGAAAACACGCCTGCTTTCAACGCTAAAGAGAGATGACGTTAGCATAATGACGGAGCAGTGGAATGAGTGTCTTTATGTCTCAGAAATGGTCCCAGAAGGATGCACAATTATCAACTTTAATCCCCTTGCCAACTACAATCTAGCTGAGTGTAACATTGTGCTCTTTTTCTTTTCCAAAGGAGATATTTTTGCTCTTTTGCCGTGTACAGATGTCGGGGGTCAGTTCTGTTGTGTTTGAGAAGGAGAGAGGAGAATAAAATCGAACATTTTCATTTTGGAATGGTCTTCCAGTCAACCTTAGAGTCCGGATGCGATCTGGGAAGAGAGGAAAGGAAACGTTTACTTTAAAATCGAAATATTTTTTTTACTTCAGTACACTTGATTAAGTGTCACGCCTCCTTTTTTGAATAAACGTGAAAAATCTGAACGTCGATGGTTGAGAACGCTTTGAAATACAGACGTAAGATTGGTTGAAGTGAATCTTTGTAGAAGTGAAATAAAAAGTTTGAATTTATTCAAATGTAACAAATTATTCATTTTAAATGAAATAATTTTTTCAAACCTGGTGGACGCAAGAAAATCAAAGCCGAAACTCTGAACAAGTCATGTTTTGAATTTTAGCTTGATTTCTCCAAAAGTGAAGATGACACGGGGTTAAACAGACACTGGGATTAGCACTGATTATCAGGATGCTTCATTCAATACACACACACACACTGTATTGAATGGTTTATGTATATCAATGCATGCGAATTAAAGGGCGATTACTCACACTCAAATAGATGACATATCTACAACTTATTACAATACACACACACTGTCATTATTCATCAGCTTGGTTTTCATTTACTGCGAGCCACATTTATCAGAAGAGGATCTATTTGGGGTCCTGATGATGTTTTCGGGCTCTACTAGAACAGGTTTTCCTGCTTAAATGATTATTTCCCCATATTGTCCATTGTTGCGGCTCTTCTCTTCCCAGTCTGTCAGTATCAGTAACGCTCCATTTTCATAAGTGCCAGTTTAACACACTACTGACCAACTCAACCAGGCCCCGCCCCTTTATTCTGCACATTAATTATTATAATGAGGAGTGTTCATTCCCGGAAGAATCTTAAGACTACAATGGAGGCGTTTCAGGAGTTCAGAAACACTGACACTCATATAGAGAAGAACTGCATTCATGCTCAAACACACTAAAGCGAGATGTGGAGAGCATCACTGGTCCTCAATGTATTGCCTTTTGACGTTAATCATCTAATTAGGTTATATCTTGATTTCCTGTCCTAAATTTAAGACATCTCAAACAATTTAGACTTTTCTTGCACCATTTAAGGCTTGTAACTGAATTGATGTGTTTAATGACAGCAGAGATGTGCATGTGTGCTGATGATGGACAATGATGTTTTGAGCAGTGTTGGGTAAGTTACTCTAAAAAAAGTAATTGATTACCTCTTCAACAGTGTAATTAGATTACTGTACTAATTACTCGCTCTAAAAAGTATTTAATTACTTTCAAAACCCCATATCAATCTCATCCAGCTGAATAATACAAGGATAGACATTAATCTGTTTTAATTCTTTGAAATAAATACTATAAAGTTGCATGAATTATCCTTAAACTGACCATGGTGGAGAAGGTTACATTATAAAACCATACTTTTTAGCATCAGACAATACATTTTGATGTTAATCCCACTATTGTTTTATGTCTGATCACATGGCATTTCACACTTTTTTCAAACATATTTTACAATAATTCATACGAAATTTAGACACCTCATAAAATGCATACGAATCGCTGCGAGATCGGATTGATCTACACACAGTATTTACCTCAATTACATCAGAAGTAACTGTAAATGAAGAGTAATCCCTTACTTTACATTTTCAAGGGAAAAGTAATTAAATTACAGTAACTAATTACTACTTTACGTGGAGTAAGGGGCGTGACCTTGATATCGCAGCGTCGCTTCACGCTCACCACTGGTCAAGTTTGACGAGTTAAACGAGATGTGGCCGAAACTGACCCGTTTACCTTGCGGCTTTAATTCCAGATCTTCAGGAAACTATCCCAGGAGCCAGTAGCCACAGCCATCCCATCATCAGTGACGCCCAAGCAGCTGACGCGGTTATCGTGACCCGCCAAGACCCCTGCAGACACACAACACTTATGTTGGAGAATTCTGCTTGTCCTATGTACATGTGAAAGAAGCGTGCATGTGATGTAATGCCAAACAGAAAAAAACTAGGGTCATAGGGCACATGAGGACAGGGACGAGAGAGTGGAAAAGTACCCAAAAAACACTTGTAGCACAGATGCAGGTGTTGGGAGAGAAACAGATTGTATACAATGTAACAATGTGCCACTGGGAAAAGCGTACTGAAACAAGGAGCCCATTGTGTAAAAAGACACTAATACAGATGTCCATTTTTTTTTTTAAAGAAATGATACGCATGCGCAAAGAAGGTTGCCCCAATAAAATGATGATGCAGGTGTTTTTAAAGAGAGAAATGATAACGATTCAAGCGCTAATTGATTAATTAACAGACCATTGTAAGATCAGATGGCCAGCTGGCATCTCACTTTACTGAACTGCTCAATAAAGTTACTTCTTCTGAGACCTGAAACCTCGACTCTGAGCAATTTCTTCAAGACCTGAACCAGACTTTGAATTGGGAAATCTGCCACACACACCTGACGGGGTTCCCCACGTCCTCGCACTCATTTCACATAAATGATGCAACTGTCATTAGGGTGTTTGGATTATAAAACAACGTCATGCGTAAATACACTACCGGCTAAACGATTCTTAAAATGGTTCTCACCAAGAAATGCAACTATATTATTGCTCCGCTCTTTATATAAAGTTTATATTAAATATACAGTATACTAATGCAGGGCGATATATACAAGGGTGGTCAAAAGTTTGAAATAATTACTATAAGTATATATTTTTTTAAATGTTTCTGCTCAGCAAGGCTGCGTTTATTTGATCAAAAATTCAGTAAATTTTGTTAAATATCATTACAATTTAACTGTGAATATATAGTAAAGTGTAATTTATTCCTGTGATAAAGCTGTATTTTTCAGCATCATTACTCCAGTCTTCAGTGTCACATGATCCTTCAGAAATCACTGAATGCTCAATTTGATGCTCAAGAAAAATGTATGATTATTATCAATATGGAAAACAGTTGTGCTGCTTCAATTTTTTTGATGAATACAGTTCAGTTTCCTCAAAAATCTGAAGCAGTACAGCTATATACTGTAAGTTTAACTTATGAATAAGACGTTCTGCTCTGTAAGTGCGAATTAAGACTTTCGAATGGTGAGACTTTCTAAAAGTGAATTAAGACTAGCTTCATCATCATCAGTATTTCTAAAGTTGTTATCCATGCAGACCATCTGTCACACTGACCTGCGCGGTCGGCTTTGAGAGCGTCCCACACGTTGCAGTTGAAATCGTCGTAGCCGGCGAGCAGCAGGCGTCCGCTTTTGGAAAAGGCCACGGAGGTGATCCCACAGATGATGTTGTCGTGAGAATAAACCATCAGCTCCTGATCGGCACGCAGGTCAAACAGCCTGCAGGTGGCGTCGTCCGAGCCCGTGGCGAACGCATTCCCGTTGGGGAAAAACTGAGAGGAGAAAACCAGGTTACTAACCTCACGTGAAACACACACGCGTGTATTTCAGCGAGTGCACGCGGGTGCCGCTTACACAGATAGCGTTGATGTCGGACTCGTGGCCGGTGAAGGTTTGTCTGCACATGCCTTCTCTGACGTCCCACAGCTTGGCAGAGGCGTCACACGCGCCCGACACAAACAGACGGGTGTCTGGGGCCAGAGACAGTGACATCACATCACCGGTGTGACCAGCGAACGTGGTCGTCTGCTGCCCGGTCTCGATGTCCCACAGAGCACTGAAACAAGCATAACACAAAACAACGCATGAACTTACACTGTTCCGGTCATTGTGAAATAATAATTAAATCACACCTTTCAATATAAGATTTATAAGATTTCATCTTTACAACGAAGCTGAACAGCCGAAATGCATTATTATCCTGTTATCACTGTAAAGCTTCTTTGAATCTGTATTGAATAAAGCGCTGTGGAAATAAAAGTGACTCGACTCGCAAATGTCTCATTTACTTTAGATAAAAACTACAAATTGTAAGATGTATACTAAGAATTGTGAGAAATAAAGACTCCCGATTACAGAATTTGCAGGGGAAATCAGAATTGAATTGAAAGTCTGAATTATGCTATTAACTGAATTGCGAGAAAATGACTGATTGCGGTATAAGCTCAGAATTGACAGAAAAGTCAGAATTGAGATTGTGAGTGAAAAAAAAGATATATAAACTTGAAATTGCAAGAAAAGTCAGAATTGAGTTATAAATACTGAATTGTGAGGAAAAAAAGTCTAAATTGAAAGATAAACACGCAACTGCAAGAAAAAAACGGTCAGAATTGTGTTAATAACTTATGATCGTGAGAAACAAAGTCAGAAAAGCAAGTTATAATCTAAATCGCGAGGAATTGCTAGGAAAAAAGTCGCACAAACTTGCGATTGCGGCGCGAAAAAAATCTGAATTGTGTGTTATTAACTCGTGGTTGTAAGAAAACAAAGTCAGAATGACAAGTTAAACTGAATTGGAGGGAAAAAAAAGTCTATAAAAGTTATAAAGTCGATATAAACTTGCAATTGTAAGGAACAAAAGTCAGAATCGTGAGAGGTCGCAATCACGTTTTTTTCCCCCTCATGGCAGAAACACGCTTCCGGTTTTCCAATATTTATTTCCATTTATGATTATTTGTCTTGTAAAATGGCGCGTTGCAAATAACTGAATGCTATTATAAGATTAAAATGAACAGAATTCACAAGAACATCAGTTTCAACCTATAGTCTCTATATAAGCACTGGCCGAACATATATATTCAAGTATGTGAACAGTAGGGTTGGGTATCGTTTGAATTTGAACGATTCTGATTCCGATTCCTTGTTTCGATTCCGGTTCCTAACGATTCTGATTCTTTTAAGAGGCAGGGTCAAAAAAGTTTAGCTAACCTTGCTAACCAACGTTCTTTCTGAAGGAAATACTCCTTTTGTCACAAATTTTGCATTTTGCAGAGATTTCGTTATTTTTAGAAAAGTGAAGCCACACTTTGGACCACCGACGTAAGCACCGACGTCTACCGGAAGTGTTGGCATAACCGCACGAGTCGAACATGACTATGCTTCTTCGCTTCTTCGTTGGTGTTGTTCAGCGGTTTCTTCTTCCGCTCGGTGGACTGTGAATATCGAAACTAGGAATCGAAATTTTAACTTTTGAACGATTCCGGGAAAAACGGAAAGTTAGTCCCGGTTCCAATCGATACTCGATTCTCGATACCCAACCCTAGTGAACAGTGCCACCTCCACAGATAAACTTCAGTGCTGATTAGTTCTAAAGCAGTGCCCGAACTCACCAGGTGGTGTCGCCTGAGCTGGTCACGATCTGGTTATCATCCAGAAAACGGCAGCAGGACAGATAGCCTGAGTAAAGACAGCAGTTCGACATCAGGAATGAGAGCAGAACACAAACACTAAGGGTCAAGTGGAGACACCATTGTGTGAGAACGCTTACCTGTGTGTCCAGCCAACTCACGGCTGACACGCACGTTCCCCTCGCGGGTCTTTAGGTTGTAGATGGAGCAGATGTTGTCCAAGCCTCCGCAGGCCACGTAGTTCCCAGACGGGGCATAAGCACAAGTCATCACCCACGAGGAGCGCAGGGGAATAGCGTGCACCTACACGTCAAAGACATTGAGGTTTCACACGTTGAATCGAATGTTGAAATACTGTAGACTCAGAACCACGAGAAGTGGATCAAAACCTGCAACACCCGTACTCATTTCAGGACAACTTTAATCCGCTTCAACAGTAGTTGACAGATGATTTATGAGAATATAACAACAGGTTTGCCGGCTCTACTCGTGTCATTGCACAATCATCACAAGAACGAAAGGAATTTAGATCTTGGTCTCTTTCCACGAAGCAATTTTGGTTACTTTAGAAGCTGCAAGTGTGACATATTTAAAGGAAATGCAAATCATTTCTGCCAGATACTGAGGTCACGCCCCCATTTAGAGTCGTCAATAGATACCGAAAGGATAAAAATAAAAAGCTCTGACACAATTCAGTAGCTGCTGATGCACATGTGTCTGAGGTTCCCATTTACAGTGAGCATTGTAGCCAATCGTTGGAGAGCATGAATTGACCAAAATGTGTACAAAAAAAGTACAGCGATTGGACAATGAAACTGAAACACACAGTCTTATACCACAACCCTTTATTAGTAAGGTGTAGGACCTGCTTCTGCAGCCGATACAGCAAAAATATTCAGATTTATAAAACCTGCACAAAATTCCCTTTATAATCCCTATATAATAATTGTGTGTTTGTGCATCTCCATGAAATGACCATATATGAGCTTACAACGCCTCGTTTTACTACGTATATCCTCATTAGCATATGCATATTCATCCTCGTGAGACCATGTTCAACGGTACAGACATTAGGAAAATATGAGATATGGATGTGCGTCACTTCACATTGCTAAAAATCATTTAGTAGCCGAATTAATCAAATAGTATAAAACGCATTTCAGAGAAAGTTTTTCTCAATCTTTTCCACTGGCCAAATAGTATTTTTAATTGCTTTATATTTTAAATGGAAACAGATAGGCCTTTATTGATCATTATTTGTGTAGTTAAAACATTAAAACACGGCATGCCACAGGAAAAGTGTTCAAAAGCATCACATCCACTTCAAATACTTATATTTATTAGAATATAATTAACTTCTCGGTAATGATATCACGTAATTTAAGTGCTCAACTCCATTAATGAGGCTGGGATATTTAATCTAAATATGTGTATCAGATGTAAAACAGTTTAAATCCTTCTTTTATTTATTTACGCTGTTATTGTGATCATGCACTGTATTTATGATGAATATTACAGATGTTTTCCTTCATCAGTTCCTCAGATCTCCATCGGTGTCGCCAAACGTCTCCAGATGTTCGTATGCGTGATCATAGTTCACTTATAGACGCACATTTTCCCATCAAGATTGTTTTAGAAATCACAACTAATGCGTGGGAAGTGGCGTGCGGCTCTTTCAGGGCCTGTTTTGTGAAACGCAGCGGTTATAAATGAAACCCCAGGTATTATATGATGCTGGAGGAGGGAAACTGGTGGCACTTGATGAACCAACAATTCTCCTCTTTTCAATTCTGATATGGCTCCCATTGTTTTGTGGATTGCAATATTAGCTGTGCTTTTGCTCTATATTGTCCAGTGTTTCAGTTTCATTGTGTTTATACAAGGGGTGGACCGTGTAAATCAATCAATCAATCAACCAATCATCTATCTATCTTCCAAATATTTTAATAGTTTGTATAGTTTTTGCACAGTATTTCGTTTTTGCTACGTAACTGAAATTGGTACAGCTCCATTATTAATAGAGTTTTTAAAGCCTCATGAAATCAGTTGAGAGAATCCAGGCTAAGAAGTAATTTAACATGTTGAGTCATTAAATGAAACCATCAGTTCACAGTCACACATGGCATCGGTTTTCACTTTTACCTTGTTTGTAGTATAGCTGTCCCAGATAATAAGTTTTCCATCCTGGGAAGCACTAACAAGAAGCCTGAAAAAACAAAAAAAAACACAGAGAGAGGGTGGAAATGAAGAGAGCGAGAACAACGAGCACAATGATCATCTCAACTGTGATAAGAAAACAGTCTGATGATTATCAAATGGATATAAAACACACCGACTGCAGATGTATGGCATGATCTGCATAATAGAGGAAGTCCTGTTCAACGTGAACCATTTTAAGATTCATACAATAATGATCACATCAGAAGAAAAGCACTCGCACTTCTAAAAGGATCTTGAGAATAATCCAGCAGAAAACTCACCTGTAGACATACGATACGAGAGTTACATTTTAAAACAAAGTTTCGGGAGATTGTGTTATTATTGTGAATATAGTCATGTGCATGTACACAGAAATGCCATGCATTACGTGAGAGCGTCAAATGACCTCAGACCACAGCGTGAAGACTAAACTCTGCTATCGTGGAGCGTCCTCGTGTGTGGCGAACATGGCGAACGCGAAGCGCTCCGGATTCAACGCAACTGAAGATCTATGTAATTAGAAATGTTCTTGGTAGTTACAGCTTCACACAAAGTGAAATGACACGCAGTGACACAGATGAGGAGACGAGCTGCTGCTTCTATTTCTATGAAGAACACAGGCACTGAAATACACACGGATCCTCAGAGGATTTCCTTAATGCCAAACAAAGACGCTTGTGTACAATCAGACCGCCTTAAAAAGATCGTCATATCCGGTTTCACTGTTATTTTATATTGTTTGTATTCTATTCTTGTTGGTTGAACTTCTTGAAACTAAAGTAAATATGCGTCTCTCTGTTGCGAGACGAGTGCAGCGGTCAAATGTGTCCGTCAAGCTTTTGTTTACATATAAAACAATGGAAAAGCAGTGCAGAAAATGTGTTCTGTGTGGTCGAATCGAGCTTCTCTATTTCTGCAATGTTTTGACTGCGTTTTTCTGGAAGGACTGTTTAGTCTATCCAGTTGAACCCACTTGTTGCGTTGGTCATTGCAGAGTTTTTTTGTGATTGTTGCGGGCAAAAATCCTTGATTACGTGGCCCGTTTTCTTAAAAGGTGCGATGGAATATGCGGGATGTTTATGCAATTTTATGCAAATAAAACTTGCAAAAACTGCGGTTTGATGAAAAAGAGAAAAAAAGTGATTCCCCCAACACCCTGTTCTCACTAGGCTACTACCTTAATGTAAAGAGTCATTTCTTAATACTTCCTTTGATAAGCAAGCGTACTACATCACAGAAAGTGCTGGGAATATTTAATTTCTCATCTTGTTTTATTTCAGACTGTAACGAGTGTAAATAAGGTGTGGCCCCTTTAAGAGTTGCGTGCTCCCTGTTGAATTGTGTGCGCCTCGAACACCCCATGTGTGCGGGTAAATTCTGTTTGATGCTACTTCTTTTATCTTATGTTATTTATTAAGTAACGATGTGACGGTAGAACATGTGACAGACAGTTATACGAGTTCGATTTGTGAGATGTCAATCGCCTCGGTGAGTCTGTCTGGCCTCTGCAATAACTTCAGCTGTGAGCTATCCCGTCGCGTAATTGCGTCACTTCATAACGTTCCCATGGAAACAGGGGGAAATGGCTGCTCTTGTGTGAAGCAAACGCAACATTTTTCAACTTTCTGCTTAGATATTTGTGACTTTTTTGCAACGAAAATGCGAGGATTATGAAATCATGCAAACCCCGCATATTTTGCACGGAAATCGGCAATTTATGCGGCGAAGGTGCGGCGTATTTGAAAAAATTCAGCCCCCGCATAAATATGCGGACTTTGGCTGATTTTGCATTGAATTCAGCGATCGCATAATCATGTTTTTCTGGAGGGACTGACTAAACTAAAACATTAAAACACTCTTAACGCTAACATCTCACGTGTCACTGATAAAGGCAAAGCTGTTGAATTCGGCGAATTTGGCTTTTCATTGCTTCAGTGGGTGTGTGTCATTGTCAACGTGTGTTTTAGGACACATGAAAATCAGACATCACATGACTCCTCAGTACATGAACCGTCACTAGCTCATGGCATCACCTTGAGTCAGTGCCCCAGTGCATGGCGTAGATCTTTGCCAAGTGTCCCCTCAGCGTCCGTCTAGTGCGCATCTGAATCCGCCCCACAGGCTCGATATTGGCTGTGATCTGCCAGAAACACACGAGAACAAAACTTAGCTCAAAAAACACCCATAAGAACACAACATGAATTGAGACGACTTATTTGTGATGGTGGTTTGATGTTTAAAGAGCCCTACCTGAGAGAGGGTGGCATCCGCACATGCTTTCCGTGCATCCTAGAGAAGAAAAACACAGATAAAGCCACATTCACAAACACTTCAAAACAGAGGCAGAAGTAAAGATCCATCCAGAAAGCACAAAGCCTAAAGTATGCGTGGGTTTTGTTCCAATAAGCCTATGCAGTGTCACATGACTGAAATTGTCCCGAGTGACTGGTAAAAGGTCTCGTTGCCCGCGGCAGCCCATTAAGATAAAAACAGGAGGAAAAACTGGTTATGACAGTGCATGTCAGTGCTTGAGTAAAAACAAACAAATGTGTGTAATGTGCGTTGCTAAAGATAAATGTTACTTTGTACAATCTTCTGCAGAGATGACAGAAAACTGTCCTGTGTCAAAAAACACGGGTGAGGGATGGGATATTTTGCTAATTATATCTGGTATCATCTCAGTGAGCTTTTATTATGTTTCATGCATTTTTAGCATTTTCCAAAATTTCAGTGCTCACTTTTGGAAAAACCTTTAAAACGCTTGTGGACTAGGGCTGTCAAATAAAGATTAGAATTTTGAAAATTCATCAATTGAGTAAAAAGCCATGCAAAAAACATGTATTCAAAATTTTTGTTAGCTTGTCCAGTGCAGTGCGGTGCGGCTACGTCGCATTTTTTTTTTTTTAAATGGCGAAAAAAAGCTTCCTGTTGACGACAACACTCTCAGTTAGTGTCAAAAACAACACACTTTACCAAACCCTGCACATCGGTCAGAGCTGTGTGTGTGTTTTCATCAGCTGGAAACACTCGCTGCGCATCAAGCTGAGCGTCTGGTGTTTTTGACAAACTTTATGTAGATGTAGTGAGTGGAAGGAGTGTTTCTGAAGGCCAGTTACACTGTGTGTTGAAGCGTGTTTTCAGATTTTAACACAGTTTTATGCACTATTGTAACAATTTTCCTTGCATGCACATTAAGGAAATTATATTTGATTTAAGAACAATTGTTTCAAAAGTTAATGCATTTTTAATTTAATTTCAATAAAAGATGATGCTAAATTTGATTTATATTTGCTTATTGTGCTCTCTGCACCCTCTTGTGGGCATAAGAGAGAATAGAGTACTTTTTTCCTCTAATATTAAGTATTGCCTAGAGTTTGAATGCAATTTGAATTTTGCTCATATTTAAGAAATTCAAACTTACTTTTCAGCCAGTTTGACAGCCCTAGCGTGGACAGAGCGTTTTCAAATGTATACGTAGCCTATTATCATATTGCAATGTGTGTGGCAGCATGCGATATGGTAAAGTGTTGAGCGTGCGTGTGACTGACTCTGATCTGGTTTTTCAGCTGTTCAGCCTCCTGACGCAACTGGTCGAGTTCGCTCATTTTCTTCTGCTAGACGATGGGCTTCACTCCGTCCGCTTACTGCCGCTCGCACTGATCTGAAAAACACACAAACACCATTACTCTATTGATTGCATATTACTGAACAATTGATTTTCATAAATGTACATTGCGTGGCAGTGTTAAAAGCAGACGAATTTAAAGATGCAACCTCCTGAAGTTGATGAACTGCCATCAAAACAAATTTAGGGTTTGATAGTTAACATGAACTAACAATGACAAATACTTCTAAAGCATTTATTAAGTGATAAAGTACATCCAACCAGTCATCTCAATAAACCCCGACAGGGTGATCATGATCAGGTCTTGCATCAGCCAGAAGGGGGTTATTCTGAGATCACACACAGGCTTATTCTGAGATAACCAGCTGGATGTATATTATACCGCTTATTACACGGCTACTTCCACAAAAGTAAATAATTAGATGCAAAATATTGATCCGAGTTGAAATATTGAATATATTTTAATATTTTATTCTTTAGCTGCCGCGGAGAGGGCAGATTCAGCATTAAGTTCAAACTAGACTAACTTTTAAGTGATTCGGTATACAGTCATAACACTCATTACAGGAGATTAAAGATACTGATTACAGATTAAACTTTTAAAATCTGACCTTTTTATATCTTATAATCCAAAAGTGTACAAAACAGTAGTCACAAAATGTCAGCAACTGCATTTTTATGAAACAAGAGAGAGCGAGTGCACGATACTGGATGGCAAGATGAAATAACTGTACACAAAATATTGATTTGACTGAGTTTTAATATTTTATTCCACGAAGAAAAAGCCTTCCTAGTGAGCGTATAGCGCTGATGTCTTCAGTGACCCGGATGAGCCTGTGTTTGTGTTCAGCGGCTGTTATCTCGGAATAACTCACCGCTGGATGGCACTATTGACCAATCAGAATCAAGCATTCCAAAGAGCCGTGTAATAATCTTAGTTGACGCTAATTTCAATATAAAAGGTCTGTTTTTGCATGATCAAAACGTGTTGGTCAACGCACCCGACATGAACGGCGCACATCAAACCCGTCTGATCGCAGCGACGGAGACACCGAGCCTCATTATACACCAGCCGTTCAACCCACAACATGCACAAGCACAGCTGACATCAGCGCTATAGTTAGAGCCCCGTTACCACTGGACACGGTGAGAAAAGACATTTCCAACACTAATGAAGGGATGCGAGCACGTCTCTTTCTCCGCCTGTGTCCTTGCCAACCCGTGAAGCCGTTGCTTAGCAACAGTGTTGTGCAGCGAGCCGGTGCTAAAGATCACCATTACTGCGTGTCTCCAACACAATCACACAACTACACAAACACTTCACCACCCAAGCACAGATAATTGCATTACTATATAGTGAATGTGATACGCTGCCGTTTAATTAAGACCCTGTGATCGGATACACTTTCCTACAAAACCAGGGAGTACATACTGTGATGACTATTGACAAACGTTTGCATGCTGACAATGCAATGGATTTTTTTTTTTTCCCCGAACAGGTGATCTAACCTTTTAACCAGCCAACCAATGAGATTCGTGCGTCGGGTCACATGCTCAGATGCCGTCTCAGTTCTCTTGCATTTAATGTTGTTTGGTAAACACCATAGCGAATACAAAAATCTGAATGGCTGTAGTACAAACTCATGACAATTTCCATTAAAAAGGACGAACTTTTTTTCTGTGCGTGACAAGCGGGTGTCAGAAACTGAAAGTTGTGCACCGCGGTATTTCGGCCGAACAGACAAATTGAATGCAAAAACCGGACTGAATAATCATTCTGAACATTTGTGTTGGTATGAACGACTGCTTTAAAGAAAAATAACATAAAAAAGTGTTTAACAGCTTCCTCTTTATGGCTTCAACGGCGGAGAAACCCCGGAGTAAACGGTTGTCTTAAGGTCATGTTAACACATGAAAATCATGACGGAAAGTTTAAGTAGTTTAATGAGCTCTTCTTGCCTCGTGGGTATGAGTGTAAAGACAGATGTTTTACTAGAGTCTCAATAAAACGTCAAACAATGCAATCAAACACAGCAGATACGGTAATTTAGTACTCTAAAATTAAATGTAGGTAAATATTGCTGTTTATTCCTAATGTATATAGATAGATAGATAGATAGATAGATAGATAGATAGATAGATAGATAGATAGATAGATAGATAGATAGATAGATAGATAGACAGACAGACATAAATTCACAGATATAAAATTATTATTATTATTATTTAATAGGTATGACCCTTAGCCCTATACCATTCAGCTAATTAAAAGCCATAAAAATATACTATATTAATAAAAAATATACCCATACCTGGCAAAATAAGTTCCGCACTTTCTGTATTTCACTGAAAGAAATCAATCCAAAAGGTAAAAACTTTGAATTATGTGGGTCAAGAGGTGGTTCGTTGGTCAGAGAGACCAGAGTAAAGTGCGAGTGGACATAGACACAGACCTCGTCCCGTTCTCAATGTCACTCCTGTAATCCAGGGACACAGTTGATTCAGCGCGTCCGCACAAATCCGGTTAACACCAAATCTGCTGATGAACTCTCCTGCTGACCCAAATCCACTGCAGACACTTTCACTCACATCAAAGTGAACAAGAGCACAAACCTCTTGACCAACACTAGTGAGGACACACTCCTACAGAAGGACTACAGCAGAAACATCTTGCCTTATTCAGCACAACTACATCTAGTCACTGCAAAACGTCCATCTAAAAGCACAAAAAGCCACCCGAGGTCCCACAAAAGCACACGATTTAGCGCACGATTCCCTCGCATGGTCATTCCCTCAGGTGTGCCGTCTTATTTCTAAAGGAAAGTAAAGCCTTACCTGGACTCTGTATTCCCAGACACAGCTCCTGTGTCTCCAACGACCAAAGACCTTCTGTAGGGATCTACACTGGATGAACACCTTCACCTGAGCGCTAGCAGCTGATTGGCCGGCTCCGCGTTTAGACACAGATGCGGTTTAAGCCTCACATAATCCAGCTGATAAAGTGTCACGATAATATTGCTAATACGGGGTCAGCGGCCGCATACACAACCTGGATACAGCTTTAGCTTCACCTCAACACTGCTCGACACAACACAAAGGTCCATTATTTTAAATGAACAGTCTGTGTGCAGTATAATATTCTACACACACACACAATTAAATATGACATAACCAGTCGGGCTGGGAGAAAACACTTAGCTATTGCGATTTTTTTTATTCCAGAATCGATATTAATTCAATAGCTTTATTTTTGTCCTTGCTTGTAGACAGACGTTCGCCACTTTCGTTCCAACAAAGGATGCAATGCGTCGTTATCTATGAGTTTTGAGTGATGTAATATCCCAAGTGTGCGCGTGAAAGAGACGCGAGACTGAACGCACTGAAAGCCCTCGCGCTACTCGTACGCGGAGAGATCGGCACGATTCATCTTTAAAAGACTGATCTCGATTTAAACACCCACGCGATTTTTTAATTCGCCTGTCTATTAAACTGACAAAATCATATCGCAACATTCAAAGCCGTGTTGGCACTGACCCGGAGAGAGTCGTCATGAAACCGCAGTCTTTTCAACCTCATAGTATCATTATTTTCTGTGATGCAATAGTTAAAACGATCATTGAAGTACTTGGATAAAAGTTTAAAGTTCAAATATGACCACTGATGTCTACGTAGTGTCAAAATCAGCTTTTGATAGAAACTCTGTGCTTAAAATCAAGCATTTATCGATTACATTGTTGCACCACTAAGTGGCGACAAATGACTGTTAATAATCTATTTGTTATTGAATCGTTTATTTAAGAAAATGTAGTATTGTATGATGGTTCTGAAGTCAAAAAGAAGTTAGAGCAGTTTGTGAATCAGAGATTTGGAAATTATGCTCAAATGTTATAGAGAATTAAGTGAGAACAGCAGGGAATGAACCAAAAAAATAATAATTTTTTTTGACAGGTTATCAATCTACATGAATATCAGATAGAGACGCCAGCACCTGATTGGGAAGCGCTGGGGGAACATTCAATCATAAAAAAAATAATAATAGCAAGTACACTCACGTAAAGGATTATTAGGAACAGCTGTTCACTTTCTCATTAAGGCAGTTATCTAATCAACCAATCACATGGCAGTTGCTTCAATGCATTTAGGGGTGTGGTCCTGGTCAAGACAATCTCCTGAACTCCAAACTGAATGTCGGAATGGGAAAGAAAGGGGATTTAAGCAGTTTTGAGCGTGGCATTGTTGTTGGTGTCTGAGTATTTCACAATCTGCTCAGTTACTGGGATTTTCACACACAACCATTTCTAGGGTTTACAAAGAATGGAGTGAAAAGGGAAAAACATCCAGTATGCAGCAGTCCTGTGGGCCAAAACGCCTTGTTAATGCGAGAGGTCAGAGGAGAATGGGCCGACTGATTCAAGCTGATAGAAGAGCAACTTTGACTGAAATAACCACTCGTTACAACCGAGGTATGCAGTGAAGACACAACACACACAACCTTGAACAGCAGAAGACCCCACCGGGTACCACTCATCTCCACTACAAATAGGAAAAAGAGGCAACAATCTGCAAGAGCTCACCAAAACTGGACAGTTGAAGACTGGAAAAATGTCGCCTGGTCTGATGAGTCTCGATTTCAGATGGTAGAGTCAGAATTTGGCGTAAACAGAATGAGAACATGGATCATCATGCCTTGTTCCCACTGTGCAGGCTGGTGGTGGTGGTGTAATGGTTTTCTTGGCACACTTTACCCCCTTAGTGCCAATTGGGCATCGTTTAAATGCCACGGCCTACCTGAGCATTGTTTCTGACCATGTCCATCCCTTTATGGCCACCATGTCCCCATCCTCTGATGGATACTTCCAGCAGGATAATGCACCATGTCACAAAGCTGGAATCATTTCAAATTGGTTTCTTGAACATGTCAATGAGTTGACTGTACTAAAATGGCCGCCACAGTCCCCAGATCTCAACCCAATAGAGCATCTTTGGGATGTGGAGGAACGGGAGCTTCATCCCACAAATCTCCATCAACTGCAAGA